ATAAATATTTATTTTGTATCAAATAATTTTTATTTCAATTAAATAAATTGTATTTGAACCAATCATTTCTGCATTTTGGAACAAATACCATTTAATTGACTCAAATAATAATTATTTGATACAAATAATTATTTAATTGACTCAAATAATTATTTATTTGATAATAGTCGAGTATTTGAATCAAATAAATATTTTTTTTTCAGTGTATATTTATAAATCAGTTGCGCCTATATCTATAAAGAAAAAAAAAAATATATATAAATTTACGAATGAAGAGCATTTATTTAAACTCTGTGATAAAAGAGACGTTACAAATGCTAATAATTAATTCCGGTCACAAAATTATACACACTGTGTATATATATACATACATATATATATACCAACGTTGGCACAAATTCCGCGTTCCACTAATTTCCCGCACAGCGTGTGATCTGTTTTTTGTTACAAGACATTATGGTTTCATGAAAATTTTATTTTCCTCAAATAAAAAAAAAGCACTAGATACTTTTTTTTATATAAAAAAAACGGGAACAATGCGATAAATATTTACCGCTTTTTATATTCTCTGTTAACCGCAATATTTTATAATGGAAAAAATATATTTCCTGAAAAAAATAAAAAGAATTGCATAACTGGCGTGTATATAATTATTGCAAGAAGGGTGAATCAAATATGCGATGAGAGAAGCAGCATCAGCAGCGCATTCTCTCTCTCTCTCTTTCAGCAAATCGATAATTCTCGTTATTTCGGGTGTCGCAAGTATCATGAATATCGCATTCTCAAGAAAACTCGCGCCCTATTATAGTATATGTATAAGAAAATGAGATAGCTAAAATAATAAAGAAATATGCCAGAGCGTATACTTTGACGCGTAAAAAAGCTACTTTTTTTTTTGCATTTCAGTTAAGATTTGAAAAACAAAAATATTTTTTCTTATTTTTTTACTCACCAATTGTTGTCGTTGCATATAAAGCAGAGTTGAAACTGAAACAAACAAACAAACATTTAAATTAATAATTTATCGTTCAATTCGTATTTCATATATTTTATATAAATTAATAAATTTCCATATACCCTTTGAGGGTCATTATTTGATAAAAATTGTTATAAAAATTTGCACTTTAAGGACCGTTTGTATATTTTCTGCAACAATTTTCAAAATGGAAATTTTTTTTTTTCGAAACAAAGAGAATTTACAAAAGGTAAAATAAAAGCATTGTTTGGAAAAAAAAATAACTCATTCATATAAACACAATAATAATTTTTTTTCTGGTTATATTTTCCATTGACAAAAGGAAATGACATATGTAGGTTGTGACTATACACCATTTATGTAACAATCTAGATATATAACTAATATAAGCCCATTAAATATATGAACAGGTATATATATATATATATATTATACACTGCTAGTTGCAGGTGTGCGACGTATGATACAAGTGTAGATATCATATACACGAAATATATATATATAGAATCAAGTGTCTCGTATAACTAGGATATTAGTACCACGCTTATCAAACGAGTAGACAAACGTTCTCCAGTTTCACTCGTACATGTTCAAGTTTACAATACCATAGCCCTTGATGTACTTAAAGTCTCAAGAAGCACGAATAACTTCCAAAAATCATTAATTAGAATTTTCATTTCAAAGAATTTTATTTTATACGAAAATTTGGCTGAAAAATAATTTTCGCATCAAAAAAAAAAAAACAAAAAATTACATTGAAATGAAAATTATTTTTGAGCCAAATTTTTTACTATTAATTATTATTTTTATTAAATTTTCCTTAAACCGATTTTCTATATTATAAAGAATTTTTTTCATTTTACAGAATTTTTGTTAATAAATTTTCATTAGATTAGAATTTTATTGCATAAATTTTTTTTTTTGATCGAATTTACAATTTAAAGAAATTTTTTAAACCGAACTTTTATTTTGTTCGAAAATTCGAATAAATAATTGGCAAAAAAAAAATTGAACGCATATTTAAAATTTAATTATTACTTTCGTTAATAATTTCTGATTGATTATATAATTTTAAAATTAGTAGCCAATTTTTGCCAGATATTTAATCGACCAAATAAAAAATTCTGTAAAATAAAAATTCGGTTAAAAGTAAATTTTAGAAAATTAAATTCTGTTAAATAAAAATTCGAACAAATAAAAATTCAGCTAAAAGTAAAATTTTAGGTGATAAAATTCTGTTAAAGAAAAATCCGAACAAATAAAAATTCGGTTAAAAGTAAATTTTAGAAAATTAAATTCTGTTAAATAAAAATTCGGTTAAAAGTAAATTTTAGAAAATTAAATTCTGTTAAATAAAAATTCAGCTAAAAGTAAATTTTTAGGTGATAAAATTCTGTTAATCAAAAATCCGAACAAATAAAAATTTGGTTAAAAGTAAATTTTAGAAAATTAAATTCTGTTAAATAAAAATCCGAACAAATAAAAATTCGGTTAAAAGTAAATTTTAGAAAATTAAATTCTGTTAAATAAAAATTCAGCTAAAAGTAAATTTTTAGGTGATACAATTCTGTTAAAGAAAAATCCGAACAAATAAAAATTCGGTTAAAAGGTAAATTTTAACTAATTAAATTCTGTTATAAATAAAAATTCAAACAAATAAAATTTCAACTAAAAATAAATTCTAAGTGAAAAATTCAGTTACATGAAAATCCGAACAAAAATAAAAATTCGGTTAAAAGTAAATTTTTGATAATAAAATTTCAGTTAAAAGAAAATTGTAAAAAATATATATATAAAAATTCTATAAAATTGAAAATTCTCATTTTTAGACCTAATTCTTGCGTTTCAAATAATACAACAACAAAAAAAAAAAGAAATATGTATATTTATATAAAGCGCCAATCAATGTCTCTGCTTTATCGAAATTGAAAGAGAATTTTGCTGAAAAGTTTTTGATATCCTACGAAATTCCTATTAACATACTAATCGATTATTTAAATATGCGTTTGAAGCTTGCATAAGATAACATTTGCGTCGCAACTAATTTCGCGGCGAATTATTAAGCAAAGCGGAAGTGAATACCGGAGGTTTTAGGCAGCCACGTGGAAAAGAGCAAAGTTCTCAAGTTGCTGATTAAAGTTTTGCAAGGCTTGTCAGCAAGAAATATATATATATATATATATGTATATAGTTGAATAGTTTAAGTGAATTTTCTCCCAACATATATCACACACGATAACAAAACAATATCGACTGACAAAAAAAAAATCAATCATAGATTTTTAATTTAACGAAAATTATTTTTGACCTCTCCTAAATCTGAATTAGTTAAAAATAATTTTTATTAAAAAAAATTGAGACGCATGATTATGTTTTAAAAATCATTAGTAAGAATTTTAATTTTATCGAATTTCATTTGTCATAATTAGTTTTGAGCCGAATTTTTATTTGTTTAAATTAGTAATTTGCATCATTTTCATCAAATCGATTTACTATATTACAGAATTTTCATCAAACCAATTTTCTATATTACAGAATTTTTATAAATAACCGTAAATTCACTTCATAGAAGTTTTATTTGTTCGAATTTTTATTTGTCAGAATTTTTATTCTTTAAAATGCCTATTATGTTAAATGAAAATTCGAGAAAATAAAAATTCTGACAAATAAAAATTCGTAGAAATAAAAATTCTATGAAGTGAATTTACGGTTATTTATAAAAATTCTGTAATATAGAAAATCGGTTTGATGAAAATGATGCAAATTACTAATTTAAACAAATAAAAATTCGGTTCAAAACTAATTATGACAAATGAAATTCGATAAAATGAAAATTCTGACTAATAATTTTTTTAGAACATAATCATGCGTCCCAAAAGAAATTCGTGTCGGTGAAAAAATTACTAAAAAAAAAAATGCCAAAAATAAAAATTAACAATTATTTGATCTAAATAACGAGTGGATAAAAAGAAAATTTTTTAAAATAGCTGATTTTCGAGTTCAAATTTAGCGTGAAGGGCAAAAAATACCTTTTTACTAATTCAAACCGCATTTTCGTGACTGATCGAAGAGATTATTTTCACGCGATTCTCTCGTACAATCAAAAAAAAAAAAAAAAAAAAAAAAAAAAAAAAAAAAAAAAAAAAAAAAAAAAAAAAAAAAAAAAAAAAAAAAAAAAAAAAAAAAACGACGGAAATTGTCAATTTTTTAAAAATCCTAAAAAAAGACTTTTTTTTAATCTTCATAATTTTTATCTCTAATTGACTAACGAAAAAAAACTGAATTAGAAACAAATATAATTTTGTTTAATTTATATTATTTAATTTCCATTGTGTAAAAAAATAACTTAATAAAATTAACAATTTTTCCTATATACGTGAGGGTTAAATCTTTCCAGTGTCACTTTTTTTTTTACTCTTCTTGCTTTCTTTCTCTTTTTTTTTCCCCTCTTTTTAACAGCATAAACATACTTCTTTTTTAGTGAATAAATTTTCCTACAAGTACATCGTTAAACTCAACGATGAGCGAAAAGAATTTCGAATTCCATACTATAAAAGTCGTGTAAGCAATTTAGATATTCCTTAAAGGATATTATAAATCATTATGCCACTGACACAATTTCTTTAATAACCGACAACTATTTTACCTACATTAAAAAAAAACCCCTTTGTCATATTGCAAATTTTTGAATTTATTCCATAACTTTATAGGAAAAAATTTGAAGACATCGTTTCTTCAGAGAAAAAAATTTAGAATAAATAACGAAACAATGGACTTTTAAAAAAAAAATTTCCTTCAAACTAATTTTCTCATCAGAGAAACTGACAGTAAATAAAATTATAAAAATAAAAGAAAATTTTTTTTTTCATTAATTTTTGTTTATCAGTTTTAAATTAATTTTTAAAAAAATAATTAAATTTCGAAATGTTGGAGGAATTTTTATTTAAAAAAAAAATTCAATTCGAAATATAATCGAATTTTTTGAGAATAAAAAAAAATTTTCATTTTTTTTTTTTGGTTTCAGGGTGAGGGGGCATGTTGGTCTGGCGGCGGTTGCTGATCGCAGCCGCGATTGCGGCCTCTGTAGGGGCCTCGGCTTCGTCCGCTAGTTTCCCCGAAATTTCCGGGTATTCTGGCTTTTCCGGTTATCCCGGATTCTCTGTATTTGTACGTTCCGCGACCTCTTCTGTTGGTCCTTTCACCACAACGGCGCCTTCCTCCGGCTGCAGATTATCAGAGTTTCTCTGCAACACTGGTCACTGCATTTCACAGGACAAATATTGTGACGGTGAGGATGATTGCGGCGATAACTCTGATGAACCAAGATACTGCACCCGTAAGTATTTTTACCCAAAAAAGAAAAAAAACTCTAATAATTTTTTATAATATAAAAATAATTTTCCTTTTTTCAAAACAGGAAATAATTTTTGTTTTTTTAATTAGAAACAATATTTTATAATTTGTATTTTAAAAGAGGAAATTTTTTTTTTTTTAATTAAAAAAAATATTTTCAAAATATATTTTTTTTTAGCACAGCTACTTGTGTGTTTGCAAAGTATATCAACTCTCTAATAAAAATCTGTCAACATAGATAGATTTTGTTACTTTTGAGAAAAGTTTTAGTAATATTCACATAGTCGTAAGTTTTCTTACATGGCAGTAGTAAAACCAACTCCTAAAACTTGTCCGCGGTAAACTTGAAACACAATTCAGATAAAATGTACGAATCTTGTATTTTTCTACACATATACAACCGAAGAAGAGCTCTAAACGTTTCGTTCGATTTTTATATTTGATTTTTGAATATTATTTATTACAAAAGTTTTTTTTTACATTATATTTGAATATCACCCCGAAAAAAAAACCAATAACTACTAAATATGGAGAAAAAAAATTTTTCTTTGTGAAAAATTTGCTATAAAATTGATAAGATCAGAAAAAACGTAAACAAATTATTAAAATGAACTCTGCATGCTTTTTATTAGTCACGCACGCCTTTATAAAACACGACATTTATTTTTTTGAAAGAATTTTTTAAAGCGATAGAGTTCTAATTATAAAAGAAATATGAAAATAATGTCATAATTATTGTGTATAGGAAAAAAAGTATATTATAAAACCCTCAATTTAATGGAGTAATATAAAATAATTTTTTGTACAAAAAAAACCGCTTTTACTAATAAACAATAAATAAAAAAAAAATTCAAATTAAAAAATTTTGTTCACTAATAAATATTCTTTGAAATTATATTGAATGAATATAGAAATAATGAAGAAAGAAACAGTTTTAGAATATATATATATATAAAAAGTTGAAAATAATGATCTACCGAAATGAAAATTGCTTTAGTTTTATTTTTTTGTAATTTAATTACTTTCCCGTTTCATTTAATTACTACTCATTCCAGCTTGCAATCGAACTTTATACGGCGACGTGGGTCGAACCTATGAAGTGGAAGTTCGACGACCGAGGGAGGATCGACTGCCATTTTTATGCCACCTCAACTTCACTGCCGCCGGGGCCGATCACGGAGACCTAGTTCAGGTACTTTTTCGTAAAATGCTATTCAATTGTCGTAAGAAGAAAAAAAAAAAAAAAAATTAATACAATTTTCAACCACTTTCCCCCCAATCGACAAATTTTTTTTTTAATTGAAATATAATTTTCCGAATAATATTTCACATTAATTAACCGCGACTTTTTCGATTAGTTCTCAATTATTAAAATAGTGCAAAATTAATAAAAAGAAAAAAAACATTATCAGAATCGTGTATTTAAAATAAGATCAAGTTAAAAATAAGTCGACCAAAAAAAAATCAAACAATAAAAACTGAAATAAAACCAACTAACTTTAAATTGATTAAAAAAAAATTTATTATTGTTATAGAGAGAATGGTTGATATTGTAAAACTTTACTCATGTACTGAGATTTGTTGGATGAACACAGAAATCATAACGCTAAAGATTGAAATAAAATATACGTATATGTCTGACTACAATTGTTTACTTCTGTACACTTGATCGTTAATTTTAGTTTGCTTTTCCTGACTCTTTGTATGCTTTACGTTCATAAACTATAAACTCCCCTCTTCGTATATATATATATATATATAGACCCAACCTAATTTAATTTCAAATTTAATTTTCAACATTAAAGTTACCCATTATAACAATTATAATGTTACATAATGCAAATAATATACCAAGAAATAATAATTAGATATTTATCAAAATGGAATATTACTAACAATTGAATTAATTAAAAACAATAGAAAAATTAATTTTGAAATTATTCAAATTAAATATTAATTCATTTGTGGTTTAAAAATAAAAAAAAAGAAAAATTAATTTCAAATATTATTTTTAAACATATAAATAAATATCGAAATTCAATTTTAATTAAGAGGAAATTTTTTAATGGAATCTTAACTTTAATCATTGAAATTCAATTTTTATTATATTCTTTTTTTTTGAAACAAAAAATAAATACGAATATTCTATTTGACTAAAAATTATTTTTGTAAAAATAATTTATTTGATTAAAATAATTACCTAGTTGACTATCACCGAAAAAAAAAAATAATTATTATTTAAGTCAATTAAATGAAATTTGTTTTTATACAAAAATTTATTCACAGACAATTTATTTGAAAAAAAAAAAATTTTTTTTTATGCAAAAATTTCAATGAATTTAAAAGAGAATTTTCAATGTTATTTTTTTTAAATAATCAAGCTCAGAATTTAAAACAAAAAAGAAGGGAAAATATTGTATGGTTGAAATTCTATAGACATTGGCTAAAATGTCTTGTGTAAACCTAAAAAGAAACTTTCTTCTTTTGAAGCTATATATATATATATATATGAAGACTTAGGTGCTTATCCCAGTTGCACAAGTCGAATAAAACGTCTTGAAATATAAAAAGAAGCACTCAAACCCGTTTAGAAATGTCTTGAAAAAAAAAAAAAAATTTTCTTTCGAAAAATTTAGTAAAATTTCCTCTATTTATTTTATTTAATAAATATATTGATTGAATTAAATATTTTTATTAAATATCATCAATTTTTGTAATTGCAATTTTTTTTCGATCAAAAAATTCGATAAATAAAATTTTATAAACTGTAAAAATAAATTTGATAAATTTTTCTAAATAAATTTTTTATATGTAATTTTATAATTTTTTTTTATTTAGAATTTAATTTCTGAAAACGTGTGATAAAAAAATGTTTTTTTTTCTATTTCAGTTAACTTTTGACACTTTTACGGTAGGACGTTTTCAATCTTTTACCTCAGAAGGATGTCCTGACGGGTATATGAGTATAAGGGAAGAAGGACGTCCAGCAACTGATGGACAGTGGTGTGGTAGTGCATGGGGTTACACTGTATATTACAGTGAGACTCATTCCATAAATTTAACTCTTTTCTTATCACGTCTTTCCGAACAGGTACGTTTTTACGAAAAGAGAGAAAAAAAAAATTATACCTTCAGAAATTTTCTAAAATTACTATTTTTTTTTCCTTATTTAAAAACACATCTTCAACATATATAGTTAATTAAGGCGAAACATTTTTCTGATGTAAAAAAAAAGGAAAGTCTTTCGTGAAATAATAATTTCAACTGATAATGAAGATAAATAAGATGGATTAAAATGTTATTAAAACTTGTACAACATGAGTTGTAGGGGGGGGAGGGGGAAGGGGGGTAGAAGCTCAAATTAAGGTTCCTGCAAGGATCTACTTACATAGATTTTTCTTTTCTTTTTTTTTCGTTTCTTACCGAGAAACGAGAGGAGAAACTTTTTCAACGCGAAACAGTAAGGGTGAACTATACTTTTATGTTCGTGTGCAAGTGTGGTTTTTTTCACGCGCAAACCTTTACTTTATTTCGTGAAACTTTTGCGACCTTTATTTTCAAGCCATCACAAGAGAATATCCGTTTTCTACAGGGCACAGACTACAACTTTGACTTCAAACTATCGTATAAGTTCTTGAAGCGTAGCGAAGCTCACCTGAGATATGGGAACAGTACCATGGCCACGTGGCGTGGTGAATTAGTGAATGGCACTTACTGTGATCGAGTTTTAACCAGGTAGGATATCAAAATTATTTCTATTAACATATATATATAATTTCACTCAATTTACTTTTTAATATTTCAATCTCCTTCGTCTCTAATTTGCATAATTGAAAAAAAATTATAATTTACAAAAAGAAAATAGGTAAAAATTAATATTTATTAATAATTAATTAAATAATTATTAAATAATAATAAAATAATTAATTAATTAAAAAATTATTAAATAATAATTAATTACAGAAGAAAAAATACAATTTATCCGAATAAAATAAAAAATTTTACTATTGGTACTAAATTACCAAAATTTAGAAGTTTCCTCAAAACAATGTTTTACTACTGATAGCAAAATTAGAAGAATTTTTCAACTCTGACTGTAACCCACTTTTACTACTACTACTAATGCATAAATTATGCAAATCTAAAACACTTTTACGTCCAACTGAAAATGACTTTCCCTACTGATACATAAATTTAAAAAAAAGTTCTCCGTTTTCTATATACGAATGACATTAATTTTCTAAAATGCAAAATTGAAATCGAAATTGCAAAATAATTTCATTAAACTATATTTTTTTAATTAAATAATAATAAATAAAAAGACAAAAAAATAAATTAATCAAAATTTAACCAAATATGAAAGTATATTATTTATTTAAATAGGTAAATAAATTTAAATTTATTTAAATAGGTAAATAAATTTAAATTTATTTAAATAGGTAACTAAATTTAAATTTATTTAAATAAATAATGTGATAATAAATAATATAGAATAATTAATTTTCCATGACTTCAAAAATTAATTAAAAAAATTTAATCAACAATTTTTAAAAATTTTAACTTTAAGAATTTAACTTTTTTCTTTTTTTACAAATTTTTTTTTTTCATCGGAATCATTCTACTTTGATTGTTCATTTTTTTTTTTTTATCATTTAATTGAAAGGACATTGGAAACTGTAATAATACTTTTAACCAATTATTTTCCTATTCAGATTCCTTTTAACGAATTTCTGCATCAAAGTTATATATATATATATTTCGATTCATTTTTTATAGTCATATAAAAATCTAATCTCTCAGTACAATGAAACAAAGTAGAGAAATTATTATTCAATAACAGAAAAAAAAGTAACCGAGTTATAATTGAAAAAAAATTCCCCATATATATACGAAAATTTGAATTCTTTGAAAAAACTCAAAATGTTTAATTTGTAAATTAACTTTCCAAAACTATATCAAAATTCATCTACATTTTTATTTATTTTTTTTTTGAATAATTTGTTTCCATCATAATTATATTTAGACTGTCAAAACTTTATTTCTATTTTCTGACACGGGGTATGATTAATGGCTTTCATTGAAAATTGTTTCGAGGAAAACAGAAAAAAAAAAACTTTCAATTTTTTTTTATTCGTCTCAGAGAAAATTGAGACGTGTCTGTAATTTATCTGGGGGGTTTTCCCCCCCCCCCCCTTTATCAAAGCAGTATTATTTGTCCTTCTTTTGTTCTCTATTTTCCTTCTCATCTTTTCATTGAAAGTTTATTGAAATCTATTCATAAATTAAATGACAAATTGAATTTATTTCAATTTGAATATATAAAGAAAGTAGAGAAATGATTAAGAAATTTTTTTTTTCCTTTGTTCATTAGTTGCAATCGAATTATTGTCAAATATATATATATATATATATAGTTACATATTACAGAGTGTAACTTTGGAAACTTACGAAAGTGCTTTCTCGTCAACTTTTAGGTGCGACACGCGAGCTTGTCGGCTCCAATCGCCAAACTATCCCGGTGTTTATCCGAGAAACGTGACCTGCTACTATCGCGTCGAGCAAAAACGTGCCCCACCGGGACACCGAGCACTTCTCGCTGTTAGTCAGCGTAACAGTCACAAGATACACATCAAGGACCAGATCGTCAAATACGACAGAAGTCAACGAATATTAAAGTTAGTACAGAGAAAACTAACACCAATTCAGAAAGGCAACATTTCATCCCAAGAAACTAACTCCGAAGAACAAAATCAAACATATCCTATATATGTCATTCCTATATTTGCTTTAAACTCTGCAGATAAAAAAAAAATCCAGGTCAAGTGACCCTAATATGAATCTAATATTTTTTTTTTTATTTCACTTTTTTTTACTCTCTCTCTCTCTACACGTCAAGAAAAACTGGGCTAAACTGTTTCCGATGCACTAACGCGTCTAGATAATATTTCGCCTGGCAAAAATAATTATAATTTATCTGCTCAAAATATATTTTCGCAGTAAAAAGTATATAATTTTTTCTATATTTTGAATTGACTAATAATAATTGATGAATAATTTTTTAAATAGTTGACAATTTTTTTTTGCCGTAAATTTTTAAATTTTGTATTTTAATCATTTAATTAAAAATTATTTTCCACGTAAAATTTACTTACATTTGGAAAAAAATATCCAAGACGATGATAAATCTCAAAACAAGTAGAAGACATCGTTTCCATTGATGTGATAACATTAAAACGATGACGATTATTGGATGTGTTTTCCTTCTGTAAATAGAATATAAAAATTATTATACAATAGTACTAATAACAAATAATAATTTTTAATTAAATTAATTTCTGCCAAAAAAAAATTATACAATATTTTCAAATTACTCAGATTTGGAAGAAAATATCCAAGGCGGTTGATAAATCTCAAAACATCCGGTAGAAGACATCTTTCCTATTGATGTGATCACATTAAAACAATGACGATTATTTTCCTTCTGTGTGCATACAGAATATAAAAATTATTATCGAATATATTAATACAAATAATAATTTTAAATTAAATTAATTTCTGTCGTACAAAAGTAAAAAAAAAAGCAACAATCCTTTTTTTTACTTTGGACGTCAGATTTTAAATTTAATTAAATAAATAAATTTTAAATTAACGAAATTCAAAAATTAGAAATTAGAAAAAAAATCAAATTTCTGAAAAAATAAATGATTAATAAAATAGAAAATATAAACATTGCTCACCACGATGATTCAGCTGGAAAAATAATTATTGTACAAGTAAAAAACAATATTAAATATACAATTAAATCAGAAATTCGCGGCACACACACACAGTAAAAAAAAGTTTCCGATTTCCCTACCTATACCTGTATTTAAAACGGCAAAAAAAAGAATTCATACAAAAAACCCTATTCCCTTCTACCTATAGCTATATTTAAAAGAAAATTCGACTTATTTTTATTTACACTCAACATTCCACGAGAAAAAATAAAAAAGACTCACCGATCGGCGAATCCCACGTTGGAGAGCAATGGTTTATCAATTACCCCTTTTTTCCTCTTCAGGTCACTCACGAAGATCCCTGTATTATTTGCACTTCTGCACAGGTCGTAAGTTATGCAGGGACCACTTTTCTTCATCCACATTCTTTCCTGTCCTTCAGATTTTTCTTTGTGAAATGAACTGAAAAAATTAGAAAACAATTATTAAAATTAAATTGTCTCCGACAATTTAATATTTTCTATAAAATAGCAAATATATTCTAAAAAAAAAAAAAACGTTCATCAGTAGAGGAATTATTTTTTTTTTAAATCAATTTTTTTAAATATAAAATTAATGATAATTGAGAATGCCACTTACTCATGCGAATTTTCTTATTGTGATTGACAAAAATACGATGACTGCATTCAAATTTTTCCTCCCTTCTGCACTCCGACAATTGTCTGAAAGATTTTAGAAAATTCTATTATAAAAAAAATTAATTAATTAAATTCTATTATAATTATTAATAAAAAATTTCTATTTTCTCTAGTAACTTTTGATATTTTCAAACAAGATTACAAAAAATATTTTAAAAAATTAGTTAACTTTTACTTTCTTTTAATTAATTATAAATAAATTTTTGTAAATCTCTTGATTTCAATATAATAAAAAAAAATTCGTGGGAAAAAATTTAATCAACATTACATTGAACTGCGACTCAGCAATGCCAGATCTCCTCCAGGAGCTGCTCCGCAACAAACACCTTTTCCCTCCAAAGAACCGTACACCTGGAAATTGAAAAAACAAAATTAAAAATATTTTCCATAATACAATTTTTTTTGAATAAAATTAAATTTTTTGGAATATCACTTCCAAAGTTTAAAAAACAAATTAAAGTGTTCTTTTTTCATTTCTAATTTATTTTTTTTAAATTGGTTAATATAGGGCAATACCAAAATTTCAAGCAAATTTTAATTTTTGACTGTAAAATTTCAGTAAATTGATATCTCTTCCAAAAACAATATTTTATTAAAACAATAATTTCCAAAATAGATACATTTTATATTTTTAATACTAAATTAGAGAGAGAAAATTTGAGACCGAGATAGATAATTAAACTAATTTATCTCGTTGGATTTGTAGAGTATGGGATCAGTGCAACGTCGTTCAAGATTATCTGACCGTTTACGATGGTGGGTCGACTTCTGACAGAGTTCTTGTGAGATTGTGCGGCGGAGATGCAGTGCCGGATATTGTCAGTAGTCACGACACGATGCTCCTCGAATTTCACACATCGCCATACGACAATCCATTTCATCCTGTACCCTTATCGTTCCTGCCTGGCTTTGAGCTTGAGGTTCAGGTAAGGAAAAACTTTCAACTTCATCCCCCAAGGGTTCTAACTCAGTTAGACCAGTTATGTTACTTGTTTGTTTACCAAATCCAATTTGCTCAGACTTCTCTTTCTCCTCTCTTCTCTCTCTCCCTCTTTCTCTCTCTCTCTCTATATATATATGAAGTGAAAGAAGCGAAAACCAACTGAAGGGTGCATTTCCTGAACATTTCTCCCACACTATGGAAATACAAAATATGAATTTTCTCAACTGTCTCTTCTGTGTTTGCGGGAAAAATATTTCATAATATATTTTCAAAAAAAAAAAAAAAAAAATGAATAAAAAAAACTCAGGAAATGACTTTTCTGGAATAAAAAAATTTATTCTTGAAATAATTAAAATTTCCAGGTACTTTTTGTTGACGAGAAATCGCAGAGTTTTGTAAAAGAAAGTGAAAATTGTAACTTTTTGATATCAAGTTTCGAAAGTCCCTCGGGTCTTTTGGAAAATCCAAAGCACTCTTTACCTCCAAATACAACTTGCCGTTATCACTTTCAAGGAAAGCCGAACGAAATTGTTTGGATATCATTTATTAAATATTATTCAGCAACAATAGATCCATCATCAAATATTGATACTATTGACAGTCCAACGGAATGTAATGCCAAATTATTAATTTGGAATGGTGATCATTCGTCGGAAAAGCCAACAAATGGAAAGGTAAATTAAATTTTTAATTTTAAAAAAAAAATGTACAAATAAAAAATTTCCATTTTTTTTTTTTCACAGAATGTCACATTAATGGGGGAATTTTGCAAATATGACATCCCTCGACTTTGTGATCATAGTCTTTTACGTAATAGCAGTCGTCATACACGTCCTTGTAGTCTTGCCGAGAGTTATGTATCAACTGGAAGAGATTTAACATTAGAGCATATTTTACGTCAAGGAAGTGCCCTTTATCCTGTGAGCTTCGTCCTTCGATATGAATTTGTCCATGAATCAATGTCTTGCAATCATATATTTACATCATCATCGTTTACATCATTATCCCCATCATTGCAATCACAATCACAATCATCATCATCATCATCATCATCATTGAAATCGGGAAAATTTTATTCACCAAAAAGTGTTTTCTTCTATGGCCGTGGTGGTGCACAAAATCTCAGTTGTATTTATCGATTTCAAGCTGAACCTGAACAGAGAATAGAACTTTCAATTTTGCGAGCATCTTTTGGTGACAAACAATGTAAATCCTACGTTGATCCTTTAGTCGATCGTTGGGCATGCTATCGTGATAAATCAAAGTCCAGGAAGAATGGAATCGCTGAACTCCAGGTTTGTTTTTTTTTGAATAATTAATTAAGTTTGTAACTTTATAATACCCTAGACAGTCTTTTAATTATTGTTATTAAGAACTGAGAAAGTTTAATGATCTCTTGTAAATAAATGAAATTAAAAATGACTTTTTTTTCAAAAAAACAGATATCAGAGCATCCTTGGCAAGGAGTGGAATTGGGTAGAGATTGCCTTTGTTCGAATATAAGCGAAAAAGTCGTTTTAAGAACTCTAACTTCTAATGTCGTGGAACTTAAATTCACAGTAATTCGTATGAACGTCACACAAGATTATAGAGATTTCTTTTTCGAGGGTGAATTTCGTTTTGTCGCTGGTGCTGAAGCTGGTGATCAAACTTGTGCCACTAGATTGGAAGATCGAAGACTACGGGGCTCCAGTGGTGAAATATCTCTAAGGAGTCCTTTCCCACCTATTATTCCTGGTAAATTTGTTTCATTAAAATTAATTTTCAAAAATTTTATCTAAAATATAACATATTTTTTAAATCGAGAAAAATAATAGTTTAAAATTTAACCAAATTCTTGGTCTATCCTTCTGTCCTAACTTAAAGTTGGCCTTTTCTGATTTCACGTGTTTTTTTTTTTTTAATAGTAATCTTATGACGTGTCAAATTTTAACAATTCTTTTTCTCATTTTTGCTAAAGTTGTATAATTGTGTTTCCAAATTTCGGAATAAGTTGCTTTAAAATTCCAAATTCGAAAATTCAATTCACGAAGCTGAAGTACACAACGTTTACCAACGAAATTTTTTTAAAAGTTGTATATTAATTCAAAAATTGTACGAAAAATTTATGATGAGAAAAAAGATGTGCCAGAAAATTTCGTACAAGATAGTAATTTGAAAAAAATTTATTTTTAAAAATTAATTTTGAAGGTACCAGGGGCCAACGAATATCTAATAAATATTAATTATAAAAACACAGGCCTCGAATCAACTTAAAGACACAAAAAAGTCGATTTAGTCGATTTATATTCCAAAAAAAAAGTGAATTTGTTTTTTATTTTAACAAAAATATTTTACTGATTTTATAAATAAAAATTTTTTTTTTTAATAATAATCCTTTTCGAAGGGTTAAAGTTGAAATTTTTAGAAATAATTAAATTTCAAGAGATATTGTTAATTTTCAAACAATTATTAAATTTTACAGAACTAAAAATAATTTATCAAACAATTTTTGGAAAACATTTTTTAAATTTAATTAAATTTTCAAAGATTTAAAATTGAGATTTTTTTAATTAATTGAAACTTTAAGTGTTTTGTAATTAAAATTTTAGATAATTTCACTAAAAATTTATTAGAAAATGAGGACAAAATACAATAATTTGAAAGTCATTTTTAATTGAAAAATGGTTTCAGATAGTTGAATTTTCAAAGAATATTATTAAAATAGTTAAAAATAATTAAATTTCCTTAGTTATAATTGAAATTATTAAATTTCAAAAAAAAAAATTTTCGATGGAAAATTTTAGAAATAATTAATTTTTAGATGCTTTTAAATTCAAATTATTGAAAATTCAATTAATTTTGAATTCAAATTTTTGAAAAAATAATGAAATTTTATTTGATTTTAAATTTGGAAATTAATTGAATTTCAGTTCATTTTGAATTGAAAATTTTGAGAAAAAATTGAATTTTAATTGAAATTTTGGATAATAATTTAATTTAAGTTCATTTTTGATTGAAAATTTGGATAATTAATTTTGAATAGAAATTTTAGAAAATAATTGAATTTTATTTCATTTTTAAATTGAAAACTTGGTAAATAATTAAATTTTAAATTGAAAATTTTGGATAATTATTGGATTTTTAATTGATTTTGAATTAAAATTTCGGATAATAATTGAATTTTAGTTTATTTTGAATTGAAATTTTTAAAAAATAATTCAATTTTATTGTGATTTTTTTTTTAAATTATAAACAATTGTTAAATTTCATAAAAATTTTAATTGAAAAATAATTTTGATATAATTGAATTTGTGATGTATTTCATTAAAATTATTTATTTATTTATTTATTTATTGAATGTATTATTAAAAATAATTAATTTAGTGAAGAATCATTTTAGTTCAAAATTTGTTAAATAATTGAATTGAAGAAGATCTGAAGAAGATCTACATTTTATACTATAGAAAAATGTATTTTATTTACATTTTTTTTTCAAATGTAAAAAAAAAATGTCGCATTTTATTAAAAGAAGTCGATAAAAGTCGTATTTTTGAAAAAAGTCGGAAAAAGTCGTATAATCCGAGGCCTGTAAACTTATAATTTTCATTATTATCATTTAATATGTAATAATATTCTAATAAATTAAATTATTATTGATAATATTAATCTTTAATTTCTTTATAACAAACAATTAAATACTCAATTTGGCGCGCGTTTAATTTTGCTAGTTATGTATAATTAATTAGAATTATTATTTTTAACAGGAGTGACTGCAATTGAGGAAATGTCAACAAATACAGAAGATTTAACAGCAACACAATGTGTTCACGAACCATGGCTAATTGAGCCAAAGGATATACGAATGAATTTCGTCTATTTGAGAACAAGTGGATTCAGTATTAATCCAAGCAATATTGAGGAATGTAAAACACAAAATCGAATTATTGTTTATTCAGCGGCTAATACAAAAGAACGTAGTGTCATTTGTCCTGAAAGTAGTTCGAATTCAGGTAAAAATGTCGATTTTTTCTCAGGTGGTTGGAATTATAGTTTAGTTAATGGGACAATGTCAACATCGGCAATGCTACAGCACTCAAGAAGTTTTGTCGTTGAATTTCTCCAGAGGGAAGCTGGATTTTATGCTGTTACATGGATGGCTATTTCGAAACAATCACCAATTTCTCATCTTGAATCAAATGCATTTGCTTTTGTTCCATCTAACGAGTGTCCTTACAGGTGAATTTAATATTTAATAAAAAAAAATAAATTTAGATTTGTAAAAAAAATCGCATTAGTCTGCAAATAAGAAGCGTAAAAGTGTATCGAGTTAGGTAGTGAGCGGGGAAAATCGATTTCAAGTTCTTTTTGAGAAGGCAATAGACTAAACTTTTTCAGCCAATACTCAAAGGTGTGTGCATTGACCCCATCTCGTTTCTCTCGCGTATAGAGAGACCCCCTCGAGAAACTGACCGAATTTAGAAGACAAAAGACGTTCGATAGCTTTTCAGTTTGTACGAAATCTTTTTTTTTTTCGCATTCTTTTAAATCCAGAAACTCCGTTTTCTTTCCCCTCTTTTATTGAGAAAAAAAAAATAATTTCATTTTACGGAAATCTAAATTTCTTTCTATTGCTTTATATATATATGATAATAGAAAAGATAATTTTATAGAATATAGAATTTTATATTATTTTATCTTAAATATTTAAAAACTCATATATTGAGGCTTAAAAATTTATTTCTACGCCATTAACTCCTTTCAAGCTTATTTCGTTTCCATTCGTTGCATTTTTCCCCCTTTTGTTTTATTATAGATGGTTCTCATCCACTTCGCCACAGTCGTGTCCTATTCTTTTACATTATAGCATTTCCACTTCCTTGCGTTCTTTCACTCAAGTGCATCTAATTCCCTCTCGCATGTACTGCATATCTTTTTGCCATTCATGCTCTTTTCATTTCTCTGCATGCATTTTCTATTCTGTTTTCTCTCTTTTTCTTTTTTTTCTCCTTTTTCCCTTGTAGGCAATTTTCATTTTTTTTTCTTTTTTTTTTAGCAATTATTTTCTTTTCAAAAACAAAAAAAAAAATATTATAATTTAAAAAATATTTTCAGATGTCCAGAATTACAGGCGTGTATAAGCTCTGATCTTTGGTGCGATGGAGTTAAACATTGTCCTTCAGGATTTGATGAAGAAGAAGAAAATTGTTCTTATCGATTTGGAGTGACATTATTGTATGTTGCCATTGGTGCTGGTGCATTGGGCATTTTTCTTGTATTATTATTGGCAACTGGTTGCCTCAAATATTGTCTCTATCGACATAAAGCACGTAAAAAGAAAAAAAATGTTGCTCTTAACGTTAATCATCTCCATGTGAATCATACTCATCACAATAACGGACTCACTGGTACTCGTCTCAGTGGACGTTATAATCTCGCAACTCCTCAAGAAATGTACATGGAAAACTATGGAAAAGACAGTATTTGTTGACAATACGCCATCACCAATATTGAAACCACTGTGTGAATAGTCATGTTTTTAATGCCTTCCAGGCCCTCCCCCTCAATTGTCACCTACACACATAAAAACACATACAAATACCACTTCCATCGTTTTATGCGAACGAATGCACTAGTGTTACTATTATAATTATAATAATAATAATAATAATAATAATAAAATATAATACTCATAATGATAATAATATTCCCAGAAAAAAAATTATAATCTATCGAAAATTTCCACTGGTGCGTCATGAATATAATTTTCTCCCATCATTTTCAAAAAAAAAAACCAGTTTTGGAGATTTTTGGTAAATCTTTTTTAATCTCAAAAAAAAAAAATTCTAACGAAAGAAAATATCATTTGTATTACGAATATCTAAAAACTCCGCGTGAGTTATTATAGTGAATAATAATTACACTTTTAATTTCCTTTTTTTTATACTTTTTTGTAAAAAAAAAAAAAAAATAATAAATATCATTAAATTTTTTGTCATATATATATAAGAGAAGTAATGTCTGAAAAAAGCGAAATTTCTCCTCACTATTCTCATAAATTTTCTTTTTTCATAATATCAGGATGTCTAAAAACACATCATAATTAGAAAAAAAAAAAAATTTATAAAATACGCTTTTATATATGACATGAAAAAAAAAATTAATTAAAACTTTTTATAATTAAATTTTACAATTCCAACTATATACATATATATATATATTTCGGTTATATACGAAAAAAAAAATTTTATACGATATATGTAAATTTTTTTTGATAATTCCAATTTATCAAATTCTTTTTTTTTTAATAATTATTGTACAGTTTTAATTAGAAAATTATTGAATATCGAGATTTTTTCTCAAAAAAAAAAAATATACATAATGACCAGGCAAAGTTTGTTATAGCTTTTTTAAACAAAATATAATTATATCATTTTGTGACATCAGATATTTAAAAAAAAAAAATTAAAAAAAAACTATATCCGAATATTTAATACCGAAAAAAACCAAATATAAGAGACGAAACAAGGATGAAATATCTATAGGTAGACTGCTCAAGATTTAAAAAAAAAATATATATATGACCAAATAATGCTCTTTTCTTCCATTCAGAAATCCTTTTTATAAAGCTGACGTGAATTTAACGACATTAAATGATTGAAAAATGAGATAAAAAGAAAAAGAAAAACGGAATTGATAACATTCAAAAAGTGATTGAAAAAAGTTCTCTTTTCTCAAAAATTCAACAGCCGTTCAATTCATCTCAACGTTTTTTTATTGGAATCAGAAAAAAAAATTCAGTGCGACCAGACACAATAAAAAATCTCGTTGCTCCACCAAATTTTTTTTTTTTATATATATTTTAAGATGCTCCGAACCATTTTTAGATTGAGATAAAAAATATAATGACAGTGATGATGATAATGATAATTTAATAGTTTCATGACTCTTGATATTTGTATCCTGCGCCTGTTTAGATATCATATTGAGTCGTCAGAAAAAAAAAATCATTTCACTCTTGTATTTTTTATCTCATTGGTCCATTCACCTTCGTATAGAATATTTAACGTAGAAAATATAAATATATATATAATATTAATTAGGTTTGATATTGATGCGTGATGCTTGATTGGGCGGTAGAGATCAATGTATAGTGTTATTTAAAAAAAAAAAAGCGAAAAAATTCGGCAAGCTAACAGCGTTTAATTAAAAAAAAAAAAAATCCCAATTTAAAAAATGTTAGGAATAAATATTTTAAAAGTTTCAATCTAAATTAAAATCTAATAATTTTTAATTGAAATTTACAAAAAAAAATTATATATTATTTAAAATATTTAGTTTTTATTATTTTATTTATTAAATCCAAAATTTCTAATTTCTAATTAAAAAATTACTTTAAAAATAATCAAGTAAAATTCTATATGTTGAAATTTCTTCAGTTATAATAAATTTAAAAATTGTTTGATGATTTATATAATTTAAAAGAAGATTTAAAATTAAAGTTGTACCCTAAAAGGGCCTCGTTACGTACATCTTGTATGCTGTGATAGAAGTAAGCGTATCAACAATCGGACGAATTGAAACAAAAAAAAAAAATTGTGTTTTCAAAATTTCATAATAAACAATTAATTAAAAAAGCGTGTTTGCAAAAAAAAACCAAATTTTAAAAAATTAAAATTATTTTTAATTTTACCCTACTGCGAGAGGAAAACCCAAATGAATTTCAAAAATCCAAAAATTTACTTTTTAGGAGCAGCGAATTGATATTCCTTTCGCACCAAGTGTAAAAAAAAAAATTTTCAGTAGTTATATATATATATATATCGCCCGATAATATTTTTTTTCTGTTTAGTGCACAAAATATTTTTTTGACTATACGTAAAAAAAATAAAAAGTATGCAGAATGAAGGAAATTTAATAAAATTGTACATGATATATGTATACAGGCAGTGTGCTGTAATTTTTGACATATGGAAAAAAAAAATGGTGTAATTTGTACATCTGTGAAAAAAAAACATTAGTAGGCGTAATGTTTGAGCCAAAGTCATGGCTGAGCGTGAAAAAAAAAAAAAAAGTTTTTCAACATAGAGTACGATTGTCAGTATTAAACATCGAGATTTTTAGAATTATTTTCTCTTTTTAAAAGAAAAATAATGCTTTTTTTTTTTTGTTTAAAATATGTTTTAATTTATTTTCATTATTGATATTATTGTAATTATATAGCGATATGGTATCGCAACCTTTTTGCGTCAATATAAATATATATATATATTGTATTTTCCATGAAAATGTCAAGTAGAGAATTTATATTTTATGGTAATTTTTAATATTTTTCAAATTTTTTATAATCATTTATATTTATTTTTTTTTTTGTGCCTCTTGAGAGACTTCGAATTTTTACACGTAATGTGCATAGACTGAGTAAGCTTTCAAGTTTTTTGTAGATAGATTATTTGAAATAAATACAAATACTCACGAAATTTACAATTATATTAATTTTAAATCACATTTACAAGTTATATATTCTATAAAAGAAATTGATTGACAGATCATTTTCTTTTAATTAATAAACCAATTTTTAAAAAGACTCCACATTTGAAATAGTGAATTGAGGTTATGTAAATTTTTTTTTAAATTTAAAAAATCTCAAAACTTTAAAGAAATTTTCAAAAAAAACACGATTTAACCTTTCATTTATTTACATATTGTATTAAAAAATATGATTGAATAATTGTTTCACCTAAAATTCGTTAATTATATATGTAAGTAAAATATGAGTCGTACCGGCTTTATTCCTTCGTCCCTATATTTCCAATTTTATATTCTTTAATACGGATTTATTATAAATATACTCTGGCAAATAATATGAAATCGTTTACAAAGATTATAACCTCAAATTTGGGTTTTACAAACGTTATTTAAATAAATAAATGTTGGAATAGAAAAAATTTAACTTTTTCGATATGATAAATTTGTCATTTCGCAAATGTATTGCGCATTATTTTGTTCTCTGTGTATAGTACATATGTTTTCAATAAGTAACAAAGAACATGAGTAAACAATAATTAAACAAATAACAATAAAGATAAAATAAATTTTCAAAAAAATATTAATAAAGTACATACCTGTAAAGAAAAAAGTAGACAAAAAAAACACGAGGCTTGCAGAAACAAATGGCCAAAGAATCATTTTCCCATTTTGCACGATTCTTATTGTCTGAGTACAAAAATGATATCTTGAGTATAACTTCCCTAATAATGAAACACATGTGAGCAACATTTTATACCATCTTTTATCAAAACTTAATCAAATAATTGAACAAAAACTTTTAATTAAACTTTTTACAGGAATAACTTTAACGACTTTAACAGGCTCTGACAAGTTTTAAACGGAACTATAACTGGTGGCGCTAGTGATCAACTTTATGCGCCACCTACTGTTTCTTTCCGGAAATTTTCTGAACTATGAAGTTTGACAGCGGGAAAATTCAAATTATACACAAAATTATTTATACACTTACTTATTTAATTTTGATTTTTTATATATTTTTTAAACAAAAATTAAATATTGTTGTTATAAATTATTATGGAGTCAAATTTATAATTATGCGTTTGTTTAAAAGGTTTCTATTATATATTTTTTTAACTACAAGTTCAAAGTCTATGACGTGAAGTTATCTTTTCGATTAATTTCGATTTCGTGTCTTTGCCCGGTCGATAACAACAACATTGAACAACATGTCGGCATCATCTTTAAAAATACTATATTACTGTTCGTGTCAAAGGTGTACTTTACTTTTTTAAAAGATTATTCATGTTTTAATAATTAAATTATTGTAAAAAGGTTTCAATAAGATTTATCTAAATGCCAGCCTTTCGAGAATGGCTCTTGAAATTGCTGTTATTGCCAGTGAATCTTGATTTTCGACGAAACAATCAATTAACAATTTTTCAAGACAGACTTCACATTCTTCTGTATATACTATTGTTGCAATAATTGGCAAACATTGAGACGCATTTCTCAAAATGTTGGATGGACTTGTCGCTTGGGTGCTTAATAATTATTTAGGAAAATACGTGGAAAACTTAAATACTGATCAATTAAGCATTGCCCTACTCTCGGGTAAGTTTTGAATCATTCTGGCATTAAATTTGCATAATTATTCACAGAATTTGTCATTGAAATAATTTTATTGAATGAAATTAATGTTTATTAATCGATTATTTCATTGAATCAAACTGTTACATCTTGTATTAATAATTTTTTTTTTGAATCGTAAAATTTTCTAACCTCACTTTTTTCTAATATTTGGTCTATTTCTAGAACATTATACAGTTATTTGAATTACAGTACACGAGTTTGTTATTGAATAATTGATATTTAACTGATATTAAACTGAAAATTATGAAAAAATTTGTTTTTAATATATATAATTTTATTGACTAAATATATTTTTAATTTATTTAAAGTTTGTCATCAACAATTGTAATTTATTGCAAGTATTAATTAATTAAGATTTTAATATAATTTTGCTGAGTCAGCTCTATATTTATTTTACTTTCAATTAAATAGTTGAATTTTTTTTTATTTTGAACATATATTTAATTGTAAGAAATTGTTATATATAAATAATAATTATTTATTGTCTTCCTGTCTTGAGGAGAGTTTATAATCAATTGTGCAATTTTGCAAGATTTGTAAAATAAATCAGAAAGTTCAGCAAAATACTACCTTGTTGTTATGTTACATCAAACTTTATATTATGAGAAAGTTGTTGTATTATGAAAAGGAAGAGTTTGTCATTTTATTTCACAATTGACTTTCTAGTTGTATAAAAGTATTGTTAAATATTATTTTTGAATTTTAATATATAAAAATATCTGCTAATACTGTAAAATAATAATATTATATAATATTCTTTATTATTATTAATAATTAATATTAATTTTCTTCATGAGTAGAATTAAAATATATTTAAACATTAATAACAACAAAAAATTTAAAGAAAATTCAGTAGAATTTCATTGTAGTAATTTATTTTAACTTTCAGCCTTTAAGAAGTGGACTTATTTTTCTAATATATAAATATTCGAGCTAAATTGTCTTATCGCGTGCAGAGTCATTCTTTTATCTTTGAAACATTTTACATATTTTTTTACATTCGCAGAATTTTATTTTAAATTTATTTCATAAATATTATACCGATTCAATTATATTTTTCATATATTTATTTTTTTAATTATTAAAATTATGATTATTATTTATATGAAATAATTTGGATTTTATTTTTAATTTAGGTGAAGTAGAATTGGAAAATTTACCATTGAAAAAAGAAGCGTTACGTCATATTGGTTTACCGGTTGAAATTAAAGCAGGATTCATTGGTAAAGTTCGAGTACAAATACCTGTTAGACAAATAAGAACTGCTTCATGGGTTATTGCTATCGAACAACTTTATTTAGTAGCTGGACCAATTTGTTTAGATGAGGTGAACATTTTTGAAATTATTCAATTTGTTATTTGTTAATAAATTTTTAAATTACAATTTTTCTTTTAGTATGACAATGAAGCAGAGGAACATGCAATATTAGATTATAAATTAAGTCGATTAGAAACATTGGAGGCGAGATGGCGTGCTGAGTCAGAACGTGATCCTGGTTATTATGCAACAAGTTATAGTTCTTGGTTAAATTATGGAACATCATTGGTGACTAATATTATTGAAAATTTACAGTTGAATATAAAGAATGTTCATTTGAGGTACGAGGATACTAAAGCACTTTCAGATGGTAGGATTTTGATTTCTAGAGTAAAAAACAAACATATTTTTAGATAATCAATGTTTTTTTAATCAATTAATTTTCAGGTACAGGCATTGCTTTTGGTGTAATAATTGAAGCTATAACAGCTCAAAGTTGCGATGCCAGTTGGATTCCAGGATCCACATCGTGGAATCTTTCAGATGCTTCATTCAAAATTATGGAGCTCGATGGATTGTCAGTCTATTGGAATCACTTGAAAAAAGAAGACTTATTTGAAAATTTAAATCTCGGAGATTTAGCGGTATATTAAATTTAATTCTACTTACAAATACATTTATTTGAAAAATAATTGTTTCACAAAATTTTTATCCACAATTTAGATTGCCATGAGCGAGTCAAAGAAAGTGAATCACAGATATATTTTATCACCAGTAAATGCAAAAGCTCATATAAAAAGAGACAGATCAGAAAGACCACTTCGATCAGCCAATAAACCAAGAATAGTTATAGATCTTTTATTGGATCAAGTTCCATTAGCATTGACAGACGTAAGTTTAAATTTATAATAATATCTATGTGTAAATTATTATTAAGTAAATATTTTTTTATTTTAGGAACAATATGAACAAATGGTTAAATGTATTAAAGGTCTTGAGGATATTGATCGACGAAAACGTCAATGGAGATGTAGACCAACAGTTTCTGTATTTGATTCGCCTAAAGAATGGTGGAAATATATGGCACGTTGTTATATTGGTCCTGGTAGTTTAAAACCAAAAATTTCATGGAATGATATTATTGAGAGAGGCAAAAGAAATGTTGCTTACGTTGAAGCTTGTGCAAAATTATTAGGTAATAAAATATATATTTGTGATTAATTTTTTTAGAATTATTATATTAATTTCATTTTCAGGAGCTCCTACCGCAATTCTTTCACCGGAAATAAAGAAACTAAAAGACGAAATGGAACAGGAACTTAGTTTTGAGGAACTTCGTACTTTACGAGAATTGGCAATGGAAAAAGTTCGACCACCAAAAATTCAATCAGATTCAAATGTTTCAACACCACAACAAGCGCGTGGTATGTTATTGCAATGGTTCCCACAATGGTGGGGTTGGTATACAAAAGCTCCAAATAATACACCATCAGATTCATCAACATTTGATGGGGAACTTTTAGACGCTCTTTCCGATACAATAGACGATGATACTCTATTGCGACGTGATACAATATTTGGACAATTTAATTTTGCATTATCAAAGGGGGCAATTTCTTTGTGTACGTCAAAAAATTTTAACGAATCCGTGAAAACAGTTATGGAATTACAATTTGAAAAAGTAAATTTAACATACGAATCACGACCAAGATCAAGTTCACACAAATTTTATATAAGTTTAGGTGCATTATATTTACATGATTATTTAACGGAGGATTCGACATTTCCAATATTAATACAACCGCAAACTGTAAGTGTATCAAATTCACGTTTACGTAGCTCATCAGAAAAATTAGTAACACAAGTATCACAATCACTTTTTGAATTAACTTACGAAAAACGGCCATTACACTTAAGTGTTGATCATTCATTGCAAGTGAATACAAGATCATTGGATGTTGTTTATAATCCAGTTGCAATTCTTTGGCTCATTGATTTTATATGCAAACCACATAGATATTCATCGAATCAAAAATTACAAGCAATGAAGAGAAAAACACGTAGACAATTAATTAAAAATTGGGAACAAATTCTTGAGGGTGATTTTGATTATCGATCATCGTGGGATTTACAATTAAATATTTCAGCACCTCAAATTTTACTTGTAGAAAAATTCACCGATTCAAATGCAGCTGTGATTGTTGTTGATTTTGGTAGATTACGTTTAACAAATGGCATTGAATCAAGTGAAATTGTCATTAAACCAGAATCATTGGAATCAGATGATGAGGAACGATTTGAAACACCATGCTCAACACCACCAGGTAGTCAGGAAAATGGTTCAGTTCCTGATTTTCAAGCATTATCAGAAGCGGCATTACACAAAAAATTGTACGATCATTATATTGTTGATTTATCAGATCTACAGGTTCTCGTTGGTAAAGTAAAGGATAATTGGAAGCATGCGCGAACAAGAGGAATGTCAAGTCTTCATGTTCTTGAAAGATTTAATATTTCATTGCAAATTGAAAGACGAGTTGTCACCACAATGGATCCACAATTTCCATCAATTACAATATCGGGAAATTTACCACGTTTAGTTGTTCATGTGAATGAACAAAAAGTTGATGTTATTCGTTCGATGTATCATTTATTGTCAAGTTTATCAACATCAGCGGGACAACCAAAGACAAATACAGTTGACACAGAACCGGAAAGTCCACAAAAGGAGGAAATTCTCGATCGAACATTAAATCATGTAATGATGTTACAATTTATTATCGATCAAATGACATTTGAATTGCAATCACGTGGTCGTAGTGTTGCTGAACTTCAAGTGTCGGGTGTAAGAGCGGCATTGAGTAAAAGACCAGCGGATTTAAGTGCTTCACTTTCGGTTCATGGATTACTTTTAGTTGACGCTCTACAGGAATTTGGTCCTGATTTTGAACTATTGGTGGCAAGTCACAAACACGTTGGAATGGATAGTATTTCAGGGAGTTTGAGAGATTCGGAGCCAACATCACCTGTTTCACCTGTATCGCCTGGTTCACCTGAACCAGGATTACCTCGACGTTTAACATCACCAATTGCTTTAACTCATGCTTTATCTAGTCTTGCTCACGATACAAAGAGTCCTTTTTCACCAAAGAAAACATCGTCCATTGGTTTAGATCAATTGGATTCAGAAGCATTAATTGTGATAGAATTGACACTTGTCGATGATCCAATTGAATCACTACGTATGGCGAATATACAATTTAATAATTTGGATATAATTGCAAATCAAGAGACAATTGTTGAATTAATGGGATTTGCAAGGAGATTGTTTCCAGTGAAGAAAACACGTTCGAAAAATATGCAAAGATATGAATCATTATCAAGTTTAACGTCTGAATTTAAAGTTTCAACAAGAACGGAAATAACTTTTGATTTTCATAGATTAAATGTTTTATTACTTCGTGCTGTTATGCAGGAAAGTCAATTGATTGGTCAAAAAATTGCCACCGCAACTATGTCGGATGCAAGAATTCAAGCGACATTTGCATCAAATTATTCAATATCTGGATCACTTGGTGGTTTACAAGTGTTGGATCAAACTTTAATTGGCAAAACACATCAGCGAATTATTAGCGTTGGACGTGATCCATTGGCTGATCCTCATCCTTTAGAGCATTTTTCAAGTCTTTCGAATCAGCCAATTGAAGCATTTCGTTTTTCGGCTAATAGAAGTTTTAAACAAATTCCCGATTCTGATGGTATTGAAACATTGGCGGATATTACAATTCGTGTTGGTAGTGTTTGGTATACGCATGCACCTCATTTAATATCGGAAATAAGATCTTGTGCTGATGAATTTAAACAGTATTTAAGTAATCTTGCTCGACAAATTGGAGCAGCTGCTACTGATATGGCAATTGGATTGGTACAAGCTGAGGATTGGACGATACCGCAACGTAAACGTCTGCCAAGTTTTTCAATGGATTGCGATGGTTCTGGAAGTTTATCATTAAAATTGGATGTGATTTTAGACAGTCCAGTTCTAGTTATACCAAGAGCGTCGCACAGTACTCAGGTGTTTGTTGCACATTTGGGAACAATGTCATTGCAACATGAACCATTGCAGGGTACGAAGAATAAACTAAGCTTGGAAGTGAGGGATATGAATTTGTATTCTTTGGATGTTTCGATGAAATTAAGTCAAGTGCAGGGAAATCTTCCAATAAGAGCCGAAGATATGTATAGTTGTAAAGAATCTGGAAAACCGATATTACATGATACACTCTTAAGAGTTGTTGTTGAGAAAGAACGTGTTGGACATGAAATTCAAAGTCCGGGTTTTATTTTCGATGCAGATTCAATGAATCCAATTGTTCAAGTTCATGGTGTTGTTGTTACGCCATTAAAAGTTTCATTAACACGATTTCAATATGAACAATTATTAGATACTATTCATCGACTATTTTCAATATCGGACATGGAACCAGTTGTTCAAAAACCACAGACTAGTAAAGTATCATATTATTCGGAGAAATTTGATTTATCATTGAAAGTTTTATTTGAATTGCCAGTATTGAGCATTGAATTGAAACAAGATCGTTTGGAGCAGCCTCTTGTTGAATTGTCAATGAGGGATTTTGTTGCTAAATTTGAAAAGTTGCATAAAAATGAATCAACAACGCAAGTATCGCTACGATCACTATTGATGGAGGATCTTTTATGTCCTGTGGGTTCGAGACATCGTTATATGATGCAATCGTCTGTACCAACTCGAGCAAGATTACCAGTTGGTGTTTCGAAATCGTGTCCTGATTTAGCTTATGTACAGAGATGGAAAGATGAGAATAATAGAGGGAGTTTGCCTGATCGATTGGAAGCCGATACACTTTACGCTGTGCCTGCTCATTGGCGTAGACAACCTGTCTCTGGAGAAGATACACCAGATACACCACCACCTTCACCAGGTGCTGTGAGTGAGGAAAATTTGGTTTTAATCAGCATCACTGTCACAGAACCAGATACACATGTTGTTAAACAAAAGAGTCAACAAAAATTCATGAGTATTAATTTCAATTGTTTGGATCTTGTTGTAAGTGTTGAATCATGGATGGTTGTTTTAGATTTTTTGGGAGTTGGTACTCCAAACACGAGTTTGGATAAAGCGACACAGCCAAAGTCAACGGATTCTGGAGATTTGAATCAAATCATCGAGCCAGTTCATTCGGATACTGAGATTGAAATTAGATCCTTGACATTGGTTCTAACACAATCGGAACGTGAGATTGCAAAGGCAAATGTTTCAAATGCAACTATGCACATTTTAAAAACAACTGGAATTACAAAAATATCAGGATCCTTGGGATCTATGTCCCTATTGGATCTAACACCACATGGTCGATTTTATAGAGAACGATTTTTATCATCAGGTCGTAAAGCTCTCAATTTTCAATATTCAAGCTATGCTGATTCACAAAAACGTCCTCACGATGCTCATTTAAAACTTCAAATGTCCGCCGTTCATTATTTTCATACTCAACGATTTGTCGCCGAATTACAGGCATTCTTCTCTCATTTTTCACAATTACGAACAATAATGGCAAATTTACGTGCTGGTGGTAGTGGAACAATTGATTTAAACGAACGAAGTATGAGACTATCACTTGAACTTCATGCCGGTGCTCCTGTTATTTTTATTCCAGTGAGTTCAAGATCAAATGAAATGATTCTTCTCGATTTGGGCGAATTAACAGCTCACAATTCATTTAGTTTTTCTGATGCTGTAAAAGAATGTTTAATTGACGTAATGTTTCTTGAATTGGTAAATATGGATGTTTATGCAGCAAAAAAAATTGAAAACGAAGGCGTCGATACATTATCCGTGGGAGGTGTTATTATTCAAAAATCTGGACCATCATTGTTGACGGAAAAATGTCATTTAAAATTGCGAGTGGAAAGAAATCTTGATACGTACATAAGTCGTGATATTCCCGATTTAAGTATACATGGTACTTTATCAACAATGGATTGTGCTCTTGATCCAGCTCAATATATGTTAATTCGTGGATTACTCTCGTATAATATTGGCGAGAATTTAGATGATCTACGTCTTTTTATGCAAGATTTAAATGATTCAACACAATGTACAATAAATGATAATGATAAAATTTGGACAAAATCGTATATTAGTTTGGAATTATTGAATGTCACATTAAAATTACATCCACATCATGGAATTGCGGCACTTGCTTGTGTTAATTTTATAAAATCAAAATTAACACTCGATTCATTGAGTGATGGTTCACAGGATATTGATTTAGTATCGCAAGAAATTTTAGTCACTGATACAAGATTTCACGATGAGCCTATTAATCAAAGATCAAATGTATTTACAGGAATTCTTCAACCATTGAGAAATACAACAAATTTGGAGGATCGTGTTCAAGCTGAAGTTCATCATCGTAAACGAAATAATTGTGTAGCAACGACTATTTTACTTCATAGTATGCGATTAACAGCAATATTAGATTGGTGGGAGGCTGTAAAAGATTTTCTTATTCTAAATTCACCTGAACCAGAGCCAATAATAATTGGCAATAATTTTCAATCAATTCAATCATCATTACAAAATGATGAAAATACAAATACAATTCCATTTGATCTTAAATTAAATATAACTGATTCAGAATTAGTAATTGTTGAAGATACATCATTGTGGGATACAAATGCAGTGATATTAAAGTGTACTGCAGTTTTAACATATCGTTCAATACCACAAGATGGTGAAAAATTGCTCTCATGTAATTTGTCACATTGTGAACTTTTTTCATGTATTCTTGGAATGGAAAATGAAACGGCTCTTTCGATTATTGATCCTGTTGGTGCAAGTTTAGAAGTAACACAAGAGATGTGCTTGGAAATTCAATTACAGCCATTGAGTGTAAGATTAAGTTATCACGATGTGAATATGTTTGCTCGAATGTTGAGTTCATTGCCAAAACAAACACTACTTGCTAAACAAAGATCAAATGAACCGCCGATAAATGTAAAAGGACATGTGACAAAATTAAGTGCATTGGGTTTTGCTGAAATTGATTGTGAAACGGCTCTTGATAAATGTGATGGAAAATTGGATGATGCTGCATTATGGTTGACACAAAATGCTATTCCAAATGCAGATGGTGAAACAAAGGGTGATTTCTTTTTTAAAGTTATTGAATTAGAAACATTGTGTATGAAAATTTGTATTATTGATGATTGTAGAGATGCGGATGTTCCTTTACTTGAATTATCATTATTGGATTTATCAATGAGACAAAGTTATTCGGGTCCTGGTGTTGTTTCAGGTACATTTGCAATTGGATATTATAATCGTGTGCTCAGCGGTTGGGAACCATTTATTGAATCTTGGAAGGCTACCGTTCAATGGGAGCAAATACTTGCCAGTACGTTAAATACAAAACGACTTGAAATTCGTGTTGATTCACAAGATTCAGTAAATGTTAATGTCACATCAACGTTAGTTGAATTGGTAACACTTGTGAAAAATAATTGGATTCAGGATTATTATGTCTCGAGTAATTCGTTAATGAGTAAAACAGGATCAGTACAAAATTATCGTCGTCGATCACCGTTTGTGCCTTTTGCACTAAAAAATGAAACTGGTTGTAAACTTTGGTTCAAAACATTAATCGCTTCAGCAAATGATTCTGATAGAAATTTAATTGAAAAAGCATCACTTGAACTTGATGAAACGTGGTTACAAATTGATACCGGTGAAACAATTCCATTTACATTTGAAGGTAGAGGAAAACTTCGTCACGATTCAACTCATATTGCAAGAAGACATCAGGTTGTAATTTTACTTGAAGGATGGAAAGTGACTGATCCAGTTTCAGTTGATAGAGTTGGTGTTTATTTTCGTTATGCACACGCTGAAATTAAGGGTTCTAAAATGACATCGAAAACAAGATTAATATTTAATGTTGAATTGGAAGGTTCAGCGAGAAAATTAGTGACTGTTCGTTCTGCTGTTCAGATTATCAATAAATTGGCACACACTATTGATATTAAATTGGAAAATACTCTTAATCATTTTGGCTCATATCCAGTGTATACGTCAATGAGCGGTAAAATTTTACAAGTTCCAGCTGAATCACAAATTTCAATACCAATTCCATTCACTGGTGTGCTTATGAGTTTGAGACCAGCAAATAATTCCTTTCAATATTGTACACAACCGATTGATTGGACAATAGCGAAGAAACCACTTGAAATTATTGAAATTCCAGCTGTTTGTAAAACCAACAAAGATGATATATTTCGAATGTGCATTGCCATTAAGAGAGATAATTATCCACCGGATGTAAATCAAACAATACCGGGTCATAGACTTATAATTCTAGCACCAATTACAATTGTTAATTTATTACCTCATGAACTTTTTTACAGCGTTGGAATTGAATCTGGTAAAATGCAACCAGGAGGATCGGCTGATTTACATTCGGCGAATTTAGACGAACAATTGGAAATTAAAATACAATTGGATGGCTATCCTGGAGTGGGTTATTTACTCTTACCACAGAATAGTAATTCATTTACGGGACGAATTCGATTGTCAGATTCATCGGGAAGAATATTATTTCTTCAGGCAGCTGTTGTTGTTGATAGGGGATCAGCTGTGAAGATAAATATTACGGCTCCCTATTGGATTATTAATAAAACGGGATTACCACTTGTTTTTCGACAAGAGGGTGTTGGTGTTGAATTTGCTGGACAATTTGAGGAGCATGAGAAAGCAAGATTATTGACACCTTTATTATTTTCGTTTAGTGATGAAGAAGCGAGTAGAACGTTGACAGTTCGCGTGGGAACTGGAAAAAATCCCAATGGAATTCCCCAATGGTCACAACATTTTCATTTACAAATTGGTGTACAGGTTCATCGACTTCGTGTAACATTGCGAGATGGTAGGCCGGATATTGTTTATTTGATTGGAGTATCGACGAGAGCAGCACGAGGAAGATATAGTGCAACAAATATTGTTACCATTTCACCGAGATATCAATTGCATAATAGATCATCGTGTACTTTGGAATTGGCGCAAAAAAGTTTTACAACAACAATAAGTCATCCTGATGCTCAAGCAACTTATATGACTGCAATACCCGATTGTCATATGACTTTTCATTGGCCAAGATTGGATAAGGATCAATTGCTTTGCGTGAGAATTATTGATGTACCACAATGCATGTGGTCTGGTGGAATTGTTCTGCAGGGAAATCATTCGCTTACAATTAATGTTAGAGATGCGGCAGGAAAAATGCATTTTTTGAGAGTTGATGTTGTTCTTCAGGAAAGTACTTATTTTATTGTTTTTACTGATGCTCACACAATGCCACCGCCAATTAGAGTTGATAATTTCTCGGAAGTTCCACTCTCGATCAATCAGGTGAATTTTCTTTTTTTCCATTCGTAAAATTATAATTTCTTTTTGTATTTATAATAATTTCTTTTTTTTAGAATTCGGTACCTGACAATATGCAATGGTCTGTGAGACCTCATTCGTCCGTTCCTTATGCGCTTGATGAGCCAACTCTTCCTGCGGAATTAATAGTCACTGCACCTGGTGGTGTTTCAGCTTCATATGATTTAAATCTTCTTGGCGAATGTAGAGGATTGACATATGAAAATTTTATCTACATTGCTTTCACAGGTTTAATAAAAAATGTTTTAATATTAACGATTGTTTTTAAATATAATTAAGTAAAATAATTTTTACAAATTTAATTATTGTTAACAGGTACTTTCAAAGAGGATGGAGATCTTGGAACAAGTGAAAATAGTTTAGATCCTTTGGATGTTGAGACACAAAGATTAGTCTTAGAAGCTGGACCGGGAGGCTGGGTTGCTTTACGAAGAAAACAATATGGAGCAAGATCTCAACTTTGGAGAATGACTGGAAGTGGACAACTACAACATGAAGGTAAAAATAAAATAGTTAATATATTTTTTAAATTGAGAAAATTTATTTTAATCGAATTTTTTGTGATCCTTAATTGATTCAGGTTCTAGTCCTCCGCGTGATAAATTAACAAAAGCACCAGATACAGTATTGGTTTTGGATATTGCCGGAACAGCTCCTCAGCCATTTACATATTGCGCTCTTGCTTTGCGAAGACCAGATCCAAGGAGAAAATCAACTCAAACTTGGAGATTTACTGACGATGGAAGATTGTGTTGTGTGCATAGAAATATGTGTGTTCAATCAAAAGATGGTTTTATGGGACTTAATGAAGGTTTGAATTTCATTAAATTATTTGAGAATATTAATATTTATGCACTTCGCTATTTATATATAAATTTTAATATCTATTTTTTATTTAACAGGGTGTTTAACAAGTTTAGGAAAAACAATTCCCTAACCGTTAGACACTCTGTTTAAATATCTGTTTTAATTATAATTTTTCTTAATTATATATTTTATTTGATTATCAGATCTTTTTATCCGTAAAAATTTCTTTGTATTTTATCTTTTCCATTTTTATTCGGTAGTTTTTTTTATTTTTTAAATAAACTTTCCGGAGACGTTTCTTTTGAACATGAAAAGTAGTTTAAAAATCTATTTTTAAAAGTTACAATTTTCATTTTGAACGAGAAAAATATAATTTGCAATTAAAATTGAAATAAATAATATTTTTTATAACACAGCTTTTCAATGTCAATTTTGTTAATGAAACACTGAAAAGAATTTGTCTTTGCACATGTTGCTTGATATTGCTTTGATCATTTCATTCTTATTTCATTACATAATTAAGTTTTATTATTTTCCTTTTGTTGCCTTATGATAAGTTATTAGGAAGAATATTAGAATAGTCTTACTTTTTTTTTTTTTTTTTTTATTTATCTTCTTGTAATTTATATTATCTGCCTTTAAAGATTGACAAATCTAAATGAATTATAAATGTTACAGGCGGCAGTGTCGCCCGTTGGCAAATGTGTACGTATAGTTACGGAAAATGTAATAAAAAAAATTTTGCATTTTCATTACAAAATTTTATTTTTAAACATCAATTACTAATTACCGCTTGTTTTTCTCATGTCATTGACACGTCTCACACTATCACTCTGTTGCACTCTTTAAGCGATGAAAAGAAATCAGAACACAAAATGTAACATTTTATTTTTAAAAATTAGTCTCTCTCACTCTCTATTTTTCTTTTTTTAATATATTGTGAATTATTGATAATTTTTGTTCATTAATTTATTTTTAGGGAGTGAAGCTGTATTGGGACCTGAAACACATTGCAGTCCACCTCCAATAGAACAACGTGTAAGCAGACAACGATTGAGACCGGGTTCTGGATTTTTATCAATACGAGTAACAACCGATGGACCAACACGAGTACTTCAAATACTTGATATAAAAGAAAGAGTAATTATTTTATTGATATATTTATAATTAAATCGCTAAGTAAATAAAATTACAGAAAAAAAAAAATTCCCCTTAGAAACGAACATTCGCACTTTTGGAAGAACGTGACTGGTTAAATATTGCAATCAATCAACGACCAAATCAATCGGCAATTGATAAATCAAGCGATTCACGTGAATTACATTTAAATGTTAATTTACAAGCCGGATTAGGACTTTCAATAATTTCCTGCAGACCTGCTGAGGAATTAATATTTTCTCGTTTCGCTGGTATTAATTTAGATTTTATGATGACATCAGCAAGTACAAATTTAAATCTCAGTGTTGATGATGTTCAAATTGATAATCAACTTTTTGAAGCACAATGCACATCTGTTCTTTATATTTCACGTGAGTCACGTGGAAAAAATGATGGTAGACCAGCAATTCATGTTGCGGCTGAGAAGTTGCCATCGAAAAATCAAAATGCAGAAATTTTTAAACATCTCGTTGTGAGCATAAAACCAATAAGTGTTCATTTAGAGGAGAGATTGATTTTAAAAGTTGCGGCATTTATTGGCGCTGGAAGATCTGAAACTGAAGTACCTCTCGATGAAAATGGTTTCAATACACAAAGATTTATTTCCAATGTATCGGCTGCTCATGCGAAACGATACTATTTCGGTGCTTTAAAACTCGTTCCAAGTCAGGTAAAGTAATTGAATTTTTTTTTTTATGATTTTATTTGAAAAAAAAAAAGTTGACACTGAATATTTTTCCAGGTTCGATTAAGTGTCTTGACAGCAACAAAATTGCCAACGCATCTTCAGACAATTAAGAAAAAATTGGGATTAACTTTAATTAAATTCGAAGATGCCACTATTGATTTAGAACCATTTATTAGATTGCATCCCTTTGAAAATAGACAGGTTTTGGTGCACTCGATTATAAAACACTATATAGATGTAAGTTTTCTTTATTTTAAAATTATCTATTTTAATATAATATAAAAAAATTATTTTTCAATTTTTTTTTTAGGAATTAAAATGGCAAGCGGCAGTTATTCTTGGTTCAGTGGATTTTCTCGGCAATCCACTTGGATTTGTCAATGATGTTTCAGAGGGTGTTTCAAGTTTCATTTCTGATGGTAATGTCAAAACTTTGGTGCAAAATTTGGCTCATGGATTTTCTAATTCCGCGGCTAAAGTCACAGAAACATTATCTGATGGTTTGGGTCGTGTGATTATGGACGAAAGACATGAGGAGACGCGACAAAGAATTCGTGCAAATAATGCTGGAAGTAGCGATCATTTACTTGCTGGTATAAAAGGATTAGGTTTTGGAATTTTGGGCGGTGTTACAAGTATCGTGAAACAAACCTACGATGGTGCTTCAAATGAAGGATTTCCAGTAAGTGAACGAATTAAAATTATTTAATCTCTTTAAATAATATGTGTAATTAATTTTTTTTTACCAGGGATTTTTCTCTGGACTGGGAAAAGGCGTTGTTGGAACAGTGACAAAGCCAGTTGTTGGAATGTTGGATCTTGCATCGGAAACTGCAACCGCAATTCGAGAAACGAGCAGAAGGTTAAAATTTTTAAATTTTAATTTAATTTTTTATAATTGTTATTTAAAATCGTTAATTTTTTTTTAGTGCTCATCGATTAATACCGAAACGAGATCGATTGCCACGAGTTGCAAGTGGTCCTGCGGGATTATTACCACCTTATAATCTTCAACAGGCCGAGGGACAAGAATTTCTTTATTGCATTAATAATCGTGATTATTCTGAGCTTTTTGTTGCTTATGAGTGTTTGCGAAGCGGTGCAGATAATCTTAAGGTTTTAGTCTCAAATGAAAGGGTTCGTATTATTTCTGGTGGTACAAAAGGAGTTGTCACTGAAGTTAGTTTAGCTGATTTACTTCACTGTCAGCCAACTCACAAATTAGAAAGTAATGGCGTCACTTTACATTATATTGAATTGACATCAAGAGATTCAGTTGCTTCCACCAATTTTGTTGGCACTGAAGTTTTACGAAGACCAAAGGTTAGATGCGATAATGAAGCCTGTGCTAAATGGGTAAGTTTACCAAAAAAAAAAAAAATTTTTAATTAAAAATTTTTAATGAAACATTTTTTCCAGGTTTCGCAACAAGTAAATTATGCCAAAGGAATGCATGAAGAGTTAAGTTTAACTTTGATGTCATCAGACAATATGTTGGACGATATTCAGAGTTACACGTAAGGGAGATAAAAAAAAAAAGAAACGAAAAGCACTTAAAAGTAGACAGATTTTGTATTTTGTTACCATATTTTTAGCGGTTTAAAAAAACATTTAGTGCTAAATTAACTTTTAATTCCTCGCCCCTCCCGTCCTTGAAGGTCAACATTTGCCTTATTCTTAGCGTTTAGATTATTATAAGACTGATGTACATTGTTGTAAATTATCAGATTTTGAACATTACAATATTTTAAGATAATTCGACTCTCACACACATTAATGTCGCACTCAAAAAATAATTCTTAATTCAAACGACTTGCGTGAATAAAGTTGTAAAAAAAATTTAATATATTAATATATATATATATAAGAGACTGTACATAATTGTACAAATATCATTAAATGATTCGAATAGAGATATTTAAAAAAATTCTAATGTAAAAAATGGCCGATAAAAAAATTATATATATTCTTTTCTTGTTGTCATCGATCTAAAAATTATATTTTTTCCCATTGAAAAATATTTATGAATTTTTGTAATGCACATTATTAAACAATTATGATTTTTCGAATATTTAACGTACATAAATTAAAAAAAGAAAATGAGAGATGTTTGTATGAAATAACAAAAAATGACGTAAGATAAAAATGTTAATTTAGTTTCTTGGGAATGAATAATGTTTTGTATTAAGTAATTTTGTTGAATTAAGTTAAATGGAAAGTTATTGTTGAATGCGAAAAAAATATTTTTACTTTATAGCTTTTTTTTTTTGTACAGAAAGTTTATGTTTTCTGTTTTTATTTTTTTTCTTCGAATCTCTATTTATTGCACAAAACAAAAAAAGTAGATTGTACTATGTAAATAAAAAGAGTTATTCGATAATTTTCAATTGTTAAACGATAAATATTTGACAGGATAATAAAATTGAAATTATTCTCTGAAAAAATAAAAAAAATTTTTGAAAAATCAATTTTAGAAAATTTATTTTTTAATTCTAATATTTACATTAATTTATTTACAACTTAAATATTTCTATTTAATTTTTTTTTTTTACATTTTTTTCAAATGTGCCACAACACTTTGAATATCAAATAATTGTGTTCGCAATTCTATCCATGTTTTTTCTTGAACATTTTGTAATTCACATAAACAATCGTATAATTTTTTATCATCTATTAATGCTTCGCCATGGGTTTTTAAAAATAAACCCAAATAAGCTTGAGCAAGTTCAAAATATTTTCGACTTTCTAATATATATTGAATCATTTTCATAAATTGAAACAATAAATCAACAGAACAATTTGGATTATGTGAGAGAGATTGAATTTCAAAATCAATTCCACTAGGACCCATGGACATTAATTTTTCAAATGCTGGCAAAAAATTATTATTTTCATTAGTTGATAATAGAAATTTACTAAATATTGTGAGATTTTGAAAATCTGAATGCATTTCAAGTTTGTTGTTGTCTTCAGATGTTGTAATATCGGAAAAGTCAAATTTCGGTGTCAATGATTGAATTGTTGGTAAAAAGAATGGTGCAGCTTCTGGTGCTTTTGGTGGTTCTTTGGGCTTATTTCTTTTTTTAATAATATCTAAATCAAGTAAATTTTTCCATCTCGATTGCGCTAGAGACGATAATGTTATTAATTCTTCGCTAATTTGCTCTGGCGATTTGTATTCTTCGTCCATTTCACTTTCAATGTCCATTACATTTTCTTCTGATTTCTCTTCTAATTCATCGACACCCGGCAGTGGAACAATTGGAACAGGAGCATCAGAATTAATTGCCTTTAATGATACGGGTGTGAAAATTGTACGATTGACCCATAAGAAAATTCCTAAATAATCAACGTGCACCGTTGCAAGATATTCGCCATTTGGAGAAAAATCTAAACTTATACACGCTTTTGGAACCTGAAATTGAAAAATATAATGTAAAAAAAGAAACAAAATTAAAAATTTAAAATAATTAATGATATTACCTGAAAAATATCGATTGCTTGAGACGATGGAATATCCCAAGTTCTTATTGTTGAATCACGTGACGATGTTACTAACCATCTTGCATCAGGACTAAAACTCACATCAGTTATAACACTTGTGTGCCCTTCAAATTGTCGAACTATTCTCTTTGAATTAAAATCAACAATAATAATAGAAAAATCTTGCAAAGCCACGGCAATAAGTGAACTCTCGTCGTGTTTTCGTAAAAATTCAACTGGATGATTTAATTCCAATTGTGCTAATGGTCCTGTAAAAATAATTAAATTTTTCTATTTTCTTTCTATTTAGATTAATATTTATTTTTGGGAAAAAAAAACTTACCCTTGAGAGGTTTAAATGGCCAAAATTTCATTAAACCATCTTTTCCCGCAGTAATGACAATTTGATTTAAATTATCAGATGTAACTCCCTTAATTGTTCCAATATGAGCAGTATTTTTTCCATAAGAAGCTCGATGAATTCCCGATTGAATATTAAATCTTTCAACACATCCATTATTATATCCAATAATAACAAAATTACCGCAATGCGTTAAATATACACACGTAGCACAAATACTGTGTTTATGTTTAAAATTTTCTGGCAATAATTTATGTTGTCCCATTTTAAGTTTATCATATGACCAAGTTGTTACAACACCTGTTTCATAATGAATAGCAGCAATATCGTCCCATTCTTTTTCTCTTGTTTTTTCCATTGAAAATTCAATAATATAGGGCATTATCAATGGATCTTCAACGGTTCTATGTTTTTTTTGTGATGATTTTCGATGATAAGAAGCTCTTCCTAAACTTTTGTTAAAAGTTTCAGTTATTGTTGAAAATATTCTTAATGATGAATCTTCACCGGCTGTTACAATATTATCACCATCATTACCATGAAAACGAAGAAATGTCGGTGGTTTTGCGAAACCTTCACGAATTCTCAATAATCTTGCACCACCGTCATCTTGATCGAAAATCCATAATTTTAAAGAATTATCAGGCGATGATGAAATAATTAACGGCTCATTGGGAAGACAATTTATTCCTGTAATTGCTCCAAAGTGAGCGTTTAAAATTTGACTTTCAACTTTCTTTGTATTTAAATTCCACAATACAATATGACCTGATAAACTTCCAGTTGCCATTATTTCATAACCATCACTTCGAAATGTAATACTTGTCACCAATCCCCAATCTTGTATTAATTCAAAAATACTTTCATCAACTTCTAAATTATGTAAAATAATCCTTCCATTTGCTAAACCAATTGCTGCTACATGAACAGCTGGAGCTTGCTCTAAAGCAGTTATCGCTGAATTCCATCCTTTAAATGTATAAATCATTTTAAGTGTTTTAATATTCCACAATTGCATTTGACCTTGTTCACTGGCAAATAAAATTTTGTTCATATAAGTGGCGGGATGTATCATTTTTGTTATTTTAAATACACTATTACTAAAATTCAATTCAACAATTGATTGCTCTGATTTAATGTCCCATACTTTAACATTACTGTCATCATCAACTGATAATAAATGTGGACCAAAGGGAAGTAAATTATGAACATTAGATTCATGTCCTTTATATTTATGGACCAATTCATTTCCACGCCGCCAAGCAAATATTTCATTTTCACATGATGTATAAATGTGAAAAGTATCAGCAGCCATACATGTTATATCACCAGGATGAATACCCGAAACACTTAATAATGTAAAATGTGTAAATCCATATGTATGAAATGATTTTCCCACACAAGTGACTATTAAATTTTCTTTTCTATTTTGTATATATCTTGTCACGTGTGGAACTTCATTACTCACATAACCTAAAGCACGATTACGACAGAATATTTTGCTTTGAGACATTTTTATCAATTAGAAATCTTTGATTTTATTTATATAATTGAAATTAAATCACTTTTTTCTTGAATACATGCAGTTTTTTAAGTTAAAAACAATAAAAATATAAACAATTTAGAAGCGAATTTAAAAACACACGTGGGAACAAGAATAACATTAATATACCAAGGAGTATGGAACATAGAAGATAAACATAGTTTACTCACAGTTATTTTTGACTGCCACCTCGTGGTGTATTTGCGAACTAACGTGTTTGAATATAGTCCAACTCAGTTTAAACTATGTCTATCTCTTTCTTACACGTTGTTTTTTTAAAAATAAAAATAACTGTAAAAAAAAATAAAATAACAATAAACTTGTGACATATTTTTAATTTCTTCTCATTTTTCTATATTTTTTACAGCAAAATTATTTTACAAAAAAAGAGTTTTCTAACTTCTATTACGCATACGCCTTAAGGATTGAAATTTTGAGTTTGAGTTTCACACCCCTGTTATCGTTTCCGGTTTCCGGTAGTGGTTCCCGGTTTTTTACATTTAAATGGCGTCTCCGCATTGTGGTTTTTTTTTTTTTTTAAAGTGGAAAATTAATGACATAATTAAGAGAAATATATGGGAATAAATATAATTTCAGTGTATAATTATAAACAGAAGGCTTTCTAGTAATTTTGCAGATGAGAAGAAGATAAAAACATTTTCAGGTAGGTAATATTTTTAATAGATATATATCTTCACCGTAAGAATTCGTTATTTTGTTCTTGAAATTCTTTATGAATTAGGTTAAAAATTAATTTAAAATCTAAAGATTAAATTGAAATAAATATATCTAATTAGTAAATAAAATTTGTGTTCTGAAAGAATTGACTTCATTTAGGTTAGGTTAGAAAATTTTTTCGTAATTCAATAATAATTATATATATATGTAAAATTGGTTTATATATATATCTTTGATAAGAAAATGTCTTAACGAACTATATATATATAGTGAATTTCTTATTCCTTGCGGACGAGTGACAGGTTTTCCTTTTTTATAACAGTTTTCTTAATAAAAATAAAAATGTTAATAGACTTTAAATGATAACTGGTATATATTAAAATCACATATTTCTGGTTTTTTTTTTTTTTGCAGAAAACAAATATTTTCCACGATGTATTTGTGCTGCTGTTTTATTTTTCCATAATACATGTTACCCAAGGGGCATAAACGTTAGTCAAGTATTTATGTAAATAAGAAGCTTTGGGATCTAATCCTCGTAAGTATATTTTTATCTGCTACTGTGCATTATTGTCAAATAAATATCTGATAATAAGAGGCATAACATTCGTAATATTCTACGATCATTCAATATTTTGTTTTTAATATATATCTTATTATTTTACTTATTTTATAAAATCGTATTGTTTTATTCATTTGTATATTCATTTTTTAATATTAATTAACAAAATTTTATTTAATCTACAATTTATATCTCTAAATTTAAAATTCTAGGTTATGAATTATTTTTTCAAATTAGTTTTTAATATTTAAATTGTATTAGTGTCATATATTATAAAAAGAGAGAATATTTGTGTAAAATGAAAGAAATTCATTTCTCCTTCTAATGATTCAAAATTTAGATTAATGATGAAACTATATTATTTCGTATATAGTTTATATTTATCATATTTTTTTAAATTTAAATAATTCAATTTTTCAAGTTGCTTCTGAAAAATTTGAACAATTATATACATTTTTTCAAAAAAAAATATTTCAAAATCTTTTTAAAGATCTGTAAAAAAAAAAGAAGACAAAAATTGTCAAAAAATTGAATTCATAAGATAAATCATCAACAATTTAGAATCAATTTATGTGTCAATCTAATGTCTAATCTTTTTTGACTAAATACCCAATTTTTCTTTAAGGAAATAAATTAAATTCCTCTCATGCAGCCGATGTACTTTATAACGTATCTTAATATACGTTTCATAACTTTCGAATCTTATTAACATGAACTTAGAAACATGTTATCAATTTTATCATCTTTTTTTTTTCAACAATTTTCTTGGTCATTTTATTCGAAATTTTCTACATCCCACACACACACACACGTAATGTTACAAAATGTTCCAGAAAAAGAAATTTAAACAATTTTTCTGTGGAAAAAATTGTGCAATTTCAAGTATATGTATATATAATCAATTACAGGCTTTATATTTTTATTGTCACGCAATTCACTGTAATTTTCATCATAATTATCATTTACATAAAATTTCCGAGAATATTTTTGCTATTTTTTATGGAAAAGCCATGTAAATAATTTTAATTGTCAAATTTCCTAATTTTGATTTTTTATATCTAATTCATTTAATTTTTATGAAAAAAAAATCTCGTATCTACTTAAAAAATATAAAAACAGGTCTCGATGAAAAAATTTCATCTTTCTTTTAAAGATAAGACAAGAGCATCGATCAAAAAATTCAATTTTATCTTTTGAAAAAATAAATAAGAATCAATCAAAAATGCATCCCATTGAGATAAATGAATGAAAAAGAGAAATATCTTATATAATTAGTGACCAGAAGCTATAAAAAAAAATATATATATATGTAAATCTTTCTGTCGAAAGCTTAATTAATCTGAGTGTTGTCTTGTATTATTATATCGAAGACTCGCGCAGCGAACATCCCATTTTGGGATTGAGTGAATGGAAGTGAGTTTCGTAAGAGCGCGCGCATATACGAGAGGTAGTATAATCTTAAGTAATTTGAAATTTTTTCTTTTTTTTTTTTTTCCATCAACAACGGAGTGTGTTGAAGGTAATGCTGGTCACCAATAAAATAACAGTCGGCAGAAAAGATATTGCGCCAGGAACTCTTGACTGCCGCCTTGATGATTTTCACAACACTGTCTGGACCGACATGCTCGTGTCGCGTGGGCGACCGGAAACCGTTCCTTCCTACCGTCTTTGGCGTAGGTTCTCCAGTGTGTGATGTAGAAGACAAGAAGGGGTTATAGGAATATGCGGAGGAAGAGAAGAAGAAGAAGAAATCAGGAAAACAAGACGAAGAGGAACAAGGATATAGAAACATGACACAGAAAAAAAAAATAATTCCTCGACTTTGACATGAATATAGTACAATATCAATATATCCAAAAAAATCACAATTCATGGGGCAAAGGAGCCGAGGTCGACTAGAAGGAAAGGGCGAAAGCAGGCAATCCTTTTGACTTCATGAATGTATGTAGAAAGGTGATGACCTCGATCCTACGCGGCGCACGCCGTTCTCGCCTTCTCGTTCTGCTCTTACTGAACTGGCCTGCCCACGCTTGCCCTTCTGTCAATTATATTTACTATTTCATTCATACTGGACTGGTCCACAGTGCCCATTCAAGCGCGCGAGCCCATGGCCCAACGAGAGAAAACATATATTTATAAGAGAGAGAAAGAGAGAAATAGAAGTGTCTTATTTACATGGTTTATAATGTACACGCGCGAATATAAAAGGAGGGAGAGAGACTACTTTATATATATATATATATTATATCAGGGAAAAATAATTTGTCCCTGATGGAAAGTGCAAACTGGCATCGAGTCCATCTATGGTGATAGATACTTTGCAATCAATAATATTCATTTCCTGCGCGAAAAGAAAAGATCGATGACGTTATAATTAAGATGCTGATGAAATCTATATATTTACCAACAGTTTCACTGAAACACAATTTTTTTTCAGTATTAGGCAATTTTTGACAATTACGAAAATAATTATATTATAAATGATTTTTTTTTATTTTGTAAAAAAAAAAAAATTTCAAAAACGCACAATGAGATTTTTTCAATTGCAAAATTTTTTTTTATAGAATTCTAAAATCTCTTATTTATAATCGCGTATTCAAATACGACTTCATACAATATAAGATTATTTCTCCGTCTTCGATAAATTTCATTCGCATTAGAAAGTATTAAAGCTTTTTTTAAAATGTAATACCAAAGTTTCTTAATGCATATCAAAATTTAGCAAATTTTTTTGCAATTTAAAAAAAATTAATCTTTCCGGATGTAGAGTGATTAATTATTTATCATTGAGTTCTAATAAAAAATCCCCCCTCCAAAAAAAAAAAGCAGGAATTAAGATTAAAAAGTAATTGGAACCATTTTTAGAAAGCTGGTATGTTGTAATATTTATTTGAATGTCAAACGTCACTCCTCCGTGATAATTAAGAATCGCGTTAGTAAGTAGTTGAAAATGTCTCATTTGTGATGGGGGAACAGGTCCAGTTAATTAACTACACAGTCACGAATTTTGTCTCTTAATAAACGTTGGATTTTTAATCTGATATTTTTTTTTTTTTTTTTTTGAAGCTTCTTAGAATTATAATTGGAATATAGAATGACTATTCATATATCAAAACATTTAATTTGATTACAATTTAAATTTTTAATTTCAAATTCTGATTTCTTGGGATAAAATCCAAATCTATTGACTCAGCATCCCTTGGGGTTTTTTTTTTAAGAAAAAGATTAATTCTTTTTTGCAAAATGAAACTAATTTTCATTTAATGGAAAATTAGGTTTTTGAGTGGATTTCCTGATTTACGGAAATTTGACGAGATATTCACAATTTTTTTTTGGTTCCAGGGCGAATTGCCGTTGATCGCGTCTCCCCCGGAGAAGGACATTCGAATGTGGGAGGGATAGTTTCCGGTCGCCCACGCTTCATCCACGACAACCACTCGGCTTGTAACTTGCAGGGACGAGACTCTTTGCGAGACGGACTCGAGTGAATATGTCGTTCAATATATACGCAAGAAGTGAAACGTATGGTATGTACTTGCGGTATTCTCCATTCAAGTATATATATATATATATATAGGTATTCGTTTGCTTGCTTACTTATTACGAGCACTGCCCTTAATGAGCTCGAGCAAGCCACTGGCGATTAAAAATAGTAATGACGTCTGTCCTACTGCGATCGAAACCCCAGGTACCTGAGTATACACTTCACTCTTGTGGGACTATTTTATATATGTAAGACTCTCCACACATCAACGTTTGACGTGTATTAACTGTTGTTGCAAATCTCTTCATTTTTTTTTTTTTACCCCCCTCCACTTTCAATGAATATGTCAGCTTGAAAATGATCGATTTTCCCCTTAAGCATTCGTCGTGGAATATTTTAATAAATGGAAAACTTCAATAGTTATTGAAAATTTTTTTTTTTCAGGTAGCGAAAGTTTTATTTTCATTTATTAAATTTCTATTGTAATGGAATTTTTATTTAATCGAACATTTAAGTTAATTATTATCTAGTTAATTGAATTTTATTATATACGAAAATTTTGGGGACAAAGAATGACCCTCGAATTAAATTTTATCGGATACGGAATTTTTTGAAAAATATTGGAATAAAAATATTTAAAAATGGTAGAAAAATTATAATTTTTCAAATTTTCAATTCGAAATCTTGCTTTTAAAAATTTTCTCAATTTTTTGTAATCAAAAATTTCTTGAAATAAATTTTTATTAGCAGAGTGGCCATCGAACCTTGAAAACTGGGAGAACGCCTTGAAAAAATCGTGAATTTTTAATTCAGTATTTTTTTTTTAAATTTGTATTTTCTTTTAAATTGAAACTTCTGATTTCTAAATTTTTTATCTATCTCGAATTAAAAATTACACTGATAAAATCTTAATTTAAAAAACTGAAATTTTTTTTGGAATCAAAAAAAACGTGAAGAAGCCTCGTATTTTGTTCGCAAATTTTAGTGCTTGAAAACTGGGATAACGCCTTGAAAAAATCGTAAATTTCTAATTCAGAATTTTTTTTAATAAATTCGCATTTTCTGTTAAATTCAAACTTCTGATTTATAAATTTTTTATCTATCTCGAATTAAAAATTACACTGTCAAAATCTTAATTTAAAAAACTTGGAAAAAAATAACTGTGAAGAAGCCTTGAATTTTGTTCGCAAATTTTAGTGCTTGAAAACTGGGAGAACGCCTTGAAAAAATCGTGAATTTTTAATTCAGAATTTTTTTTAAAAAATTCGCATTTTCTTTTATAATTGAAACTTCTGATTTCTAAATTTTTTATCTATCTCGAATTAAAAATTACACTGATAAAATCTTAATTTAAAAAACTGAAATTTTTTTTGGAAAAAAAAACGTGAAGAAGTCTTGAATTTTGTTCGCAAATTTTAGTGCTTGAAAACTGGGAGAACGCCTTGAAAAAATCGTAAATTTCTAATTCAGAATTTTTTTTTAAAAATTCGCATTTTCTGTTAAATTCAAACTTCTGATTTCTAAATTTTTTATCTATCTCGAATTAAAAATTACACTGAAATAATCACAATTTAAAAAACTGAAATTTTTTTTGAAAAAAAAACGTGAAGAAACCTCGAATTTTGTTCGCAAATTGTAGTGCTAGGGGAAAAATTCTGGAAAATAAAATTTATGTGGCTGTATTTTTTCTAATTTGATTTTTTTTTTGTAGGATTTTCAAGAGGAACAAAAAAGGTCAGCAATTTTTGGATGGCAAACAAAAAAAAAGAAGAAGATTCATGAAAATTGGAAAAAAAAATGCTGAATCCCGCACTCTTGTGGCGCTAACGTACTCGCAGCATCCCCGTTTTTCATGGACCATAGATGCAAAATAGATGAGAGCGCGCGAATCGCGCCACACTGTTGAATATATATATATACCTATATCTAAAGACGCGGTTAATATGGGTAGGTAACTGAAGGAAGGTGGGTTGGGCCGCACCCTGTTTCTCAAGCATCCACCGAGGTGCACGTAAGTATATATATATATTCTTGGTCCACGTTTATATATATATATATATATATATATATATATATATAAATGCACTCGCACACATTGTGAAGAAGTTGCCGCCAACACAAGTGGTGCGTTTTCTGTCTCTGTATATATATATGTATATATATACAGGTATTATAATACTCACACTGGTGAACGCACGCGACGCGCGCGCTCAAGCCAGGAGATCGAGATGCGAGGTGAACGCCCCCCGCAATATCTTAAATCCGTATAAAGGTGTGAGTGTGTTGTTGTGTTTGTCTGTTGAGCGCAGGTGAGCACGTGTGTGACTGTAACATGTATCAAAACCTCGGCTCCAAGAGCCTCGCTCGTTTGAATCTTATATGTTTGTGTGCGTGTATATGCACTCAACTCGCGCAATACTCTTTGGGTCTAGGTGGTAGACCGGGCCTGTCCAGTTTTCCCGTGGGAACAATGCTCCATGGGATATATAATAACAATGGTCACGGGCGTGGGAGATGGTTCGATCTTTATTTACCACTTTTTTTTTTCCTCCTCTTCCCCCCTCTTTGATTTTATTTATTTCTCTGCTTTCTTTATATACTTCCTCCGATTTTTCGTATATATATATATCTTGCTACCACCTTTTTTTTCTTCTCCTTCGAAACCACCTGAAAATTAAATTTTTGATTCTCAATTCGATTTTTGATCTTCATTTTTAGAATTATTTCGCGATATCGCAAACTACTTGTATATCAGGAAGCTTGGATTCATTCTTGATACATAAATTCTTACTTCATTTATGTATGATAAATCAATGGCTGACAGCAGTTATGGAGAATGTCGTTTAGGCGACTATAAGAGCATTACTTCGGTTCGGAATTTTATTTTTTTGATTTTTCATATATATATATATATATTTATGATATGAATGGAAAATAGATTTTCATTGAAAATTTTACATCAGGGAAAAGTCTAGGAATTCTGATTGCGAAATATTAAAATAACAAATTATTATTTTAAAAAAAATTCTTTTCTTTCAATTTATTCAAATTTTATACGCTGAAAATATTTTTTTTGTAGTTAAAAAGTTTTTTTTTTTTTTTTTTTGAAAGCTCTCTTTCACTAAATAAAAATAAATAGAATGTAATAAAAAATGAAAATTTTTTATAGTGTATAAAAATGATAAAGATATCTTTCTATTTTAGAATCTGAAACGATGGGATGATGTCGAGATGAAGAAATTAAATTTGAGAGAATGGCGTATCCCACTTTAGGCGAGATGTAGATCTTGAACCTGAAATTATATGAACATGCTTTTTAGAAAACCCTTTTCGAAAATTAATAAACATGAGGATCCACTTTTTTGAATGCTGTTCGTTGACATTAATCTACATATTTGAGTGCAAGAAAATCAATAAGGTAAATTAAATATTGAAAGTATTTTATTAAGTATAAAAATTTTTATTATTATTTTTTTTAATTTAATTTTTTTTTTTTTCAAATCAAAAAATCCAATTAATTTTTCGACAATTTCATCTTGAAATTATTTTAATAATTTTTAACCCTATGACGCTATTTCTTTTTCATAATTTTTTTAATTTTTAAATATTTCATCTTTCGGGTCTAAAAATAAGAATACCAATTTAAGAAATCGATTTTTTATTTTAATTTTTTTATGAAAGGTAATTAAGATGTTAGTTTGATAACTTGAGATTGTGAATTTACTGCACTTTCTAAACGTATTTGGCTTAACATCCAATTTTATCAAATTAGAACGTTATTTATAAAAGAAGACTATAAAAAGATTTAGATTATATATACTATAATTGCGAAAGGGTTAAAAAGTAATTAAAATAAAATATCTTAGAGTTTTACCCAATTTTTTTGCACTTAATTAAACAATGCAAATATATTAATTAATATTTAAGTTAATTAAGAAATTTTTTGAAAAATTCAGATAATTTGATTAGAAGTTTAGATAATTAAATTTATATTTTAAATACATCAGCCAAAATAGTTGGTTAAATAATAATGATGTAATATGATTTTTTTTTTTTTTAATCGCACTGAGAAAGTAATAATAATAAATTACGTTAAAAATTAAAATTATTTACTCGACGATTGCTATAAATTTAATTTGACAGTAATTTAACGTTTTCGTCTTAAACGTTAATAAAAACTAAAAACGAATAAAAATGAAATTAAAAACGACAATATAAAAAAAAATAAATAAAGATTAAAGAAAATAAAACGAAAAATTTAGACATCACGCAACTATATGTTTTTTCAAAAAAAAAACAGGTTTAAATACGCGGAGAAAATAAAATCGTTTAATTTAGCTTTTCTGTCATTTATAGAATCGTATAAAAGTATTAAAAATGATATATTTCGAAAATAACATTTTTATATAGTTTTTTTTTTTTATGATGATCTTAGTCACATTATATAAGTTACTGTTAAGGTTCATTGAAGAACCAATAGATAGGATCATTTACGAGGCTCTATCCTTTAAGAAACTTTCAAGGCATTATGAAACTTTAATGATCCTTAATGATCTTTATTCACATTTATCGAACCCATTATTAACTTTTATCAAATTTAACAATGAGTTTTACAGGCAGAAAAAAATGTTAATTCAAATTAATTGGCTTTGGAGGAGACTGTTTTGTATTTTATTTTTTATTCTTCATATTTATTATTATTATTATTCTTTTAAGTTTCCTTTGACGTTCAAATATATATGTAAAAACATTTATCGTTTGATTTTGAAAAAAAGAAGATTGGTTTTTGAAAATTTTGTGACATACACTTAATCCGATTGAATATAATTTACGTCAATTATAATCTTAATCGAACTATTACCCCGTGTTATATTTTATCATTCCGCAGCATTTATTTAATCTTACAAAGTGGAAGCTGCGAAGGAGAAGGAATTTAAAGAAGAAGAAATATCTTCTGAGAGGAAGGGACTCTTTTCCCCTTTAATGCTTAAGATATAGCCGGAAAGATATCCGAGTCCAACGACCTTCCCAACCGTCAACCCTCGTAACATCGAAAAGGTTCGATCACACCTTGATACAACAACGTTATTTATTACGTTCAGACCGTTAAAATCCAAGTACGATCTGCGCCTATCTTAATATATATATAGTCCTTCCCATGAGTCCCATAATTTTCTACATTTTTTTCTTTCTCCTTCTGCGGGTGTCGCTTTTATTTCGCGCGCAAAGAAGAATCGAGCATAAATAATCCCCGTGCAAACTTCTTCAACACAAATTTCATTCTTGAAAAAAAAAAAAAAAAAAAAAAAAAAAACATTTTTAATGCATACACAACTTTAATTCCTTCGGGTGAGAAGAAACAACTTGTATATTAAGCCATGCTCGAATCATTTGGACCGGTTCGTGAAACACAAAGTGTTAACTGTCCTTAATTGAGGAACCCCGAAGCTCGACATTGATATTTTTTTTATTATTTTATTTCCTCGTGTTTTATTCGCTTTCTCATTTACAATTCGGATTTATTAAATTAACATTTTCGTCAAACAATTCTGTTTATTGTTTTTTCAAAGGAAACTTAAAAGAAAAAAATATCTTGGAAATTTTAAATATAAAGAAAATTAATGAAATTTCTTCGACAGGATCGAAAGATAAATTCTTCTGATTAATTAAAATATTTTCAAAAAATAATATTCAGTATTCAGTCATTAGGAAAATTTGGTGATTGATGCACGCACAACATCTATATATATAGTTAAAACGTTTAGAAGATTTTATTCTTGAATAATTCTGATTTAGGTCATCTTTATTAAATTGGATCGTTTGAAATGTCAAATTTTGATTTCCAATTAAGCTGAGATATAATTTTTTTTTTTTTTCTATAAAGTCAAATTTTTGACTTTGTATCATTTATATACATATATAATATGAAAAGATTAAAATAATTTGGCCTCTCAATAACGACTTCAAGGTTATCGTCACTAGAGTACCATAATCCGTCTCCATAGATTATCATCGCATAGGAATAGTTGCGACACCCAATGGTCTATCGTTATAACCAATAAGACTTTCACCATGGCGTGTCGTGTTCATTCATAAATCGATTGTGCCCGACTATAGCTATATGTCGTTTGAGTGTTTCGAGGCATGTTAAAACGTTTAAAAGCGCGGGCGTCACGTCGTAATCCGCATTGCTCATTCTTTTTTTTTTTTTTTTTCTTTTTCTCTATTCAAATTCCTCTCGCACTACAATCGGATATATAATTGAATTTTTGATTTAAAAAGAATATAATCCCTTTTTAAAATTTTTAAATACTTTTCACTAATTTAATATAAAAAAATAATTAATGAAGATAAAATTTTCCTTAATTTCCTAAACTTCAAGTTATCTAATTTAATAATATACTTTCAATGGAGAAACTAAAGAGGATATATATATAATTATATGAATGAAAATGTTGAAAGTTGTAAAATATAAAAATTTTCTTCGTGCGGTGTTTATTATGAAAATTATTCATTTTTTTTTTTTTCACTTATAATTCGATTCTTGAAGAATTATATAAAAGCATTAATGAATAACATTACACCACATGCGGCTTTATTGAGCTTATAATAAAGTAGACATGGGGGGATTGTCAATGAACGAAGGAGAGAGAGAGAGAGAGAGACCCTTGATAAAAATTATATACTCGTATCTACAATTTTACACATGAGCTTGGACTTAATGCGCATTCCAGCAAGCAAGTCTTGGGGACGATTATGCTGCACGTCCGTCGGCTTAAAGATGACAGTAGTAAGTAGTAATGACCAGCAAGTGGTTTTATCGGCCGATTACATCGCTCATCTCGAAATAAAAACAAATCATTATATATACACACTAGATTCATTCATAATTTTTTATCATTATTCTCATCTCTCTCTCTCTCTCTCCATCTCTTGCAATTGTCGCAATAATTGATAAAATTGTATAATATATTTACCCTTAGCAACATTTGACATTTCCTAAAGGTCAATTTTTTTTTTTTATAAAAAATTCGATTAATTTAATTTATTTTCGCGAGTTCGGATAAAAAAAAATTAAAAATTTAAAAATTGAATTTTAAAAGAGGTTTAAAAATATTTAATATAGAAAATTGAAGATTTAATAAACTGAATTTTAATTTTTTGTAAACTAAGAAAATAGTGGATAATTGAAAATAATTTTTCAGATTCGTGAATGAGGATTATTTGCGGAACCGAATTATTATTAAAGTGGAAGTAGCTGACAAGCGTCATCATCATCATCATCATCGATGCGGGAGAGATATATTCTAAGGGTGCGTCTTTGATATACCATAGAGTCTGGAGTCTCGAGTTGTCGAGATGGAAAAGAAGAAAAGAGGTGTGGCAGACCTCTCTCGCATTGTCCGCCCGTATAGCGTTAAGTCTCTTGGTCTTGAGACTGGTCCACACGCAGCATCCGAATCTATCTGCATACACTATAGAGTTGGTGTGCCACACATAAGATTTAAAAAAAAAATGGTATAGGTAAGTACGCACATTGTTGTGTATTTTATGTGTATATATATATATATATATATATATGCACAAATACGCGCATAAAATCAACGAGACGCGCCAACGACCACAACATATACATATATATACACTCGGTCAAACCCGACCGGTATTCAAAGTCAGAAAGGCGACGCGCAACGACGAGAGGCGAGAGGAGAGGTAAATCCAAGTAGAGGGAGTAGGCACGAGCCTAACTGCAACCAGCATCCCACGCGCCTGGACCAACGCGTTTAGTATCCTTCTCTCCCCCTATCACCTCTTTCCCCTTCACCTCACAATTCTTCTCTCTCTTTCTCTCTCTCTCTTTCACTCAACTCTTTCAACTTCATGTATATTCCAAACTATTAGCTATATACTTTTGCTTCTTGATTCTTATTGCATATATATACGTGTGTCTATTTAATCCAATGAATATTTCACAAAAAAAAAATCGCGAAATTTTCATTATTTCGAAATTTGTAGAATCGAATTTTCGTACTGAAATTTTCTTTTTTCAGTATTTCGATTTTTTTTTCGATAATTGAAGCTTTTTTCTATTTTTGGGGAATTTCTTGCGTTAATAAATTAGGATTTAATCTTCATTATCGGAAATATTGAAAGTTTCATCCATATGCACCGAGAGAAAAGATATATTTGTCTTAGAGCCAAATAAATGTTTCAAATAATTTTTGAGTTAAATAAAAATTTTATTTGCCCTAATTTTTTTTTTTTTATTTAAAAAAGTTATTTTTTAAAAATATTTTTTGCGCTATTTAAATTTATTTTCTTCTTTATCAATAACGATTCATTCATCGTTCGAAATTCTTCTTTCATATATATATTATTTTGAAATTCATCTTTACTTATTTGAATTTACATTTTGAAGTACACCTCAACTATCATTCGCAGTGATTGAATTCTTCATATATCCCAGTCAAAAAAAAAAAAAAAAAAAAAAAAATGTAACTCCGAACGAGAATGAAACGGTTTAAAAACTGACAAGTTTAAATCGTTGAAAAACCGGTTTTCGAAAACGGTCGAGAAAACGTTTCTTCTCACCTCTGCATATATGTAAAGTCGAGTTAAAAAATAAATAAATGATTGAAAAGCTTTATTTTATATTAATTTTTTTTTAGTCATATTCACACTGACATGCAATGGTGAAATGAGCGTTTAGTCGACCGATTTCTGAAACCGGTTTTTGAGCGATATGAAGTTGTCAATTTTTGAACCGTTTTAATCCCCTACTTTTGATTTAGTGTGACGATAGATATTACATTTTTTTTTGTATATATGTTCTTGTCTCTCGCTTGTCTTTAATCTGGTTTCAGTTTTCATACATATATATATATCCGATCTTTACATACTTGGAAATCTATATATTGCGCTCAAGTCAAAAATTCGTTAACGTAACTTGTTTGCCTCGCCATTCATAAAGTTGCATCACGCACCTCGCTAACTCGCAATTGATAAATATTTTCAGTCATCATAATAATCGAATTTATAAATTATTAAATTGATTTTTTAAAAATGGAGATTTTTTTTAAAAAGAATTTTCTAAATCAGATTTTAATCTGTTCCATGGTTTTTGTTATTTTCTTATGGTTTATTAAATCCTATTTGTTATATATAACAAAATGTCAGTGAAGAAAAGTGATACAAGTGGAGCAAATGCAAATGGAAGTGAAGCTCAGTTTCCTGATGCGTTATTGCGTCTCGCACAACTTCTTTCCGCATTCCGCCACTCCTATCAATGAAGACTCACGGCTAGAATCAGACCATAGAGACACATCAATTTTGTTATATTATATTTTTCCCCAAGTTAGTTAATTCAAAACAAATTTTATTCTTCAAAAAAAAAAAAAAATTATAACAAATATCATCTGAAGAATAAAATTTTTCTTAATCTGTAATTTAAATGACACTTTTATTATATTTATGATCAGATTTAAGTATCTAAATATTATCTTAACAGGTTTTTATGTATTATTGAAATGTAGACAGTCATTATAGAAAATTCCAATCTTAAGAGGCGTAAAAAAGGGACCATCACACATTAGGTAATCTTAATTAAATGTAGTGACGGAATTTAGCCAGGCCAGTCATATTAAAAAAAAAGGAATACAAATAAAAAAAAAATGTTCGTTATAGAGAAAAAAAAATAGTGTCAACTAATGGCGCGCCCTAAAAGTCCATATTTCAGATTATGGTACTAGACAGGAGGACCTTGCTCCTTTAGAAATTATGATCATTTGTGGTCCCTTTTTGGACGCGTGGAGTGGATGCGTTTCGTGAAACAGGACCCTAGACGTAAATCAACCTGAATCAGTTCCCTTCTCACACGATTGCACACGCACGCGTGTATAAGATATAAATATACGCACTCTTCCTCTCTTATTTTCATGAAGAGAATCTCTCGATCGTTTTCTCTGGCATGCTCGAAACACGACAGGATTACGATTTCGATCGAGTCGCATCGCAGTGCTTGCTTCTCGTCTCTCTCTCTCTCTCTCCCTTTCAAGCAAAAAAAAAAAAATACAAACAAAAAAAAAAAGAATTCAGAGCCCAAGAGAGAGCTTGTCGGAGCGTGAAACGATAAAGAGGAGGAGGCGACGACTGAAAACGATATAATGAGCAGAACGAAATCGTATTAAGGCACGAGGAACGACCAGTCCGTTTTATCGAACCGGATGCTATCTTCTCCTCTCTGTCATTTGATCTTGCTTTCCATTCCTCTTTATTCTCTTTACTTGATCTTTTCGCATGACGCACTATATATATACACCAGACTCATATTCTTTTTGCGCGAGAGAAGGTGCGATCATTCGCCGCACTTAACAACACACGATTTGGAAAATTGAGCGTACCAAATTTTTGTAGACCACCCTCGAAGACAATTGATTCTTTCTTTCATTGCAGTGAGAAGCACGCGTGTGCGCATTGAATACACAAATTGTTCTTATGATCATGAATGGCAATAGCTCATCTCTTCCTTTGATCGTTTACAACCTTCTCAGGATGATCGACCATGGAATATCAATGAATAATCCCTCAAATCATATTGATTCCTGGAAAGGAAGAGCTATAAAATTTATTGCACACGTGATGTTTAAATTATTTCAAATTCATTCAATCATTGAGAACAAGAACTTGTAAAAAAAGTATACCGCTAGATTTTCTCAAAATTTTCAAATTTACAATTTTGGAAAATTGTTTCTTGGAAAAAAATTTTAAAATAGTTATTTTGTAAAAATGTAACTCAATTTAAATTACTAAATTTAAAACTGCAAGGAAATAAATATTTTCGTAAATTCGAATCGCAGTATATATACGATTAAGTAAACGTGAATTAATTAATGGAGGACCGGAAGTAGAAATATTCATTCATAGTCAGGCCCACATAATTGTGAAAGAAACATATATACACTTTTCAATCCAAATACGGTTATGCGACATAGATCAGCAAACTACTTGGAATAAAAACCAGTTATGCATATAAGAACATTTTAACAACACATACCCTAACTTATATTAAGTTCGTCTGTTTTTTTTTTCAGTGAAACTCTGATGTGAATCTTCACCAAAATTTCGCAATTTCAAAAAAGATATTGGCCTCAACAGGTGATATACACTGATGAGAATAAGGACTTCATTACCAGTGAATAAATCTAAATCAGGTAATATTGCAAAGCAATAGAAAATAATAATAAAAAAATTTTCTAACAAAAATTAAAGAAACTAATAAATTAAAAAATATATATATTTAATATTATATTTTCATTTTATATTTTAAAAAAAAAATACAAGTAAACTTTACAAAAAATTTCAAAATAAATAATTTAATACTAAAAAAAATTTCGAAGAGAAAAAGAAGAAGGATAAAAAGGAAAGAGAGAACCATTAGTTTTGAAAATTGTCTCCTAAAAAAAAATAAATATAATTTAAGTTTTGATTTGTAGAGAGTCGAGGTAGAGTTAGCTCCACCTTCGAGATGATACATGAACACCACATTCAAATATCCACATAAATCTAATTCCAAAACAAACTCCTAGTAAAATAAATTTAAATAATTTTCTATGCATCACGCTTACCTGACAAGTATTAATTCACTTCGAAATATAAAATGAACATAATGAATGTCACTTTTCTCACTCTTTTTTTTTTTTTTTTTTATTTTATTTGAATTGAATATTAAAAAAATCGAATTACAATAATAACACGATTTACCTTTTTAGTTGTTATAGCTTATTTTAAATATTTACTTTTTTCATTTCTTATTATGAGATTTTATTTTTTCTTCACACTTTTTAAAACATTACTTTTTTTTATTAACAAATATTGTATTCTCTTTTAATTTTTATTAAATAAAAGAGAAATAAAATAATATTTGTTAAAGTAAAATAGTATGTAAATTTTATTGATAAAAGAATAAATCGGCAAAATAAATAATAATAAAAAATAAATATAATATATATTAGTATGGTGTAAAAATTGAAATCTATAAAAACAAGTCGCTTGTTATGCTTAAGCAATTTCTTCCGTATGGTGCTATAAAAAACAAGTTTATTTATGTCTGGCAAGTAATTATTAAAAAGAAAATGTTAAGCACGTCGGGAAATGTCGTGAATGCTGCTATAATAGTCGTTTTCATCGCGGCTAGTCCCAGGTCTGGAATGTGATGTTGAACAACACTTCCCATGGAGCGAGATCGCGCTTCCATCGCGTCGCGTCTGTCCCCCGCTTCACATGATAGGTAATTAAACGAAACGTGTAATGGAGTAACGTGTGCACTACCTACGTCAACTGTTAGCGGTATCCCGCAAAAGCTTGTTCAGTTGGATTCCATTGCCCTTGGTCGCTATGCATTCTAATCTCTTTTTCAAACATTAAAATTGTCAGAAAAAAAAGAAAAGTCTCAATTACTCCGTAATCAAAATTAAATTTTTATTTTACATAATCAAAAACTAAAATATTCATTTTATTTTTAAAAAAGAAAATTTCAACTAAAACTAATTTAAACCAAATAAAAAAAAATCACAAAATGCTTTCAAAAAAAATTTAAATTTAAAAACCACACACTCTTTATCACAAAATCTGATATCTTTCTTGTCTCAAAACAAAAATATTTGGATAAGGTAAATCAATTATACACTTTCAAGTCGTAAAATAAAAAATTTCTATCACTTTTATTAAAACATAAATGACACATAACGGACGTCAAAATATTTTATTGAAAATTTGATTTTATTATCCTACAATAATTCTTTTTTAAAAAAATGAATAATTTAAAATTCTAATATATTTATTTATACAGGAAAAATTCTATATTTGACAATAGAGTTTCTATTGATTTCGTTAATAAATTGTACAGATTACCTTTTTTTTCCAATATATAAATATTTAAAGGGGGAAAAAAAAATGAAGTGTACACGTTACGCCCCTTACACTCTCGAAATTCTATTGTAATATCATATTATGTACATATACACCTGAGATTTTTAAGTCCCAAAAAACCCATCCAACATTAGAGGTTGAGGGCCCACCCACAGTCAAAATAGGTAAAATGACCTGGCTCCCGCGTCTCTCTAGTCTGTAATTTACGATCGTTGGGCTCATGATAATAAAATAAAAAAACCAAAACCAAAACCTACGAGATCCATTCCCTGCCAAACTGTCCATGAAGACTTTCTTATATTCAAAATTATTTATTTATTTTCAAAACAACTTGAAAAAAAAAACGACATATTTTTACATGTTACGAAAAGAAAATCACTTTATAAATCTCTTTTATTTCTTTATATAGAGGTTACTTTGTTCTTACTTTTTTTTTTTTTTTTTTTTTATTTCTTTAGAGAAAATTTTTATCTTGATTTATACATGTAATTTACATTCGCTTGTGAGGGATTCCAAAAAGACCACCATGCGTGTGTGACATTTATGACAAGTTAATTTCCAAATTGAGGAGATTTAAATACAAAAATACCTCTCTGTGGGGAGATTTCATGGTCATTTAATAAAATGCTTAAACACATATATATACCTATATACAATTAAATATGATGCGTGGAGAAAAAAAATTTGAAAAGTGAGAGAATGAAAAAAAGCTCTAATTATATTATATAGAAGTTTATCGTTTATGATTAAGAAATAGAAATTAAATACGGTGAGAAGTTTAGCTACTGGTCTTGATGAATTTTTTTTTCATTCTTTTTTTAAAAGAGCTTCTCTATATATACTTGAAGAGAGTGGATTCAAAATGAGTCAGACAATTTTTAATTATGTTTGAAAACGTCATTTACGAAATTTTTAATTAAATATATACAACAAAATTAGAATTTTTCTTTTATTTTCAATAAAAAACAAATTTATTTTCTCTATATAATTTTTATTGGTAATATATAAATAGAATTTTTATTTTCAATTTCAACAAATTTATTTTTTCTATATAATGTTTATTTTTATTGATAATAAATAAATTAATTGTTCTCTTTTTATATATAATTTTTATTGGTAATAAATAATACCACAATTAGAATTTTTATTTTCAATAACTATTTTCAACAAATTTATTTTTTCTATATAATTTTTATTTTTATTGATAATAGATAAATTAATTGTTCTCTTTTTATATATAATTTTTATTGGTAATAAATAATACCACAACTAGAATTTTTATTTTCAATAACTATTTTCAACAAATTTATTTTTTCTATATAATTTTTATTTTTATTGATAATAAATAAATTAATTGTTCTCTTTTTATGAACATCGAGAGAAAACTTTTATTTGCGTTTAAATTAATTTAAAAAAAATGAATTACATTAAATTATTTATTATTTTCTCGATTTTTTGGAATTTTTAATTATTTTATTTTTAATTTATTTAAGAGAAGCTACTCTTTTTTCTGATTGAAGTTTTTAACTCTTAAAAATAAAATTTTTAATTATTCGCTTCAAGTAAAATATTGATTTGATATTAAAATAATTGAATTTAATAATTTTAATATAATATATAATTTTCCAATGTAGTGAATAAAAAAAACCTTCAATGCGAGAGATAAATTGTCAAATTAAATTAATAATTGGCAATGGGTCTCGATTTAAACGATTAAACAAAGGAACAATTTGATAAGATTCATTGAGTTAAAAAAAATAATTTGAAAAGGTGGAAGTCATAAAACTAAATATATATATTTCTTATTGCAGGTATTACAATGGATAGAAATGGTTTCCCACGACTGTTAATTGCATGGCAATCCTAGGAAAGGCAAATGATAGGACCGATTACATGTGTAATTCTTAACAATCTCATCGGTCACCGAATACGGTAGGATGTGAATAATTCACTCGATTCATCCTGGCGAAAGAGAAGAGAAAGAAGTTTTATTGAGTATTAGTGGTTTGTGCATATACACTCATTTTGAGTTAAATTGCACACATATAAAGAAAAGATATTCATCATTGTGCTGCCGTGATACACCTTAAGGCCCAGCCTTTCGTATCCACCCATTCAAACCCCACCGCTCCGATGAATCGTGGTATAGAAGTCCAAATAAGGGGAAATCCAAAGATGAATTAATGCCCCACCACTTGGGACGTGGCGCCGCCACGAGCCTTTCTGATCGTGCTCGTTTTGCCCGCTGAATTCAACTTTATATATGCTCACACGCCGATTCTTCGCAGCATCAACCGATCGAAGAAATCAGTGTGAAAAAAAAAAAACACATGAACCGTGAAATCTCGCAATCTCCCCATTGACTTTAAATGGGAGGAGTCACGATAGTGTTTTTAATGGCGGATTTTTGCGATACGCCAATCACATTTGACTTTTTATTCACCTTACAAAGAGAGAGAGAGAGAGAGAAAGAGAGTATGTTCGTTGAGGCATACGGGCGAGCACGCGAACGCGCGCGTGTCAACTTTGCGTGGGTGAACTGATGAACAAAGAGGGGAAAATAAAGAAATACATACTCGGATAGGTATATACTTTCCCTGGAGTTTGTATTGTAAGACTCGAAAGAGACGAAACTGTACAGAGAAAACGGTTCTCCAGTTTCTTCATTCATTTGTTTTTCATATTTTCTTCTTTCCATTGCAATCTTTTATTTATGAAAAAAAAATCTAAATCGTAATACCAATGGACCTAAGTAATAGATTATTTGTCAGCTTCCGTCTGACAGCTTTTCAACTTGCTTTTTTTTTCTATATATTGTGCGTTAAGGCCTTTTCAACGATCTTTAACTCTCCTTCATAATGCCTTTAATCTCTTGTCTCTTGTCAAAGATTTCAGTTTAGCTCCACGTCATCATCTTCTCGGTTCTTTTTTTTTAGAAATCCTCCTTTTGATATTTTCATCAAAATCTTGGTTCTATCCTTTTTTTTTAACAAAAAAAAAACTTTATTTCTCATTGACAAAAAAAAAAGAAGAATTTGGTATATTCTGAAAAAGAAATTATTTTCATTGAAATAATGTAAAGTAAATATTTTAAGAATCAATTAATTTTTTGGAAAAAAAAATAGTAAAAAAAAACCCATTTGCCCGTATTTGAATCAAAAAAATTTTTACTAATTTGAAGCAAAGAATTAAGAAAATTTTGTGGTACAATTAAGGAGAAATAAATGATTTGAACGCTAAACATTATTATTGAAAAGAAAATTAAAAGAAAAAATTTTAAGAGAAGCTATTTTTTTTGTAGTTTATTATGATGAGTTTTTTTTTTCTAAATTTATTTCAAAAAAAGAATTTCGAAATACTTCAGGGAATTCAGAATACTTAAATATAAATATAATAAAAGTTTAAAATAAGTCTATACACTTGTTTTATAATTCACTGAGATTTATTTATTTATTTTTTTTAAAACAAACAAAATTTATTTAAATCAATTTAGGAAAAATTGCCTTAAAATTAAATTAGTTTAAAAAATTCTTTTCTGCTTTTTATAAATGAAGTAAATAAAAAATAAAGTATAGTAAATATAATTTTTTTTGAACAATTTCGCGAATCTAATTTACTTTTCATTTATAATGAAAAAATCTCTTTCAAATATTGAAAAAAAAGTTTCTAACTTTATTTGTCTTTTCGATTACATATATATATGACTTCATTGTTTTCTTTATAAATTATAAAGGACCAAATTTCTCATTCATATATTCATATATATATAGAGGAAGCTTTGTACTTTTATCTATTTTAAAAAATGATGACCATGAACTCATACCTGTCTAAATTACGCACTTCAAATATACAACATGTGCTGTGCCATTAATTTCATTCTCCATCCTTTAAGTCATTTCATTTTGTCTTGTCGCTTTCTCCATTCTTTCCAAAGAGCACCGCTCAAGTGCTAAAGAGAAGAGCATAACTGTTGTAATACACGTGCGAGAGAATATGTCTCAAGATATATATATATTTTTTCTCTTCACATCTCCATACCTGCGAAACATTTATAAAACAAAAATTTACTGATTTTATAAAATCGCATTACATTTTTTTTTTCTCTCTCTCTATTTATAGACTTTCAGTGAAAAAAAAACAATAAAATTCCTATATTTGTTATTATGAGGCAATACTTTTTTTTCATATAACATTCGTATAACAGCTGCGAATGAAAAGTTTGTCTTGATGTTATGAACTCGAAATTCGTGTGACTTGAGTGTATATTTAGATGCGACAAACAACGTACGTTCTATCGTTATTTTTTTTTTTTTTTTTTTTTTATTTGAGAACTTTGAAGTATTAAATACTTAACGTTTTGAAAATTGGAGACATTGAAACAAAAATCATATATGTAAATATAACGATATCGGAATTTTTTTAAAAAAAGATTTAAGTAAATAACAACCATGAATTAACATTTTTTATTTAATATATAGAAATTTTTTTCAAAGTTTAGAAATTTCGGATATAAAATTTTTAATTTACGAATTGATACTTTTAAAAAAATTATATTTATTATTATATATTATAAAGAAACTAGCAAAATTAAACGCGCGCCAAATTGAGTATTTAATTGTTTGTTATAAAGAAATTAAAGATTAATATTTATCAATAATAATTTAATTTATTAGAATATTATTACATATTAAATGATAATAATGAAAATTATATATGTTTACAGGTCTCGGATTATACGACTTTTTTCAAAAATACGACTTTTATCGACTTATTTTAATAAAATGTGACATTTTTTTTTACATTTGAAAAAAAAAATGTAAATAAAATACCTTTTTTTTTAGTATAAAATGTAGATCTTCTTCAGATCTTCTTCAATTCAATTATTTAAGAAATTTTGAACTAAAATGATTCTTCACTAAATTAATTATTTTTAATAATTTTAATGAAATACATTACTAATCAAAATAATTCAAAATAAATTAAAATTCAATTATTACCCGAAATTTTAATTTAAAATCAATTAAAATTCAATAATTATCCAAAATTTTCAAATTTAAAATTTAATTATTTACCAAGTTTTCAATTTAAAATGAAATAAAATTCGCAATTATTTTCTAAAATTTCTATTCAAAATTAATTATCCAAATTTTCAATCAAAAATGAACTTAAATTTAAATTATTATCCAAAATTTCAATTAAAATTGAATTATTTCCCAAAATTTTCAATTCAAAATGAATTGAAATTCAATTATTTTCTATTAATTTTTTTTTCTTATTAAAAAATTATTATTTTTATAATAATAATTATTATTTTATAATAATATAATATAATATAATTTATATTATATAATAATAATTTTTTGATGAAAAGGTAAAATTTAGCTCAGAATAAAAAAAAAAACTAAATGAAGCTAAAAGATTATAATTTCTTCTTTTGATTGCTTCACTTGAATCTTTGGTTAAAGTTGCATATACTTCATGTATATATATATATATATATATAGAATATATTTATATACTATATTGTAAAGCGAAAGATACTATTTTATAAATTGAAATTTTTCGTTTAATCCATAAATAACGACTTACTAATGATTTGTTTCAGAGCCGCATTAACCGTAGGTGTTATATTAAAGGGATGAACGAGTCTAGATATATAATGCTTCACTGTCCCGAGGCACTTGCCGTCCATCAGAGGAGAGTCGATTATTATCACAAAAACGCTTATACGTGCGGTAAGTGCATTCTCATAAATAATTATTGCTTTCTTAATTTTCTTTAAAAGTCCCTATCATAATGATTTAATTTATAATAATATTTCAATTATATTTTTTTTCTCAATTAATAAATTTATATTTCAAATTTTTCATTGATATTTTATCCCAATTAATTATAATTTCTTGTATTTAAAAAAAAAAAATAGGAGGAAGGAAAGAAGGAAAAAATTGGCTAATAGATTTGGAATCTTTGAAATAATTGATATATGGAATATTAAATGATAATTCGAGGATATGATAATTATGATCGTTGCGGTATCATACAATTTCGCCGAAGACTTCTCTTGAGTTTCCAACGTTGCCAACGTTTCCATCGAAAAACCCAGGTGTCTTCTATGGCGTATGACTGTATCGCGTTCTCCACCCACTGAAAGAGCGGTTTTAACAACAATCCAAGAACCTGTTGCCAACGGTTTGAGAATCTCTGTCCTGCTCGTGCCGAGACTCTCTTTCTCCTCACATCGCACTAAAGTATGTTTTTTCTCTCTTTCTGCTTGAATCTTCTTCTTCTTCTTCTTCTATCTTTCTGCTCCAACGTATAGTTAGATACTTCACCGCGTAATATCACGCACTTTATCATGAGAGATGCTTACGTGTATGACAGAGGAAAAGAAAAGAGACGAAGTCTTTCTGCGTTTGTTGGAACGTTACAAGCCACAAGAGAGAACAAAAAAAAAAAAAAAAAAAAAAATTGAAACATAGAAGGGGAAAAAAGAAGACAGAATGAACAAGAAAGAAAGTATGCGGTCAGAACGAATAGAATATAAAGGGGTACGGCACACGCCACACGCCATCGTAATGGAGTAATGAGGCAAAGACGATAGCAATCGTGTAGGTTCCTTTCCACACAGCTCTAGAGAGATCAAACGTATCTTGGCCAGTGTATATATATATATACACAGGGGCCACGTAACTTGGAACGAATTGAGCAAATCAGAGCCACATCCGATGAGGTCATTTCTTAGGGGGGTGAGGAGTTATTTTTCATTTTATCTTTCCGTAAATGAAAACTATTGAAACGATGATGGCAAATAATAAATGTAATTTTTTTTTTTTCATGACGAGAAGATGAGAAAGAAAAAAGAAGAAGAAGAAGAAGAGAAGATGTCACGGCACGTGACCCCTGAGACCGACAGAGTCAACTCGCTCAAGTAGCCGCGCTCGCCCTTTGACCTCCGGACAATTTCAAATTATGTCTCCTCCGAAGCGGATATTCGTCAGGGACGAATCGTAAGGTGCCCGTATGGAATATGCAGTCTCTCTCTTTCTTTTTCACAAAATAAAATTCTCCTTTCATTGCATTGTTTCTCCAAGTTTGATGACAGGAAAAATTCATTTCAAAAGGTGGGACGCTATACGGGGACAGTATAAACTTTATATCCCTATAAATCTCAGAGAGGATGAAAAAGCTAGCGAATTTTTTTTTTTCTATAAGCCTTCGCGCGAAAGGTATAAATAATTCTCGAAGAAAACTTTTTTTTTTCATTTGTCTTCTAATTTTTATTTATATTAGTAAGATCATTTTTTTTTAATTTTAATTCCGAAAATATTTTTATATAAATTTTTTTTGCGGAAAATTTCTTCTATAAAAATTAATTTCAAATTTTCATCAAATTCACAGAAATTGATAATTCTTTTGGTGCGAGCTATATAGAAGAGAGTAGTAAATTTTGAAAATAGTAACAAAATGATTAACGATCAATTATAATTCACCTTTTAATAAGAGTTTCGACAAAGTTATGAGTAATTTTGGTTTGCTTATTAGACGTTCAGTTACTTTTACATGAAGATGAAAAACGACTAGTCGTTCGTCATTCATTTTTCTCTACTGCTCTCTATATCTCTGCTTGTTAAAACTGTTACATTCATTTAAAAGTTTATATATATATGTATATGTAGCTCGCATATAATGCACACACGAGTCTAATTATATATGACTAAAGATTCGAAAAGACAAAAGTGATATCACCTTTCATCTTGATTTTAACACATCATATTTTAATCCTTTTTAGAATTTTTAGAACCATTAATATTGAAAGAGATTTTTTAAAAAAGGCACTTTCATTATCAGTTTGTAAACACAGCAAAAAAAAAATTTTTTAACTTTTTTTTTATCGATTTGAATAATAACTATAAATTATTCCACTTTTTTTTATGCTTTTTAGGGGAATCTTTTTGTTTTTCTAATCAAAAAATAAATTATAACAAATATTTAATTTTCTATTTTTGTTATATAAATAACTGTAATATTTTTTTTTTTCCAGATATGGCCAAAAATGAGCAATAATTTTTTTTTGGTGAAAAGAAGATCATGATTAAAAATAACGAAACGAAAAAAAAAAAAGTCGAAGAAAAGGATAAAAGAAGCGAGGAGAATTTATAGCTCTCAAGTAGCAAATGGATTTAAATTTGAATTCGTCTATTGCGATATTAATGTGTAATGCTGCTAAAAAGGTACGCTTACTCTTGTGGGACTTGAAAGAAGTGAGGCGAAGTAAAGGTAAGAGGACTTGTTTAGCCCACGTAGGATAGTCTAGCCACATATGGCGTGTGTCGCTGCCACCATGAGCCTGTTTATACCGCACAGGACATGAGTAGGGGATGCGTATAGAATAAGCAGCTCTATGACTCCTTATATCGTTCTTCTTTCTCTTTCAAATATTGAAAAACAAAGATGTAGGTAGGACAAACATTGATACTATATATATATATATATATATATATATATTCTACATATTTCCAACTAACAAGTCGTCTCTTGAAAATTACTTATCGCTGCACAATATATATTTTTTTTTTCCTCTCTATCACTGACACTCTTGACATCATTTACATTGACATCATTGTCGCTTCGGCCAATCATCTCGATTGGCTAACTTCATTTGAATAACGCTTTGCAAATGTCCTAATGATATGGTCATTTAAATATCACGTATCGCGAAACTTGGAAAATTTTACTAATTAAAAAAAGACGATGTTAGATATTTAATTATAATTTTAATAAAAAGAAAAAAAGCGCTTATTAATATTAATCATTCAAACTTTTTCTAGAGAAAAAAAGAAATTTATAGTTTTTACGAAAAGAATTTACAAAAATTAAATTTTTTCTAAATAATCTGGAATTATAGAAATTTTTATTTAAGAAGAGGGATCAGTAAAAATCGCGTGAATTTTAGAAATATTTAATTTTTGTAAAAAATAAAATTTCCAAAATTGATAAAAATAATTTTATTTTTCAATTAACGGAAAAAAATATAGATTAACTATTTATTACTTACAAAAAGCAAAAACTAAAATATTTAAAATTTTTGCGCATCTCTAGCAATGTTTTTCTTTCGAAATAGAAAAAATTACTACTGAATTATAGTATAAAGAGTTTACTTCGGAAATAATATTTTTTCTATTTTCGGAGCAAAAGTTATCGGAAATGTGGATAAATTCTTTACAGTTTAGGATTTACTTTGGAAATAATAAAAATTTATATTTGTTTTCCATTTTTCTCTGTGTAATAAATAAAAATAATTTTAGATCCTAAATAATCGCAAAAAAGAAAATTATCACCTATTAATAAAATTAATTTCGATAGGCTGAAATTACTCTGGTCCCACTTCTTATGCAATTATTTAAAAAAGATATTTTTTTAAATAAATTTTCGAATTTGATCAAAACTGAATTTAATACAGAGAAAATAAATACATTTAAAAAACCAAAATAACTTAACGAATATTTGATTACATTTTTCAATTAATTTTTAAGCTTAAAATCATACTGTCGAATTAGTAAAATATGATTTATTTTTTACAGTGAAATTAAAGGACAAGCAGAAATATACCTTTGGGAAAATTTAATTATATAATTATCGAAGAAAAAATGAAATAATTTGAAGTCATCATCATCATCATCATTATTGAGAAAAATGAACCATTTCCTCTTTCTCGCAAAAAAACAATGTGTATTTTCAACAAGATCATCTCATTTACGGTCAGCAAACACGTCTTATATGATCTGCAAAATAATGCTTTCGAGGCTAACGTTCAATCTTTAGTGGGAGAAAGAGAGAGAGAGAGTGAGCTATATGGTTAAATCCATATAGAATTGTGATAAAATTGGTACAAGCTTCTCTCTGAGTATAGATATTTAGCATGTGGATTATCATATTCATTTCGCGTGAGGCGCGCAACAATCATCCGAAAATTATACCAAAGGAAAGAACCATCTTGCGCGCAGCGAATAGACAAAGTACCCATGGAGTACATTGTCTTCATACATATATATATATATATATATGATGCCGTATGTGTTCCAAAGAGAGAAGTTGCGCTCTCTCGTGCGGGGGTGCGCCCACGCCAATGACGTCACCCGGCGAACGTTGCCAGTCTTACCAAAGTGATGGACGTACTGGTGTGCGTGTCCAAGAGGGAGGGGAAAGTAATGAAAAGGTAGTGGGAGTAAGGTGGATTACGGAGGGAAGAAAGGGTATAATCGCGACCAATGGGGTGGGACTCAAAGAGGTTGCGGGACGAGTTCTGGAAGAGAGGAAACCAACGTGGCGGGGAAAGCTCAGTGAAGGAATGAATGGAGATTGCAAGAGACGAATGAGTTGACCAAGCAAGGTGGTGAAGGGGAAATGAGAAAATCAAGAAGAAAGATGATGATAATGATGAAGAAAAGAGGGGAAAACTAAAAGAAGAGTGGAAGAAGAAAAGTATAATATGGAGAGGAAGACTCATATAGGTAACCGTCAACAGTATCGGGAGTAACCCCAGGGTGATGTCGACGACACGTGACGTTGGCAAATCTTGTTTTCTCTCTCTCTCGCTCGTACACCGGACAAGTTTGCGCGCGAGCCACTCTTTATTAGTCTAGCGCGGACCATCGCGAACCCCTGCCCACTATCTTGGGCTCCAGTAAAGAAACTCGTGTGACAGACTACAAAATATAATTACAACGTCTTCGATGACAGATAAGGAATAAGACACATATACAGTGCACGGTTGATACATTTTTTTTGTTTTTTAGTGCTGTTTCGAAAAAGTGTATGTGTTGAATTTCAATCGAGGGATTGAATACGGTGTGTGGCTGTGTGTGACATGTACGGCCGGTCATTGTTGTTGACAGCGACCGGTGAGCCTTCTTCTTCATCATTGGAAGTGAGGTCGAGGTCTAGGGAAACTAAGCCGATCGGGGCGACAAGTTGAAAAGATGCTGGCGCTCGCGATGCGACGCGAACATACCACTGGACGCAGCACAAATTACGATCCTTCAACACCACTTGTTGGTTTTGATCATCTACAAAGTAATCCATTCTCTGGTGGTGGTGATCAACCATCGGAAAGTAGAGTGCGCGATATACCATCCGAGACTGAAGGCGATGGTGAACTTCAGGAATTTGTTGACATTGCCCAAGTGCAACAACTCCTTCAGCAGCAACAACAACAACATCAGCAGCAACAATCAGTTGCTGCGGCTACAGCTGCTTCAGCGCCTTGCATATGGGGCACAGTTTATCCTCCACCGCCACCAAATATTGGATACACTCATCATCATCATCACCATCATCCACCTCCTCCAGGTAAATTATTTTTTTTATCATCAAAGATTCATTTTGCAAAATGTTCTCCGTCTTTTCTTTCTTTTGAATCTCGATCAAGGGTTGCCACGGGTCAGGGATTTTCGAAAAATATCAAAGAGTTATGAATTGTTAAACAAAATTCAAACTTGGAAGAAAATAGAGAAATTTAATTAAAAAATTTTCCATGATTTTAAAAAAAAATTTTGTCGAATGAATTCAATTTTTCTGTCAACTTTGTTGATCGAGATTCAAAGTTTCGAAGAGATTTAAAAAATTGTTTCTTGAATCGATTCAATAACAAAAAAATTAAATTAAATTTACTTATATTAAGAAAATATTAAAAATAAATTAGTCATTTAAATCAAAATTATAATTCTCTCACCATTTTAGAAGAAGAAAATTTGTGTTCATCACCTCTTTTTTCAAGAATATTTTGCAAAAATGATTCTTTCTCTTCTCTTTCTGTATTTTCTCAATCATTATATATAAATAAGGTACTTGAAGTTCTGAAGGTTCGGATAAATATTTTTTTTTACCATTGTTTTGTATCCTTTTTCTACTAAATTTATTTTCCATTAAATTGAATTTATACTTTTCTCCTTTTTTTAATTCGAAACATTCAAAAAAAAAAAAAAGGATATTTTTTCAGTGAACGTTCAGAACTTTAAGGAACATTTTTTTTTCTCAAATGAACAATTTCTCGGCTACTGCCTGGCACACTCCACAATAAGTCACTCCTATCTCTGAATAATCTTACGGCACAAAATCGTCAGACACTGAATTCTTTTTATCGTTTCATTTCTATTGTTCTTCTCTCCTCTTGCGAGCCTTCGAATTCACATATCGATTTCAACGATAAATTTTATGCGCACGTGTATATTATTATTGGTATGGGTTATATACGGAAGAAGAAGAAGCTTTCTGTTAAATTCGCCATTCAAACAGAGTTGTTCACAATAATTAATTATTTTTATATGAAACGTTCAATTATTCAATAATCTTCCATCTCGAACAAACGGAAAATTCGAAAATGATCTGAAACAATAAGAAACATAAAAAATAAGTTTATATTTAATTATTTTTAATTAATTAAATTATATTTAAATGAAATTAATTAAATAGAAAAAAAATAATTTTTTTATTACTTAATTTTTGTCATGAAATAATAAACAATTTTTTGATAAATCTCTTAAAGATTGAAATTATAACTTTATTGAAATGTAAATGTATCTTTGAAAAATGAATAATTTCTTGTTAAATTGTTTGCTTGTATTTAATGAGAAACATTGAATTGAACGTGAAACTAGTAATTTGGAAAAGGTTTTTGTATATACGTCTTAACAATTTATCATATTAAATAAAATACCATTCACAACTTCCTACCAATTATTAACATTTGTAGCTCTGGCATAATCACAACCATATAATTTCTCCTCGAAGGGGTAAATCGATTACTTATAGCCATCCTTAAGGCATTTGCATGTATCGGATCAAAAGCTTAGGAAGCGATATTAATTAAATAGAATGATGAAAGATAGCCTTGTCCGTTATAAATGCAGTTACAACTCGCGATTGTAATTTACATTTTACAAAAAGGATCAAAAATTCAAATTTTAGAGAGAAATGAATATATAAGAAAAGGAAATAAAAATATTTCAAATGTCCAAAGAGTTTTTATAAATATATATATATATATATATACGTTGCTCGAGATTAGTTGCTATCTTGTGATTCAGAGAAAAATATGATATATTTAAAGCACAATTGATAAGGAGCACAATAGTCTCGTTAAAACGATAAAAATTAAAATTAAAGGATGTTTTTTTTTTGAAATACAAATTTTGTTTCGATTAGAAATATTTTTCTACTGACAAAAAAAAAATCTTATTTTCTAATATTAAAATTTTCAATCGCAAAAAATCTTCAACAGTCGTTAATAACAATTTTACGACATATAAAAAAAAAGAAAGAAAAGAAAAAGAAACAAAATTTGTATTTCCATTGTGTTTGGTTATATTTATATTGTAAGCAACGATAAAAGCACACGGAAAACATTTTCAGCTCATCGTAAATAAGATTCGTCACCCTTAATCGTCTGGTATTTAATTCCCCCCATGTTCGTCGTCGTCGTCGTTCTCCTTCCTCAAATTATTTTCGGTCGTCGAAATAAAATGTGTTACACGTCACATAAAATTCAAGTGAACATGAATTTAAACCAATTAGGCTTTCTTTTATTTAAAAAAAAACAAAGATACGAAAATATTTTTTCAATTTTGACAATACAATATATTTTGGAGACTATATCAAAAAAAAAACTGATTGTCTCACCATATTCTAAACCAGATGTCACGATAATTCTTTTAAAATTACCATAACATGATAATTGGTTCAAATGTGGGCGAAAATTGACTTTATCCTCGGCTTAATATTAGTCCGAGACTCAATTAACAAGATTAGACGAATATTCTGGTCATTGTTCGAGAGGATTTTTTTTTCATCTTCTTTTTTGAGAAAAAAAAATTATAGTAAAATGTTAAAATGCTATTAAAATTTTGTAACTTTTTTTTTTTTGGGAAATTTAAATTGATCTCAATTTGAAGCGAATTAAAAATGGAAAATTTTTTAATAATTTCTAGTGCAGTTTTTTTTTTTTTTTTTTACTCACAGGAGTTGTTTCATTGAAGAGAACTGTATATCTTAAATCAAATTAATGTGTGGAGAAATCGAAATTTATATGAGTGTAAACACTTCTAGTCTTGAGTGTGAATATACACGTGTAGTGAACGCAACTGGTAGTAGCTATTGGTTTTATCGTTCACTGATGCCAGAGCATATGTGTCTACGTCAACTAAAACTGATAAGAGAGAAACCCATACGTACATCAATGACGTTGACTTGTGTTTCAAATCAAAATGATCAATCGCTCCAACGTTTTTTTTTTCCCCTCTCTTTTTACGTTAACTTTTTTTTTGCACACAATCTCGCTCACATCTTCAATATTATAGATTTCAATTCTGTAAAAAAAATCCAAGTAAATATCTGCATTATTTTTAAATAAACTTATAATTTATATTTTATTGAACTTACAATAATTTTATGAAGTTTATCGATTATCATCAGAAGATAGAAAAAAATGAATTCATAGTTATTCGAACAATATCAGTCCTCCTACCTGAAAAAGAAAATTTTTTTTAAATCAGAAAAAAAAAATTCAAATCCTCATTAGAGCAAAATGCGAACAGGTTAAACGACGCAGTTTGATTGTCCCACGCTCATCTCGCGCGCCCACCCATCCAATTATAAAAATTTATCAAAACAAAAGTCATCGAATCAATCAGACCTAAAAATTCTTTGATCGAGTTTTTTTTCTTCAAATAATTAGTTTAAGATTGAGGTGTTTTTTGATTTTTTTTTAAAGCAATAAATTTGCTATATACATATATGCTTATGTATCACTAAACACACTATATATGATAAATCCTGTTTTTAAGCAAATCAATGTCATTTCTACTTTCTAACGCTGACAAGAGTACACGCCTTGTTTATGGGTCGTTTGGAAATTGTGTGGCGCTTATAAAATGATCTAATAAAATTGCTAATTAACTTATCGAAGAGCGCTTTCGTTTATTGGATGTTTTTCTAGTAACGATCCTATTCATATATATATGAATCTCCATACTCGTTGTATATAATATGAAAGTGTCATAAAATTGACAAATTGCTTACTTCCATAAACGAATATTGCGCTTTGAAAGTCCAAGAAGCTGTTTTTTCAATTAACATATTTATATATATGGGGCATTCCACGGGAGATTTTCATTCAAAAATTTTTTTTCCCCGAAACATTTTTTTCGAAATCTGTATGAAAAATAAGGATATACGTATTTTTTTATTTTTTTATTTGATAAAAATGAAGGAAGTTATGATTTTTTTGAAATTTAACGTCAACGATGGAAGTGTGTTTTTATGAGCCGAAAGTTTTGAACGTTCATATGAGCGAAATATTTTTTTCAATCAATAAATTATTAAAAATTATGATGTCAATGTAAAATAAAACAGTAAATTAAACAATTATTAAATTAATAACATCTTTTTAGATATTTTAAACAATATTTTGTAATAAAATTTGTATACTTAAAGAAAAGTTGCAAAAAGAATTTCGTTCATATGAACGTTCAAAACTTTTGGCTCATGTGTTTTTGGGACATTTTTTAATCTATTGTTCTAATAAATTAAAAATTATGCTATATATATATGAATTTTGTTGATTTTTTCTTAAATTGTTCAAATATCTGCTCAAAAATAACGTATACCTATAAGAGAAGTAACAAAAAAGTTGAAATTAAACTCAAAAAGTGAGTTTTCTCAAAAGAGACATTTTCGATTTTTAATTTTTTTTTTTTGCATTACAATCTCTGTGGTGACTGAAGAATTTTTTCCCCTATCTGCGAAAATGGTACTTTTAGTTTTTAAGTTACTATTTACAATTTTTAAGCTCGACGCCAACGATTTTTAGTATGTTTTTATGAAAATTAAGAAAAAAACAAATGAATAATAATGGAAAAAGGTTATATTTGTAGAAAAAATGCTTAAATTCTGTGAGCCGTACTAAAAAAATTATAAATAGTAATTTAAAAACTAAAAATACCACTTTCGCAGATAGGGGAAAAAATTCTTCAATCAGAAATTGTAATGCAAAAAAAAAAAAATTAAAAGTCGAAAGTGCGTCTCTTTTGAGAAAACTCACTTTTTGAGTTTAATTTCAACTTTTTTGTTGCTTCTCTTATAGATACGTTATTTTTGAGCAGATATTTGAAAAATTTAAAAAAAAAATGAACAAATTTTATATATAGCATAATTTTTAATTTATTAGTACAATAGATTAAAATATGTCCCAAAAACACACTTGACGTTAAATTTCAAAAAATCATAACTTCCTTTATTTTTATCAAATAAAAAAATACGTATATCCATATTTTTCATATAAATTTCGAAAAAAAATGTTTCGGGGAAAAAAAAATTTTCAATGAAAATCTCCCGTGGAATGCCCCATATATGAAAGACTAAAATATAATTTTGATATTCTGTTGAGCTTTTTAGCATGTAAAATTTTATATTTACATTGAGAAAAATTTGAATTTTGAATTAAAAAAAGGAGTAATAAAAAAATTAAAATATATATAATTTTTTGGAAGCTGCGACTAATTTTTCAGACATTTATTTTTTTTTTTTTTTTTTTTTTTTTTTCTTTTTGCTTGTGAGAATAATAGTGTGAGAGCCCCCGGTCGTAAAATGCCTCTTATATGGGAAGGACTTGTCTTGCGGAGGCACTGTACAAAAAAGACGCCGGAAGCGATCGTTAATCGAAGAGCTCAACGAATGACTACTTACAATTAGCAAAAACGTGCGAAAGACTCGTGCGCAACGTGACTCATCGCGTGTTATACCAGAATCAAGGGCTCTATATATATACATGTATATGTTTTGAGACAAGAGACATAATACACGTATACATACACATCTAGATAATAGGCATATATACGCGTTTAATAAAAAAAATAAAAAAAAAAAATAAATTGCGAGAGAACGCGAGTGTAGTCACGCGCGGATGCACCTCTAGATATATACTATACTTGATTCTACAATGCTATGATTTCCTCGGGTGGTCGCGTGCCACCGGCTTCTCTCTCTCTCTCTCTTTCTCTTTTCCCTCCGCTTTTTTTTTCCTCTCTTCTTATCTCCATTTATAGTTGATTATAATCATTTACCGTGAGCGATAAAATTCTCTTTCGAAAATTGCTTTTGAAAAAAATTTTTAATAGACTCGAAGTAATAAACCTTTTGCTTCGAGAGAGAGAGACCTTTCTATATGTATATATAATATATATCTATACCCGCTTTAATGAATGTGTCGTTTGATGGCTAGACCAGAAGATACAAAGGAAAGTTGAAGCACATGAAAGTTGTTTTTAGTTATTTGCGGTGGTCTCGAGAGTTGTTTTTTCTTTTTAAATTATAAAAAATATTTTTTTTTTATATAAAAAAAATTTCCCAAGAAAATTATCATTGTTTTGAATTTGGGAATGAGAAAAATTTGAAAGAAATTTGAATTTTAAAAATAAAGAAGCATTGTTGCAAACCAAACCGCAACTTCTTGTAAGCATCTTCAGTATTGCGCAAATAAACAAGAACATATTGCACGAGGTTCAACAACGGAAAGACATTATAGTTTAAAGTACATATGTGCACTCAGGAATAAGAAGGAAACAAGTCATGTACAGGCTTACGTCAACACAAAGATTCTTAACCTACTTGGACATTATCATGGTGACTTTACACGTTACTTCAAATGCACACTATAAATGTAGAGATATATATTCTCTAAATTGAAAACAATTCTCAAAATGAGTAATAAAAAAAAAAATTCTATCATTTGAGCAAAAATTACTAATTTGCGGATATATTTAAACATTCTTTCTTCAATTTGCCATATTTGAAAAAATAGAAAAATCGAATTTTGTCACGGAGCGTTATAAATTGGTTTTCTAAATCCCTGGCTCAAATAACAATTTCATTGTATAAATCGTGTGCGAGCAAAAAGAACTCCCTTTAAAAAAAAAATTATTCTATTATCCTTTTTTTTTTTTTTTTTTTTAATCATCCTCTCTGCGTATATTTAAATTTTTTTTTAATCTCAAAAGTTTTTCTTCTTTAAATTTCCATATCGAAAAAAAAAATCTCGAATCTCTAGCTGTGAGAAGGTAATACGTTAGTTAAAATTCGACAAGAAACATCTGACTCATCGTGATATAGAAACGATAATATAAAATCATTGTGGTATTTGGGGATGCTGGGTAGCTCAGGTGGTTGCGTGGCGGCTCAAAATAGTGGCTCTCGCCCGCGCAAACCTAACGCGACTCGTGCCGCGAATAGCACGCGCCCACCGTCTCGGTCAGCCAGGATAATTTTAGAATTTGTTGTGCCACGTTACACGAGCAACGATGTGCCAGTACACATGATTCGATTCTTCTTGAAGACTAAGAAGAAGAAGAAGAAGAAGAAGAATGTAAAATATTGAAAGAAAAAGAGACAGGACGATAAAGAAGAGTATGTGCACGCGAGAAAAGTAGGTAGGGTAAAAAAGAAAGAAAAAGAATAAGCAAGAGAGAAGAGAATCAGGCGCGTGGCAACGCGAGTGGCCCCAAATAGGGCATCAGGTGGTTGCGTGTTTCAATATACTGAAATCCCTCTGTAATGCGAGTTATTTTACACGCCTGTAATTTCTTCGAGTCCAAAATTAGCGTAAAATTCTTCTTTCAATCAACTCATTAAATTCGTTTATCATTTTTCTAACTGCGAACTAAATCAATTTTTTTTCAAATAAGAAATTATTTTATGAAGAAATAATTATTTTTTATTATTATAATCTATTCATTATTATTTATTTATTAATATTTATATCAGTTATTTCTTTTATGAACAAATTACTATTTTTTTAAAATTATTATAACGATTTTGCAAAAACTTTTGCTAAAAAAAATTCATAGTATTTACTATTTCCAGATCAAAAGTTTGGGAGAAATTCCTGACAGCTTAGTATTTACTTTGAAAGTAGTAAAAAATTACTTTATTTTTCTCCGTGTTCATCAAAGTTTTTTTACATGTTAAAATTAATTTATTAAAAAATGGAGCTAATTTTCAATAGAATTTAATTCAAAAATTAAAATACTTTTCAAAACAAAAAATATATAAATAAAATTAATGAAATAAATTATATTGTAATTATTTGTGATAATTATAATAAATTAATTCTTATATATTCTTGATAAAAATTAATTTCTTTTTTATTTCGGAAAAACTGTTTAAAGTTTATTTTACGCTTCTTGCTATATTTCTTCTATGCCTGCAATGTTTTCTCTTCTATCCCCTTTAAGAAAAGCAAGCGTTAAATTCTACATTTTTTTTCTGCTTTTTTTCTTTTATTTAAAAACGAATAAACGAAAATAAAATCCTAGGTACAATTTTAAATTAAAGTTAGAACCTTCAATGGGAAAAAAATTACTTGATCAGAAATAAATTTTCAAATTCAGTGAAGAAATAAAAACATTCCGAATTTTTCAAACTAATTTTCCTAATCTCGCGCGATACAAAATTTTGAATTCACAAGTATAATATAAAGTGGAATATATTTTGCACACCCTCTATTTATTCGAGTATCGAGTGCGCATGTTTCGGTCCAGACGAGAACACACTGAACATCGCGGTCAATTTCGAAAGCCGCAGTCTGTCTCAAAAGTTGAACCAAATGGTCCATGGGGGCAATAAACAAATTTTGTTTTTCAAAAAAAAAAAAAACAAAAAAAAAATTGCAAAAATAGATCAAAATAATATGAAAGAATTGAAAATTTGTAATAAAAAAAATCAAATATATATATATATTATGCCAAGTGGTCCATGTCGAGGTGAATCGAATCGTGATACTTCTTCTCGCGTGCAGTTGCGAACGTTCACATACACATAGAGAGCGGCGTGGGTGGGAGAGCGGTCGTGCGCCGCAAATCTACGTCACAAGCATACACGACGTCACTGGAGAACCGAAGAAACCAAGATCGCGGCGCGGAACGGGGAAGTGCAAGCATAAGTGGGGGGAGAAAAGCACGAGAGGAGAATATTACCAGCATATACACACTCGCGTATAGATAGGTACGGAGAACGAGGATTGGCTGGCAACCGCTCGGCGCTTCCAAATATGGGACAGTCTTCGTGGTCCATTCATAAAACTACGGGGCGCGCCGTCGCTTAGCTCAGTTCGTGCGCGACCCCCACGCATCGCGTGTCCTATACAATATATCCGCGGGACCGATTATATACACACATACAAATACACGCACTTTGCGCGTCGAGGCCACGTACACTTGCATACATATATATGCATATACACACAAGTGCGTTTACGAAAATAATACTGTGGCTAGCTTTTGAATCCGGCTTGAATCTTTCGCTGGGGCTCTCAACTTTGACTCACAAGAAATATTATAATGATACCAGAGTTTCTCTCGCGTGAATTCCTCCCCCGCGTATAAATATTTTCCCTCTCCTTTATTCACAAGGAGGACACAGCATACTTGAAAAGAATTTCGAAGGAGGATTTTTCACTGTCAATAAAAAGAAGCGGCGAGAAGACTTGGTCTCGGACCCGGTCGGTTCGTCGACCGGTGCGATCGTGCGACGAGAGTCTCGTCAAACGAGAAGAGGAGGCAAGAAACGGAGAGAAGAAGAGTTCGGGTGCGAACGCGGGCGGGCAAGCGAGCGCGTGCTCACGTCACTTTCGTTCTCGGACAGTGGTGGTGTTCTGCTCATAAAGAGAGAGAAGAATTTTTCGTTATTAAATTTTCCCAAAAAAAAAGAAATTTGTGCTTCTAATAAACATTTATCAGAGAAATAGGATTATGTGATTTTTGTGTGCTAATTTTTGACTTATTTCGGAGTGGCAAGGTAAGCTGAGAATTTAAAAAAAAAATAAAAAATAATTGAGTTGAAAAATACAACAGCAGGCGAGGATACTTGCGCTCCTGAAGGGATCGCTGGTCCAGGAGGAAGACAACATTCAACCTTTCAGAGGATGACGATGGACGGTATGGAAGTTATGGGCTCGCAACCCCATGCTGCCGCAACAAGTCCCTTTCTTCTGTCTTCTCCACCCTTGGGGCATCATCATCATCATCATGCAACTTTTAATTTACAAACAGTGCAATTGAGCTTTGACGCCTGTTTAACGTACAATGCAGTGACGTCGGCCGCCGGTCTTGGCGGTACATCGTCTCTCACAACAAATACATCATCCCTTACGGGAAAAGCCGCTGTACCAACTCTCACTCTTGGCAATTGTACTCCTCTTCATCATCAGCAGCAAGTCACATCCTCTGAATCGCCCGACGGTCAACAATCCCATCATCGTGATCATGCCAATCATCACGATCATCATCATCCGCATCATCATCGACACGAGGATCATCATAGACTACATTCCGATGTTGATGCACCCACTTCGCCAAGGGATCATGACAAGAGGCATTCACAAAGACTTGAGGATGAACGTGAACGCATCACCGATTGCCATGATAGTTTGCAGGATCAAAACGAGAAAGACAAGGCTGGTGATCTCAATACACCGGTTACCACCAGCAGCGATTTGCCCTCCTTTTTCGGCCCCTCCGCCCTCGTCGAACCACCACCGATCACAGGTACCAGTTTCCTTTTAAAAAAAAAATATATAATCAATCATCTACATTTTTTAATTTACCATTTAGAAAATATTTCCATACAAAAAAAGAGGAAAATGATTCATTATTATTAAATAAGAAAGAAAAATTAAATTAGAATATGAAATTTGAAAATTAATAATAAATTGAAAAAGTGGAAATTCTCTCTAGTGGTTGAATTTCACGAAAAGACCGATGACGTAGTACATCACATGCGATGAGAAACTGCTAACATCGAACCTGCCTGCGACGGATCAATACTTGGCGACCCCGACATTCAAGAGAGACTCTCAGCTAGCCTTCTATACACCACCCCCTCCTCATCATGCGTGGTTCATTCATGCTTCTACCCTAACCCCCACCCTTACTATGATTACCCCCCACTCAATATCAGCCGGCTTTAAACATCATTCCCGGGTGTGTTTCCACTTTTTCACTGAAAAAAAAAAAAAATCAACTTTCTCTTTCCTCTCTCAAATTCATTCATCTCATAATTTTATATGCCATCTCTCTCTCACCATATCCACCCACAATATTGATTACACAATTATGTTAAATTGTCATTGAGATTTCATTTTTTTTGTTTCTCAATTTATCAATAATTTTGATGAATTTTTCACTTGAATTTTGATATTTACTTACCGGAAATAGTAGACGGGTTTTTTTTTTCCACATTTTAGTAAGGAAGGAAGTTCCAGAAGGCAGGATGCAGGCGATATTTATTCCCTGATAAGAACTATTCTCTATCGCTTTGACTCTTCCTGCTCGTTGTAATGAAATATCTCTCTCTGTAAAAAAGAATCAATACATTAAAATGAAATTCAGTTTTTATGGAATAAAATTAAACGAATTATTTGTGTGTGATTGCAGGTGGTTTAACGGGAGATGATCTCTCATTGGACGAGCCAACAGTGGAAGATGATAATTCCGCGAGTAGAGATCGACACCATCATCAACAGCAGCAGCAGCAGCATCATCATCACCATCATCAGGAATCACAGGATCATTCAGTAGGCGCACCCTCCACGAGTCCAGTGTCTCAGCATCAATCTCAAGACGATGTTGATCGTTGTAATATTCTTCAGGGCGGTGTTATTCTTTATTCAGCGCCACATTCAACGTCAACAGTTGCTTCAACACCATCGTCGAGTGTAAATATTTGTAATGTACCAACTCTCACGTATCGTGGTGTTTTCACAACAACCTGCACGCAATCCTCAACGTTGAATAATCTACAAACACCGCAGCAGCAACAACAACAATTACAACCACAAACTCCAAATCAAGAAATTTGGGGTTCCCTTCCATCGCCTACTTTAACACTTACCGGTCAACCTTTTTTGCATCCAACTCTACACACCGGTCCATATGGTGGCGAGACTGTGGAATTATTACAAGTCGATTCAAAACCCACAGCACCTCCCGGATATCACGATACACCGAGTTCCACATCTTCCGGTTGGTTGACCGCTCACGAAGAAGCCTACGATCCTGGGTTATTGTCACACCATCATCAGCAACATCATCCCCATCATCACCACCAACAGCAGCAGCAGCAGCAACACCACCAGGAACCAACCCTGAAACAGGAACCATCACCTGGTTATTCAACGAACGTTCCACCTCAACAACAACAACAACAACCATCGTCAAATCAAACAGCAGCCGGTGTTCAACTTGCCGAATACAATCCAAGTACCTCAAAAGGTCACGAGATTCTTTCACAAGTTTATCAACAGAGTGCATTACCTCTAAGGCTAGTTCCAGTAAAACCAAGAAAATATCCAAATCGTCCAAGTAAAACCCCAGTTCATGAACGACCCTACGCATGTCCCGTTGATGGTTGTGATCGACGTTTCTCACGTAGTGATGAATTAACACGACACATTCGCATTCACACGGGACAAAAACCATTTCAATGTCGAATATGTATGCGTTCATTTTCAAGAAGTGATCATTTAACAACGCATGTACGAACTCATACAGGTGAAAAACCATTTTGTTGCGATCAATGTGGACGTAAATTTGCAAGAAGTGATGAGAAAAAACGACACGCCAAGGTTCATTTGAAACAGAGGCTAAAACGTGAGGCGACACATTCATCATCATCATCGTCGTCATCGCGAAATCATCATGCAGCATCATCACCATGTAATCAGTAATGTAATATTGTATAATGCCCGGTACCCAGTCACACAAATACGAGATAATCCCGGGCACAAAGCTATATATTTTTTTTTTTTCGTGTTTTTTAAACACAGATATATATACAAACATACATTTGATCTCGCAATTGAAAAAAAAAAATACATCAAGTATTATATATATACGAGTTGAATGTTGATTGATATTTGAATTTTCAAATGGAAATTTTGTTTCGAATTGCAATATTTTGTAAAGAAAAAAAAATAAATTTCTTATTGAAAAAAATATAAAAATTTACAAAATAAGAATTAAATGCAAATTTAATTAAATCATATGAAATTTTGGATTAAAAATTTTAATTTTCAAAATCCGGAGAAATATTTTTTTTTTTAAATTAATTTTAAAATCAAATTCCCGTTGAAAGAAAACCATTTTTAATTAATTAAAAAAAATATACGAGAAAATGAAATTTTCTCAATAAAACATAATTTTCAAATTAGGAATTTTGTTTCGAATTTTAATAGAAATTTAATATTTTGTAAAAAAAATTTTCTACAAAAAGATACGGTAATTTGCAAAATAAGAATAATATAACAAATTAAATGCAAATTCAATTAAATAAAAATTCATTCATGGTAGGAAATTTTGTTTTATTAAACATTTTACTTTTTAAAATTCGGTGGAATATTTTTATTCGTTAAAAGAAAACTCTTTAATTAATTTAAAAATATATATATATATACGAGAAAATGAAATTTTCTCAAAAAAAAAGAGAAATATTAATGTTTACAAATTTTCGACATTCAATTAAAAAAAAATTCCAAATTTTAATTTCGAAATCTAAAATTTCAATTTGAAAATAACAAAAATTGCAGTCAGTCAGTCATTCAATAAATTATTATATGAGTCAAATTACATTGAGCATTGTGCGAAATTAATGTAGAATGTAATTTTACGAAAATTTTCCTGATTTAAATTTAATATTTCGTTTCTAAAAATTACATAAATTCGAATCAGCGAAAATTTCTCTAAATTAAAATCAGTGAAATTTATAAATATTACATAGAATTAATTTCAAACAGTGAAAATTTCGCTAAATCAAAATATCAGTGAAAATATTAAATAAATGTAAATATCAAATAATTATATAAATAAAATAAAAAAGAAATATATTTATATATATATATAAAAAAAAGAATAATAATTTGAATCAGTGGAATTTTCACTGATTTCGAGAATATAGATTTTTTTTTACGAATTTAGTTTACACGCTTATTTTTTTTTTTTTGCTTTAGGTATACAAAATTGTTTCTTTATCTCTTTTTTTTCGCTATAATAAACTAAACTCTCAAAGTTCGACTTGTTACAGTAAGATCATGTGTTTCCGAATAGCAATTTGAAAATGAAAAAAAAAAAAAAAACATGGACTATGTTTCTGCCATGAGAGCAGAAAACATGAGTTTTTTTTTTTTAGACAAATAGAAAAATATTTATTTCGAGAAAACTGTAATTATAATCTTATTGAAATTAACGCTTAAACAAGATCTCAGAATGCCTTACTGTTCTATTCGAATGGAATTATTGTATCGCAATTAATATATAATACGTGTTTAATGAACATCGCGTCATTATTTCAGATACAAGGATGAGCAACAAAGTATTTATTTTTTGGGTCATTTACCTTATCACAAAATAACGATAAAAATTCATTTGTTCGATATAAAAATAAATCTATATAGCTTCCAGCTTACTATACTTGATATGTACAAAAAAAAAATTGAAATTGTCATATTTCACGCGCACAGAGGGACAAAATAATGTTGCCCATCTTTTTTTGGAAAAAAAATGTGTTTATCAACAATAGCTATATATATCTACGATATTCGTCTCATTCCTATTACAGTATACAGTATTGTTATTGCTCAAACTATTCCTTACAATGGCTGTTAGAATTGAGCCCTTATATTTTTTCTGTGCAATATGATATATAACAAGAAATGTAGTTATTATTAAAAAAAAAAAAAAATTCTCAATTCTTTTGGAAATTAGGTGGAAACGTAGTCATTGTTTTCGAGAAAGTTGCGCAGCGAGTCGGTATTCCAAAAAAAGGAAAAAAAAAAGCAAAGAGAAAAACGAAAAATGTGACGGAGACCTTTCGACGTAATTTCGTCAACGACTGATTCGTCATAGATAGGAAAATCGGTCTGATCTATATATTTGTGATTATTACCGATTATCACGGTAATCAGGGTGGCATAAAGTTTGTTTAAAAAAAAAAAAAAAAAATGGACACGAATCGATATTTTCTCTATTTATTAATCAATGAAATTTTTTTTTCTCCAAAAAAAATTTATCGTAAAACGTGGATTGAAAGTAATTAGATTATATAACTATTAAATAGATCTCGAATTAAAGGTGCTAATCAATCGGAGAGGAAATATCGATATCGAATGAAAATTGAAAACTCTCATGTTTTTGAGTGTATATTTAAAATATATATTGTCCTGTGGAAAAGTGTACGCGATAATCTTTCTAGAGGGATGAAATTGAATTTTGCAATTTATTAAAATTTAATTTCTTTAGAAAAAATGTTTCGTTAATTAAATTATATGTTTTAATAGTTTACTGTAATTACTATATTAATGGTAACTTTCAATTTCCCTCATTTCTATAGATACAGGTTAATTTCAATTATCGTCGTTTGAAACTATACAATTAATGGGAACAACAATTGCTCAAAATTAAATTAATTAGATTTAAAAAAAAATTTAATTAAATTAATTGATGAATTACCATTAATTGCAACGACTTAAAAATTAAAATTGTTAATTTCTAAAATTCAAAGTTTTTATTATTATTTTATATTTTTTAAATATTATATTATTGTTGTTGTTGAAACTGGATAGGTTATTTGGAAGTAAAACACGTATAAGATGAAAGTTAAGAAATTGTAACAGATAAATTAAGACTTTATTGAACAATTGAAATGTTATTTTAACAAACGTAGAGTTGACTTTAATGTAGATTCTTTACTTATTTCTTTAAGTGAGCCGTACAAAACTTTAATGCTATCCGCAGTACTATAATAGCACGACTGACAAAATCCTTCAACCCGGAATTGCACTCAGGTACCTCAAGTACCTGGTTTTCCCTTTCCACCTGAATTTTACTTAAAACCTTAAATATTTATAAATATCGTTGTATCTCCAACACTCTCCCTCAACGATAATTTACAATTTATATGTATAAAATAAAATTTGACCTAATTATTTTTCAAAATTAAATATCTTTAAAAATTGAACTTAATTATTTACTTTACACTCTGAGTAATGCACTGAATTACAATATTTTTAAAACTTATTGTCCTTTAAAAATTGTCTTTAGTCTGTTTTTTTTTTTTATTTCTACCTTATTTTTGATTTTATCACTTTAACACTTTAGATAAATCCATATATATTTCCGGAGGTATACCTTTATTTTCTCTATTGGACCTTCTTAACACTGTTTCACTATCATGATAATTTTCATCATCATTAAAAGATTCATAAGATTCTGGAGAATAACTTGATTCTGAAACACTTTCCGATGAAGTTTCTCTCCCTGAAATTATATCAACTTGATGTTCCTGATCTTCATTTTGATGCTCATCATTGTCCTTTTCATTTGGATTTACTGGAAACCACTCAACACATACCACATTGCTAGTATTCACACCTTTATTGTCTCCCTTGGCTTGGGTCTTCATACCTGCTTTAGTGCGCACCGTTCTCGTACCCTTTAATTGCCCTGTACCCTGTGTATTTTCAACATCTTTCTTAATTTTTATTACCTTTCTTTCATTTGTACATTTTTCTGTTTGTAACTGAAAAAGTTTATTTTCTGTTAATACTGCTGTAGCTTTCACTTTTCCATCTGTGGGGCTAATAACACTACAAATTGAGTCTTTGAATTGTACGCTGAAACCTTTTTCTATCAGTTTTGTTACCGATAATAAACTTGAACTTAATTTTGGCACGTACAAAACATCCGTAACCTTTATGGATATTTCTTTACCGTTGTTTATGAGTTTCAGTGTCCCGAAACCTATCCCTTCAACATCTGTAAACCCTTCTTTATCTGCAAATTGTACTTTTCCCCGTTTTTCATGACTTAAATTTTCAAAAAATTCTCTATTGTTACACATGTGGCTTGTCGCTCCTGAGTCCATGATCCAGCAATAGTCTTTTACACTTTCCCTATTCACTTTAGAACACATGTAGTCTTTTGTTGTAAAAACAAAATGATCTTCATCCACGTGCGTAACTTTATTTGCTTTGTCCTGTTTTTGTTTCCACGCGATATATTTCTCGCACTCCTTTTTGAAATGTCCTTTTCTTTTGCAAAAATAGCATTCCTTTTGTGATGTAACCTGAGCCTTCATTGCTGATTCGCTGATGCAATTATCTTCATTTAACGCCATTTTATTTTTCCGCCTTTTGTATTCGTCGATCAATTTACTTTTTGCCAATGATAATGAAAGACCTTCTTGCCTTCCTTCTAACATTGTCACCAACGTATCATACGAATCCGGTAGCGTTTCCAGTAACATTGCTGCCGCAAACTTGTCCCTTATCTCTTCACCAAGAGCATTTAATCTGTTAATTGTGTCCTGTACTTTATTCACGTGATCTTCCATATTGCCATCTTCATTTAACCTCATTCTGCATAAGGTTCTGTATAGATGCACAATGCTTGCTTCTGATGATTTTTGATGGTATCCTTCTAAATTGATCCAAGCTTCGCGTGCAGTTTTAGAATTAATAATATGGACCAATTGATTATCATCCACGAGCAACCCTATCGTTGATGATGCTTGATCGTCCTTTCTTTTCCAAGCTGCATCCGGAGCTTCTGGAACTTCTTCATTCACCACTGACCATATCTCTAAATTTACAAGCATTTGCTTCACTCTAAATTTCCATACGGCATAATTGTCATTGTTTAATTTTTCGATTTGAAAACTGGGACGAAAACTTTGAGCCATTGTGAAATAAAATACTTTATTAATCACTTCACTGTTAAATTTCACAAATGTCACCTTTTTTACACTTTACTTATAAACTGTCTTTAAAAAAAACTTTCACTGTACTTCAAACGATTTATTTTAATTGTTCACTCAAAATTAATTTACTTGAACTTTACTTTATTCTTTTTCTTTCTATCTACCTGGGCCCATAACCTGTTGAAACTGGATAGGTTATTTGGAAGTAAAACACGTATAAGATGAAAGTTAAGAAATTGTAACAGATAAATTAAGACTTTATTGAACAATTGAAATGTTATTTTAACAAACGTAGAGTTGACTTTAATGTAGATTCTTTACTTATTTCTTTAAGTGAGCCGTACAAAACTTTAATGCTATCCGCAGTACTATAATAGCACGACTGACAAAATCCTTCAACCCGGAATTGCACTCAGGTACCTCAAGTACCTGGTTTTCCCTTTCCACCTGAATTTTACTTAAAACCTTAAATATTTATAAATATCGTTGTATCTCCAACAGTTGTTATTGTTATTATTAATTTACTTATATTATCTATAAATTGTATTTTCAATTTTTTTAGTGAAAATAAAAAATTAATTTTTTTTAAATTGCAAAAATTTAATTTCATCTGTAAGGAATACAACTTGGCTGTTAAATATATAAAATATATATGTAACCATTATTCAATTATGGTGCAAAAGAAACAAAAATCAGTTAATATTTGTTAAACGTCTATAGATGTTTATTGGAGAATTTTGTACTGCTATATATACGTATATAAGATTAGTTGTGCATAGACGTCTGAATTTTCGAAAAAAAAAAACCCTTTGCGTCCAAAAAAAAATCTCGAGTCTTTCAATTTATAATCAGACAATGCTGCAATCATTGTGCAATTGCTTTTAATTCTTTTAATATATATATATATATTTTTTTTTATTATTATTATTAAACTTCGTGCGCCGGTCACGCTAAAATCCGGCACTTCTCCGCCCATCCTCCTAAAACTTGTTCGTTATATCCCCCTTTCCTCGCCTTTTTCTTTATTCTTTTTCTCTATATATATTATATACGCTGCCTAAAAACCCCTTGGCCATAATTTAATATTGTAATTATTATTTTTATTATTATTATTAAAATTATATTCATTGTCGTTGTTAATATTAATAATAGTTGTAAATATGTAAATAAAAAATATTGTACTATTTACAGATACATATATATATATACTCCGAAAAAGATATGCGCACAGATCTATTAGATACTGTTGTGTATTAAAAAATTATATTTAAATACACTTAGTGTTATCACTATGTGAAAAAAAAAAAATTTGGAAAATTAAGTAAAACTTTACAGAGATTGTTATCGTTTTTTTTTCTGGTTTTACTTGCCAGTAAATTTTATTTACACCAGTGTCTTTCTTATTCACGCGATTCTTTGTGCAGTAAATTGTATATGATATTGTGGTATATATATATATATAAAAATGATTAATATATTATGTATATGTTGTTCTATTTATTAACACAACGTATATATAAATATATATCATTCAAAGTTGAACGATTACCATATATAAAATTATTACTGTTTCTTCCATAAATCGCGACTTGTTCTCTCTTTGCAAGAGATGTCAATGTTTAAATTATATATATTACGTTGCAGGTATATCGTTCATCTAAAAGCAAAATAAAAATTAAAAAAAAAAAATCTCAACGTAAATATATATATATATATATATATTTGTAAATATAATATATATATAATAAAGTATGTGTGTATATGTATATACATATATATTTATATGCAATATAAATATATTATATATGAGTGTGCGTTTACGTATTAAATTTACATATATTTAATATACATGGAAATATATTACGTAAATGCACATATCTAACTATTTTTGGTGCTCCAGTGCAAAATGCACATAAAGTTCAACTTTTATCCCATGTATTTTAATGTTACTGCATGGCGTGCGCGCCCAATTGTCAAGCTTTGCAGAAATGACATCACCATCAAATACAAATAATAATAACAAATACATAAGTTAACAAATATTATCTCGACTTGTACTTATTTCGATCCCTATTTTTCCGTATTTTAATCATTTTTTTTTAGTTTATTCAAAAAATTAAATTAAATATTACCATTAATTTTAATCAAGACTCATGTTTACAGAAAAAAAAAATTAATTCGTTATTTGAAAACGATCAAGATAAACGATTAGACCAAAAGTAATCATTGAGGAAAATATTTTGAGAAGATATATTTGAATAAGGGGTGAATTAAATTGATTTTCGAAACTCTATATATATAGTGTACAAATAACATTGTATGGGGAAAATAAATTTCACATAGATTTAGAAACGGGATAAAAAAAAAAAAAGAAAACGTCTCAGCATCATTATATTGGCCTTAGCAACAACAACACAGAGAGATAAAAAAATCGTATTCTCATCATTGAAGGACCATTTATTTTCATTTAGGTTTTAATGGGAATGAATGGTAATGAATGGACTTTTGCCAATGGCAATAGAAGAAAGGGGAAGAGGGGAGATTTTACGTTTAAGTGTATTTGAAAGCGTTTTATATATATCTAAATCATTCAAGAGTCAAGAAAACTAAAAAGAGTGAGGGAAAGAAGTCAATATAAAATGAGATACAGTAATAATCATGTATATATATAAAGAGAAAGAGAGAAGTTCACTAAGTCTATGTAATCGTCGCGCACACGTGCGATTCGAACAAGATACTTTGAGTAATGGGGTGGTTCTCAAAGAACATTATGCGAATCGATACCTCTAGTTACCTAGTACCATGTACATATGTTCAATGCGCCTCAGCCAGAGAAATGCATTTATACGACTATATATACATATGCGTATGGTACGTAGGATTGTCTACCTATAAGAGAAGTGGGCAGGAGTGAGGCTGTGAGAGCATGTCTATAAATAGGTCCCAAGACCGAGATGAGGCCTCCTCTGCACTTCGCGATCTCTCCCGTATGCTCTCGCTTCTTGCTCTCCTGCCCCCCACCCCCTTCTTCTCTCTCTCTCTCTTTCTTCCTCGCGGTATGCGTCCGCCCGCGCCTCATGAAAATCTGTATATATATTTTTTTTTTCCCCCACTAAATAACGGAATGTTTAAACTCCTTTCTATAATAAGTAATTTAGTGTAATTTATTTTTAAAAAACAAATTTTTCTCCAAGTTAATCAAAATTATATTAGAAAATATAATTTTCCTAAACATAAATTTGAAAAGATAATTTTTTTTTAGATTGCAAAAATTCAAATTATATGCAATTTTTTGTATCATTAAAGTGTAGGCAATCAATAACCAAAAGAATCAACAATCAAAACGAGTGTATATATATATATATATATGCTTGATGTTTGCTCGCTTGCTTGCCACGGCCTGCCACACCCCGATGTGATTAAACCTGTTGCTGCTCTTCTCCTACCTTGACTATATAGACTGTTGTACTAAACTCCTCAGGGTTCCTTGCGGGTCTTTTAGTGAAATACGATGTATCTTCACCCCCTTCCATCTTATCATCAATTGCAAACGATCTTTTCCATAATCATTGAACATTTTGATATCCAATCTCATATTCAAATCTGTAAATTACAAAAAATATTTCAAAAATTATCTTTTTCAATAACTCAAGTATATTCAAAAAAAATTTTATTTTTTAATATAAAAATTATATATTTTCGAATATAGTGGAACTCTAGTTATTGTGATAATTAAAAAACAAAATTCCGAATGAACAAAAAAAATTGTATTAATAACTACCGAACAATAATGATAATAATAAATAAATAATAAGAAAAAGAATTTCGAGTATTTAATGATTAAAGCGCGCGCGTATAAAATATTTACCACCCTTTGAAGGTGGTGAAACTTTTCACCCATCATCCTTGAACCTGAGCTAAAGTTAGCTTTTACGCTGAAAGAGAGAGAGAGAGAGAGAGAGGTATACTGTCCTTTATCAAACCACCCCCCCTCGAGGACCAAATCCCACTCTGATGTATACTATTTTTATTTTCAAATTTATATACCTCAATTAATTCTCATAAACGCGGGTAAATTTGACAATATTAACAAATCAATCAATCGGAGATTAAAAAAAAAAAAAAAAAGCCATTGGTTTCTGTTCACGGTTAAGGTCAAATGACAAGACAGGTGAGGTGGATGAGTATATTGAATAGCTCAATAAGGTAGGGGGATTCATTGAGAAACGGCACGTGTGTATATATATATATATATAATGGAGCATGCTCGGTAGGAGAATTCAGGAGGGGTTGAGAAAGAGAGTAAGGCGAGTAGGGGTTGCCAGGCGACCGCAACCAAGCGGGTTGCCCCTGGCGACTATTGCGTCACTGCAGCGCCTCATGACGTCACGACGCTAGTGGCCTTGACCGCGCAAAAACCGAAGTGGCAACGATACCGAAAGCTGAACCCAGCCAAGGGGTGGATGAAAAAGAGCAATGTCAAGAATCCCGCCACCCCCAAACGATTTCCCTCTCGTTTCTCCTACACCACAATATACTCTCGTCAAACTACACTAACCAACGTCATTCAACTTTACGTTCATCATGTACTTTTTTTTTTTTTTTTTTTTTTTTATTTATTATTTTTTCCATATATCTCTGGGCTAGAAATTTTCTTATTAATTTTGAATATCATTGGATGTCATCCTGTTGGTAAGGATAATCCTTTTTTTTTAAAAAAAAAGGTGCTGCCTCTAAAACATCAATAATATTACTCCATTCTTTCGAATTTAATTCTTAATTTACATAGATTAATTAATAAATTATCGTTAATTCAAAATTAATTTTCTCAACTGTGAATGAAACATAAAATAAATAAAAATAAATTAGACCTTTTTTTTTAATTACATTTAATTTGAATTCATTAATACTATTCAATTGTAAATAAAAAATATGAGGTTCATAAACTTTAAAAAACATTTTAATAACTTATTGATGAGCCGAAAGTTTTGAACGTTCAAATGAACGAAATTTTTTTTTTGCAACTTCTTTAAGTGCGAATTTTATTACAAAATATTGTTTTAGATATATAAAAAGAAGTTATTAATTTAATATTTAATTTAATTTACTATTTCATTTTACATTGCCCATCATAATTTTTAATAATTTATAGATTGAAAAATATATTTCGTTCATTTGAACGTTCAGAACATTTGGCTCATACTTATTGATAATTTTCAGAATTTTCAAGTTTAAAATCACTTTTTTATTTACTGAATGAAACATAATTAAAAAGTAAAAATCTGTTTTTTTATTTACAATTAATAGAAATTTGAACTCAATAACACTATTTATACTGCAAATAAAAAATATACATATTATTATCTTTATACTTTCAAAAACGTTTTAATAACTTATTAATAATCTTCACTAGGTAATTTGCAGGATTAAAATCTTTTACTTTTCTCTACTGAATCAAACATGAAATAAAAATTAAAAAATAACTTAGAAATTATTTTTTTTTTTGTACTTACAATAGCAATTTGAACCCATTAATACTATTCAATTTGTTGTAAATACAAAATATAAGGAATCATCTTTTATACTCAAAAAGAACGTTTTCGAAAAATTTATAATTAAATTCATATTAATATATGTAAACACTTTTTAAAATGAAATAATAATATTCCGATTTCAAAAAAATGTAATTAAAATGATATACACTGAAAACAATTGTTATACGTCTAAATAAACATAATATTAAACATAACCTCTTATGTACCTTTTCACTGAAGACTTTCCTTCCTTACTTTATTTGATTATTTTTGACAAAATTAATCCATCATTATAAAAAAAAACTGCATCTTTTATTGTTATTAGATCATCTTATTGTTATTTAATCTTCCTCAATCACTTTAATTGTTAATGTTTATTTACATAAATATTCAATGTTGTCTCTTCACTTGTCACTTAAAAACACATAACGGTCAAGGTTTTAAATCTCCGGAAGTTGTCATTAATATTCACAACATAGATTACGAACTAGGTGATAAATTTCGAAAAATAATTCCAATTACTACCACCAGATGGCAGAAATCAGTGGTGTTGATTTCTCGAATTGTCAGTTTCTGATTGGTTGACACCTTTTCCCGGATAAATTGTTAGCCAATCAGAATACGTTTTTCGTTTTTCAAATTTTTACCTACCCAACAGTGATGACATCGCGAACATTTAAAAAATTTTTAAATAATAAACAGATTTATTTTATTAAAAACTATATTTAAATGTATTTAATTTAAAAGTTTGTATATTTTAAAGAAAGATTAAGCAGTGTTTTCTTTTAATTCATGCTACACGTCTTTAAAATTTAATTAAAAAATTTTGCCCTTATTGGTTTACTCAACTTTTGAGGTTATTTCACTACATTCAGTGTTAAATTCGACTTTTTATAATTTTATCTTCATTTTTCTATTTAATTAGGTTCAAGGTATGTTAAAAAATAATATTTCTTTAAACATTATTAATTTTGGGAAAGATTAAAAATTAAGAGTGTTGTAATAATAAACCTAACCTTTCTTGACTTCCTTCTGTCAATGTGGGATTGTGAGTAATTCTTAACATGTGGAGTTGTTAAGAATATAGAATATTTCAATTGTTTAAAGTTTCAGTGTTTATTAATTACTGGAGCTATAATTTTTCAATAATTTTTTATTATCAGTGCAACAATGGCAGATTCAAACAATATAATTGAAGGAGAAGGACCACCACAGAAAACAGCTAAACAATTGCAAAAGGAAAAGGAAAAGCAGGCAAAGCTTGAAAAATTTAAGCAAAAACAGGAAAAGAAACTTTCTACAGCTGCTAAAAATTCAACAGAAAAAGCTGAGGTTTGTTTATAATAATTAATTTTACAATATTTTTGCAACTTTAAAAGTTTTCAAAAAAAATTTTTGTCTAATTGTTGCCATATGGCAAAAATAATCATTTTATCTTGTTAATTATTTAATTTTTTATTTTTAATAATAAATTATTATGGCTAAAAAAAAAAATTTAATTGTCAATTAATTTAAAATTACATTAAAAAATTAACATTAGAAATATAATTTTAGTTAAATTTTTTATTTTTCTATTATTAATCAGGTGAAAGTTTCAATGTGATCTGATTAAAGAAAAGAATGTCAAAAATTTCATCATGAATAAATTGATTAATGGGCTAGATAATTTATTGAATATCTTAATAAAAATTTATTTCATTTTATATTTACAGTGTAGTAAATTTCGAAATTGATGTATTAATTAAATGTATTATTTTTTGTGGATTTTATTTCGTAGTTTTTTTTTCTAATAAACTACAATAATTTTTTATAGAAACCTGAGAAGAAGAAAAAAGAAACGAAAGAAAGTGCTAAATATACAATAAATACTTCACCTGGAACGAAGAAAGATGTTAAATGTCAAATGCCTGATGCTTACAGTCCAGAATATGTCGAAGCTGCTTGGTATTCCTGGTGGGAAAAAGAAGGATTTTTCAAACCAGAATATGGAGTAAATAATTTTCTTTGTTTTTTTTTTTTTTTAATTTAAATTTCTCGATTAAATTAAAATTCAATTATCAACTTTATTTTTTAGAGAAAAAGTATATTAGAAGAAAATCCAAATGGAAAATTCGTAATGGTTATTCCCCCACCAAATGTCACTGGTTATTTACATCTTGGGCATGCATTAACAAATGCAGTCGAAGATGCAGTCACAAGATGGTTAGTATTGTTTTTTTTTTAAAAAAAGGAAAATTCATTTTTAAAAAATTATTTTATTTTTTTAATTATCTTTAGGAATCGAATGAAGGGACGTACGACTCTTTGGAATCCAGGTTGTGATCATGCGGGAATTGCAACTCAAGTTGTTGTTGAAAAGAAACTTTGGAAAGAAGAGAAAAAAACGAGACACGATTTGGGTCGAGAAAAATTTGTCGAAAAAATTTGGCAATGGAAGAATGAGTTAGTAGAATAAAAAAAAAAAGAAAAGTAAATTATTTTTTTTTCTAAATAATTTAATTTTTTTTTTTAGGAAAGGTGACGGTATTTATAATCAATTGAAAAGATTAGGTGGTTCTTTCGATTGGGATCGCGCCTGTTTTACAATGGATCCAAAACTTTGTCGAGCTGTCACCGAAGCGTTTGTTCGTTTACACGAGGATGAAACAATTTATCGAAGTAATCGCCTTGTAAATTGGTCCTGTGCTCTTAAAAGTGCAATTTCTGATATTGAGGTATGAAAAATGTGATAAAATTAGAAAGTTAATTAATTTAATTTCTCGATTTTTTTTTTTTTAGGTGGATAAAGTTGAACTTACCGGTAGGACTTTACTTTCAATTCCTGGCTATAATGAAAAAGTGGAATTTGGAGTTTTAGTGCTATTTTCCTATGAAGTTGAAAATTTGGATGAAAAAATCACCGTTGCGACAACTCGAATTGAAACTATGTTGGGAGATACTGCCATTGCAGTGCATCCTAATGATAAACGTTATTCGCATTTGATTGGAAAATATGTAAAGCATCCGTTTTGCGATAGGCGTTTACCTATTGTTCCTGATGAATATGTTGAAATGGATTTTGGAACAGGTAAAAATTTGAAATTAATTAAATTAAAAAATAGTTATTAAATTTTTAAATTTTCAGGTGCTGTGAAAATTACTCCAGCACACGATCCAAATGATTATGAAATTGGAAAGAGGCATAATTTACCGTTTATCACAATTTTTGACGATGATGGAAATATCATTGGAGACTATGGAGTTTTTACGGTTTGTATATTGAACATATTTTTTCATTTCTTAGTAAGTATTGAATATGAATATTTTTTTTTTTTCTTTCATCACAGGGAATGAAGAGATTTCATGCAAGAAAAGCTATTTTAAAAGAACTTACGGAGAGAAAATTGTTTGTTGAAGTAAAAGATAATCCAATGGTTGTGCCTATTTGCAGTAGATCTAAAGATGTGGTTGAACCTCTTATAAAGCCTCAATGGTATAAATAGAAAATTAATAGAAAAAAATAATAAATAATAGAAAATTTATATTTAGAGAAAAATTATATTAATTTACAGGTACATTAAATGTGATGAGATGGCAAAAAATGCAATGGAAGTAGTGGAAAAAGGAGAATTGAAAATTATTCCAGAGCAATTTAAAAAAACTTGGGATCATTGGATGACAGGCATAAGAGATTGGTGTATTTCACGTCAACTTTGGTATAATAATATATTATTTTATATATTGAAAACCAATTTTTTTTAATGCAAAAAAAAATAGAATTTTTCATATTTATTTTAGGTGGGGTCATCGAATTCCTGCTTATTTTGTAACTATTAACGATTCATCAATTCCAGTTGGTTCGGTAAAATTATAATTTGGAATTTCTTTTTTTCTCAGTTTGCAAAAATCATTATTGACATTGATTACTTATTTTTTAGATGACTGATAATAAATATTGGGTCAGTGGACGATCAGAAGAAGAAGCTAAGGAAAAAGCAGCAAAAAGATTTGCAGTCAGCATCGATAAAATTTCTTTAAAACAAGATCCAGATGTTTTAGATACTTGGTTTTCTTCTGCTCTTTTTCCATTTTCAATATTCGGATGGCCTGAGGAGGTATGTAATTATTTCAAAAATGTATAAATAGAATTTCATTTTTTAATTAAATTTTTATTTACCAGACAGAGGAACTTCGTGCTTTTTATCCTGGAACGTTGCTAGAAACTGGTCACGACATTTTGTTTTTCTGGGTAGCTAGAATGGTTTTCTTTGGTCAAAAATTATTAGGAAAGCTTCCATTCAAGTAAGATAAAGTTTATAAATAATACAAAATTTCCTTCATCTAATTATAATAATAAAAATTAATTTTTTTTTTAGAGAAGTTTATTTACATGCTATGGTGAGAGACGCTCATGGACGAAAAATGAGCAAATCATTAGGAAATGTAATCGATCCTATGGATGTAATTCGTGGAATTTCATTAGAGGTATATTCTTTAACTTTTCTATATAAATATATAAAATTATTATTATTTTTTCAAATATTTTTAAATTAGAAAAAAAAATCTTTTTTTAGAATCTTCATAAACAATTATACGACTCGAATCTTGATCCAAAAGAATTGAAACACGCCGTAGAGGGACAAAAACGTGATTATCCTCAAGGAATTCCCGAATGTGGAACGGACGCATTGCGTTTTGCTTTATGCGCTTACACAACTCAAGGACGTGATATTAATCTTGACATTCAACGTGTACAAGGTTATCGTTTTTTCTGCAATAAACTTTGGAATGCCAGTAGATTTGCATTAACTTATTTTGAGGATGGATTTAATTTTGAAGATGAGGCGAAAATGGTAAGAAAAAAAAAAAGAAAAATAATCTTCAAAAAAAAAATTAATCTTCTTTTTCTCAACTATATTATTGAATTAGAATTGCACGAATGGAAATATTAAGGTGATGGAAAATAATGAATGGCTCCTTTCAACGTTAAATGAAAAATGTGTTCAAAAAGCAATTAATGAATATCTTGGGAATTTTCCATACGCAGATGGATTTACTCCTTCACAAAGAGATATTGAACTTCATAAGAATTTTAATTGCTTGAAAAGTGATTTTTCTAAACTTCCACATTTAAAAAGATGGTTTAATCATTTAGAAACGTTCAATGATCATGAAAGATCAAGATTTAGAGTTGATTTACAATTTCATTGTAAATCGAATAAAATTAATTATGGATTTCAGGTGTGCAAATGATTTTCAATTTTTGCAACCAAAAAAAAAAATTTTATTTTTGAATTTGTAAAGAATACGGTTGTTTTTTCTTTTTTGGTAAAAAAAATCCCGGCTTGTGGTAAACTATCCTCTATCTAGAAATAGAGCATGAATCCTCAGATCCCTGTGTTTTTTGTTCGAAAATAGTTTTCTTTTCTATAATCTTGAATTTTTAATGAATATTGAAATTTATTTCTTTAAAGTTGAATGGTCAAGAATCGAGAATGGATTTGTGGATGCTCTCTAGAGTTAGTAATGCAGCTAAAATTTGTGACGAAGGATTTGCTCAGTATGATTTTACAGCAGCAACAACTGCTTGTTACAATCTTTGGCTCTACGATCTGTGTGATGTTTATTTGGTAATTACAATTCAGACTAATAATAAAAATTAATTTCAAAACAAAAATTTTGTTATTCTAAATTTTCAATTAATTTTTACTTTTTAAATTTTAATTATAGGAATGTATTAAACCAATTTTCCAAAATGGCACCAACGATGAAAAATTGTCAGCTCAACGAGTACTTTTTAAAACATTAGACGTTGGTCTTCGACTTTTAAATCCTTTTATGCCATTTATCACTGAAGAGCTTTATCAACGTTTACCTAGAAAAAATCAAATATATCCCAGTATTTGCATTAGTCCTTATCCAACTGCATCTGAGGTAAATTTAAAAAAAAAAAAAAAAAATTTTTAAGTACAAACAATTTTTTAGTTATTATATTTTAATTTTCATCTTGCAGTGTTCATGGAGGAATGAAGAAATTGAAAAAGAAGTTGATTTTGCACAGAAAATTGTAAAAACAATAAGATCAACACGAGCGACATATCTTTTGCCAAATAAAACAAAAACCGAAGCATTTATTGTTTGCAGTGATGAATCATTAAAGGAGAAAATTAATCAATATCTAATGATGATTGGAACATTGGCCTATTCTCATGTACAAATCAGTGAAATTCCAACAGGTTGTGCAATATTAACTGTATCTGATAAAGTTCAGATTCATTTGCTTTTGAAGGTAATTATTTAATAAAATTAATAAAATTCAAAATTTTCTTTCTTTTTGTAAGTTAAAAAATAAATTTAAATCTAAACAGGGTTTGATTGATCCACAAAAAGAATTGGAAAGACTGAAAAAGAAGGAAGAACAATTAAAAGAAGCTGTTCAGAGATTAGAGCAAAGCATGTCAGCTGCTGATTATAGCACAAAAGTTCCGGATGAAGTACAAAAGATAAACGATGAAAAATTATTTAACAATAAAGGTGAATTAGATCAACTCACTGAAGCAATGGAGACTCTTTTAAAAATGTGAAATTTATAAAATGAAATTTCTAGTTATCCCAATTGTGCGTTTCATAAAATATTTATAGAATAAAATTTTTTCAATTTCAATTTTTCTCTTTATTAAATTATTGACAGAATTATTTTATTAACAAATTTTTTTTTTCACATTCAAATAAAAATATTTTTTCATTTAAATAATTTTGAAAAAATATTCTTCCTAATAGAAGAAAAATAATGACAGTGAATTATTTTATTAAAATTTATTTGTGCCTTTTAACTATTGCTTTTTTTTTATATATATACACGCTTTCAACTAATGATGCCTAAATATTATATTACACAGTCCCTGGACATTATTCAACAAAAAAATATGTAAAAATGTTGATTGGAAGCTTGATTCAATACAAGACAACTGAGTATTTTTTTCTACATAATGATCTATTTTTGCAAAAATTGTCTAAAAGAATCTCAAAAAATTCTTTGTACGATTTGAGAATAACAACAGTTTTGAAAATAGTATAACAAACAAAAAATAACAATCACAAGTTTCGAAAAAATATTGTCCTGCATATTTTAATATTTGCATTAAAAAATAGATTACTATAGGCGAGTAGATTTTTTTTAGTGCCACATCATTAAAAGCCTTTCGAAAAATTATTTAACTTTAAAAAACCAGATTAATAATTGGTCTTTTTTTTCTTTCAACCTCACTCAAAAGAGAAACAAGAGGAAGTATACAAACATTAACTAATATACTTTTTTTTTTCCTGTCAATTTCTTAATAACTAGAGATTCTTATTATTTACATAAATATTAAGTTATACAAACTTTTTATTTACAATTATAATTATGATATGTTATCAATCAGGAGAATTTAATTTCCTAATGCATAAGATTTTGTGCTCAATTCTAAGTTAAGCTTCTTTTTAAAACTCCAGGTTCTTTTTTTTTCTTTTCTATTGTTATGGAGATTATAAACTTAAATTACATTAATTTTGAAATTTTCATGTTAAAAAAAAATTTTAATTTAAGTCTTCAATTTTGGCACTTGCTTGTCAATTTTTTTTTTCTTTCAGTGCTTTTCTATTTAATTTATATTTTGAATTTTCAGTTCTAAGAAGATGTTTGTAATTTTTTTTCCTAATAGAAAAACTTTCCTTTATTGCTTTATTGAACTGGAAAGTTTTTTTTTCCTCAATTTTCAACAATATTAAAACTTATCACTAATTTAAATTCAAAAAAGCTGTACAATTTAGAGATTCTCCAATTAAATATTTTTCAAACAGAAACTTAAACATTTATAACTTTCATTTGGTACAGCCGAATATTTGTTATATTGAGCCGACTATTTTTTTAAAAACCTACACTATACGCAAAAAAAAGACTTAATTTATTGATAATACTAATGACTTTTCAGACTGTCTTTGAAATTACATTTAAAGAATATAGTGGAAATAATCTCGAAATTTGATATTCATAGAAAGTTGGACCAGATACTTTTGATTGTTTTTCATAGAATAAAATTTTCAATTTAAAACAAGAAAATTAAAAAATTAATTTTTTCACTATAATATGATCTAAAAAGTTAAATAACAAAATTAATTTTAATTTTCAATTTGATTAATTTTTTTTGTTTTTAGTTAATTATTTAGTGACTAAAATTATTAATTTGCTACTATATTTAATTTAAAAAAAAAAAAAACAATTTCAATAACGAGTAATTATAAAAAGTTAATTGTCAACATTTTGCAAATTTTAGCCGACATTAAGCCGGAAAATATGTTGACAAATTCTATTTGCTCGAAATGGCCAAAGTAAACAAATTTACTCAAATTTGGTCCAATTGTTCTGCGATTTAACAGTTTGAGCGCTAAATGGTGCTCCAAATGAATTATTTATACTAAAACTATTTTCTGAAAAATCTTGACTAAATGTTGATGGAATTTTAGAAGATGAAGATGATGAAGAAGAAGCGCCATTAGTTAGGCTGAATTTGTTAAAATCTAAACCATATTCCTGTAATAAATCTAAATCTTTACTTTTCTCAGGATGATGTTGAGGTTGATTTATTTCTGCATTTGTTTGATTTCCTGGTTGAAAATATGGATATAACGGATTACTGAGACCTTCTCCCATTTGAGGAATGTGCAACGATTGACTCATTTGATTCGTTGCATTGAATCGTGATTTTGTAAGAAGAGGATCAAAATCATCATCGCTATTAGTTGAGTCTAATCTAATTAAATCCTGACTCTCTGACGCTTCCTGTAAATATATTTTTTTTTTTTGAACAAATAGTTACAAAAATACTTGTTTTTATTTATTAAATTTTTACTTTTATGAAAAATTTCATCAATTATCAAATTTAAATAAAATGAAACCAAAATAACAAGGACGTTACAAACGACAAATCAACAAGGAAGAATAATGAAAAAGACATTTTTTTTTTTTTACAAAACAGAAAAAAAAATGAGTGGTAATTTTTACCTTAGCGTGTGACGAGCAGAATTCAGTGTTCAATGGTTGTGATGTATGAGAATTAATGGATTTTTGATTGTTCATGGAATGCAATACAGGATTCATCGGAATCAGTACACGACTTGTATCAAAAGGATCTTGTTGTAAATTATTTTTTATCGAATCATCGTCAAATAAATTCTCCACTAATTGATCATTAATTTTTTCATTATTATCATCATTATCATCAATTATTTCAAAATTATGTTGTCCATTTATTTTTGCTTTTAAAATATTACTATTAACAAATGGATTTGAGGGATTAATAATTTCATTAGTGATTTCTTTATTTTTTGTCACATTCAATGAAATATTAATTAAAGATGTTTTATCATCTAATTTAGAATTTATTAAAGAATCATTTGAATTTTCTTTTAATTTTACATTGGGAGCTGTATTTTTTTTCATCTCCAAATCATATAACTGACTCGATAAAAGTTCTTGTGGTGGTTCAGGATTGAATTTTGGTTTTGGAGGAATTCCAAAGGAATTATTTTGGGAAATTGGTAAAGGGCCGTGCCGCAAGCGCCCACTCCATGCAGGTCTCAAGCTGTCTAAACTTCGAACTGGTTTCAACTGAAAGGTTACGCACGACATTCTCTCACTTTTTTTTTTCAATGGATAAAAAAACTTGCATCTTAAGCTTTCATTTTATCCTTTTATTACAAAAAAAAAGAAACAAGCTGAATTTGTCTATTGAAATCTATAGTGCGAAAAAGCAATTCAATTATTTAGTCACTGGATATGCAAAAAAACAAAAATAAAATGGAAATTAAAGAATGTTTTCTGTTAGTTATTTAATCACAATTGTAAGATAATAATAGTTTTCTAGTAATTTAATTTTTTTTTTTAATTGTTCACATTTAAAAAATTACTTTTAATTGTCTGTAAAAATAATTGTAACTTCAACACTAAGTAAACCCACAGACACTATAAAATGAAAATGAAAGAATAGAAATTGCTCATGCTCATTTCCATTACCATGGACATTACAGAGAAATAAAAACAATAAGACACAGAATTTTTTTTTTTTTTTTTTTAAATGTGCAAAAACAGAGAGGCAAGTGGTGAACTGCTTTTTCACTAAAAACGCTAACTTTACTTTAAGCTCATTGATAACAAGAAAAAGCATTTCAAAAATCACATTTATAATAGTATAAAACAACTCTTAATTACTTTAAATAATATTATTTTAAAAATAATTATTAAATACAATTACTAATAATTACATAATAAGTAGATAATTTATCAATTAGTTAAATTATTATTTAATAATTATTATTAAGTAGTTAAGAGTTAAAAGAAATAATGAAAATGATTGATTTCAGCTTGTGCAGGGAAAAAAAAATGAAAATTTCCACTCTATTGATTAAAATAAACATTTTGTTTTTTGTTTTACTCACAGTTCTATCAACAGGTGGAGTGTTCGGAAATATCACATCTCGAAGTTCGTGCATTAGATCTATATTAAGTCGTTCTGGAGGAGAATCTTGTTCTTCAGGAGAACTTGGACTCAATGGAGAATATTGTTTTCTACTGCAAAGAAAAATTGTATTTAAAATAATTTATATCAAGTAAATTAAAAAATAAATTTTAAAAAACTAAAATAGATTTATTATATATATATATATATATATTTAAGTGCATTTTGCATAAATTTGTTAACCTTGCATCAATGTTACTATTGCGTAATCTAAGCTCCTTGCGATAACTAGTTGTGGCTGTAAATCCACTCGGCGATTTTGAAGGTGAACTAAAAGAAATTGCTCTTCTTTCTAAAGTAGGTGAACTAGGAGCTGATCTAGGTTGAGGGAAGCGCATACTATTTTCAGCTCTGCTTGATCGTCCTAAAAAAAAGAAAATAATACTTTTAAAAATAATCACTATTTTCTTTCTTTTCACAAGTGAAATTAAAATACAACTTTCACCTTTCCATTTAAGACCCTTATAAGCCGTTTTCATATCCTTTCCTTTGTCTTTCACCTGAAAATTTATTTAATTAACGTTCATAATACATATATAGAGAAAATTTATTCATCAATTAAAAAACTCACTGATTTCACAGCGTACTTGACAGCAGGATTTGCCTGTAAATAAATGAATTTATAATTCTATCAAATTAATCAAAAAAAAAAAAAAAATAACTAAAAAATTTATTACTTTATCCTTGACGCTTCGAATGAATGCAGAGCCCTCTTTTCGCATTGCAAATGTCCATTCTCGATATTGTTGCATGAATTTACTACCAGATTTGTCCGAATAATTGCAAGCTTCTATTTCAAATTCGTCTGAAAATCCTAGTCCTGAATTAAGCATATGCAGTCTTTCTTCTATAAACTAAAAACAATTTTCCATTATATTCAAAAGGAAAATTAAATATTATATTCGGATGTAAAATTAAAATTAGTTGAAATCAAACTATTATCATTTGAAATACATACTTGTTGAAATATTTGTAATTCCAGCATTTTTCGTAAAAATGGTTGCATTGATAATGGTCTACACTCAACGAATTTATTAGGATCAAATGTAATTCTCACTCCTTGTTGTAAAGATAAAGCTTCTCTATAACCTGCAGTCAATTGCACTAATGCTCGTAAAAAAGCTCGCGAAACTCCATCTCCCAATAAAGCCGGTCTATTTCGTAACGCTTTTCTTAAATTCGTTACCTATAGCGAAAAAATAAATTCTTTAAGTTCAATTTTAATAAAAAAAAAGAAAAGAAATTAAAATACGTACCACATCTTGTGGAAGAGATTCTAAATCGTGAAATGGAGTGTCAACATTATTACTATCAGCGTCCAAAACAACAACTTCGCCCATATCATTTTTATTTACCCTCTGTAAAACAAAAATAAATTATTTATTCTTTAGAAAATAATAATTCCATATTTTGTCAATTGAAATTAATAAATTATTTTTATAGCCCAATTAAAATTGATATTTAATTTTTTATTATTTTATTGAAATTTAAATATAAAAGAACGATTGTATTGAACATATAATAATAATAATAACCTGAAGTGTTGATGATGGAACTCCAATAAGAAATGGCATAGGCGCCAGTAAATAATCCATAAGCGAAAGTGGTAAAACAGGGATGTAAATGTGTTGCCAGATCATTGGATAAATAAGGGCATTGCATGCTTGCACACAAGCACTCAGCCTGGACAGTCGCTTTGAAGTAAAAACAATGCGTCTTTCATACAACATAGAGGCAAATATTATCATCATATTATGAGTGTCCACAGCGCTAAAATATTCTGTTAAATTTCTCTGCAATTTAAAAAAAAATCCCATTTAAAAAAAATTTATTACAATCTATTAAAAATATATCAAATTATTATTATTATAAAGATTTAATGAAAAAAAAAATAATTAACAAATTTTTAGAATAAACTACTTACATTCTCTGGTATACTGGGTAACTGGAATTGTTTCGGACTTTGGCAAAGGAATACCTTAATAAATATAATCAATTAAAATTCAAATCGTTATAAAGTAGAATTCTAATTTTTGAAACTTACAGTACTGGTGTCAGGAAGAGGAATACTGGCAGCAATTCCACATACTGGAACTGCAGTGTTATGTACATCTTCTAAAAATTTCACTAAATCACCAGCATTTTTACTCGATGTTAATGTTGCAATATGATTTAAAAATCTACAAATAAATTAATAATTAATAAGAATTTCAAAATGGAAATCAGTTTTCTAAGACGTAATTCGTAATTACAATTCTTCTTTTTTTTTCTGCGCATATTTCACTGCGTAAAAAAAAGCTAGTCATGCATTAATTTCTAATATAAAAAAAAAAAATTGTAAATTAATTTAATAAAATATTTAAATTTCAAGTAATTTTTTTTTTTTTTTTTTACACACTTGTAGAATGTTTCGTGCCATGGTAAAGCACTTAAAATAACCAATGCAGTTGTTGTTTTAGGATCATGTCGGCAAAATCCAAAAGTCCATTTTGAATCTATACTAGTCAGGACGAATGAAAAATGCTGTACCTGTTGACTGAGAAAAAAAAAAAAATTTCCAAATGTTTTAATAATTTTCTATTTATTTCTCTATTCAAATATATTACACTTACTTTTCTACTTCACAAGGATAAGCAAATTTTGGAACGGATTTCAATATTTCCAAATCAACAAATGTGTCAGGATATTTTTGAAGTATCCAGGCTTGTTTCTCTCCTATAGGTGCAGCTATTTCACAAAAGCACTCGAATATATGCTTCACATTTTCCCTAAAATTGAAAAAAAAAATGTTTTTTTTTAAACACTTTACTTTTTTTTATAATTTTAAATATCAAACAAAAAAAAACAACATATGACAGCACAAAGTATCACTCCAAAATGCAAAGGAATTTTCCAATGACCTTACATTAGTTCATAATTAATAAATACAAACATTCAAATCACTGTAGAAATCATATGTGTATATTGTTTGTGTAAAAAAACAGAGACAGGATGAATCACCGTCATATTGAAAGTTACATATGATCCAAAAAATGCGTGATTTCTAATTTGTTCTCTTAAAATAATTTCACACTAATGAAAATGTAAATAACGACAGGAAAGAGTGACATAAAAAAAAATAAGTAAACTAACGGAATAAAAAATTGAGACAGTTACCTTAATCTAGACCCCATTGTAATGGATTTTTAATAGAAATTTTCCCGTAATAGGAGTTTAATGATGAACAACCTTCTGTCATATCGCCCACAAAGTATTCATCTTGATATATAGGGGAACATTAATGAATCCTTTCTGCATTCACTTCACCATATTTTTTTTTTCTAACACTAATAAATATTTTCTTGCTTAATCAACAATTCTTACACTGACACAAGTCATTTGCACGTCACTTTTGTGTCGAAATGACTTACACTAACTTTCATGATCATGATCTATTTTTAAGGTTCACACACACAGGTTTAAAAAAAAAAAAAAAAAAAACAGTGTCACATTTCGGATATTCCACTGATTACCCTCGAATTCTATTGTGAAAATACCTTTATTTATATTTGCGCAGTCGCAATAAATGCACCAATGAAAAGAAATCAACACTGCGTACAAAGATCTTTTCAGTTTCCTTTGTATTCTTGTGTATTGAACGATGATTTAAATCTGTCATTTCTTTTTTTTTTGTTCACTTATTAAATAACAAGTACAATATTATTTAATGATATGTTATAATTGTGCAAAAAAATATCTAATTAAAAATGTGGAGTTCCTTTGAAGCTGGCAGTTCACCAGTCGATTGGTGTGAGGGAAATTATCTGATATCTCCAAGTATTGCAGAATTTATGAATACGGTTGGTTTTTTTTTATTGTTTTCGTTTTGTAAATGCAATAAAAAAAAAAAAGACGATAAAATTAGATAAGTTTTTAAAACAATAGAAAATATATTGAAAAAACTTGAGGTAAATTACATTATTGTATAATAATAAAATTTATTATAATTTTTCAGCTCAGCAATGTATTGTTTTTATTATTGCCACCAATTCTTATGCATTTATTTAAAGATTATGGAAGATTTGTTAATCCAGGAATTCATATAATATGGTTTTTATTAATGGTAGTAGGCGTTAGCAGTGCATATTTCCATGCAACTTTATCTCTAATAGGTAAAAGAAAAAAAATTATTTATTCAAATATATATAATTATTTCTTGGTTATAATAATGAATTAATTTTTAATTTAAGGTCAATTATTGGATGAATTAGCAATATTGTGGGTTTATATGGCTGGATTTTGTATGTTTTTTCCAAGGAGATATTTTCCAAAAAATTTTGTACATAATAGAAAACAATTTTCATTTTATGTATTTTTATCAACTTTAGTTGCAACAGGTTTAGCTTTAATTCATCCAGTACTTAATGCTTTTGCATTAATGTGTCTAGGAATTCCTGCTTTTGGAATTTTGTTAATTGAATTAAAATGGTGAGTCATTTTTTTTTTTTATCATAGAAAATAATATAATAAAACAAAATTTAAAAATTGAAATCTAAAAATTTAGATTTATTAAAATATTTTATTTAAAGGACTAAATCAACAAGAGTTTATCGTCTTGGATTGAGATGTGGCGCTATGTGGATTTTGGCAGTATTTTGTTGGTTAAACGATAGACTATTTTGTGAGACATGGATGAATTTAAATTTTCCTTATCTTCATGCGTTATGGCATTTATTTATTTTTATCGCTAGTTATACTGTGACAGTACTATTTGCTTATTTTTCAGTAAAAGATGAAAAACCACATCAATCTCCGTTACTTAAATATTGGCCTAGAGATGATTTTGAATTAGGTATTCCTTACGTAACAATTAAAAGTTATATTAAAATCGATTATAATACAAACATATAATCGTAAAAAAAACAATTTTTTTTATATATACTAAATAATTATCAATGTTTCTATAGAGAAATTTGTATTTATAAATTTATTTACAATTTTTTCTAATGTTAATGAATTATTGAAATTCCATTTTAAAAAGTGCACAAATTTTGTATCTTTTAATCTCGCTGTCATAACTAGCGAAAGATATCGTGTGCTTCTAGTTTTAATGTTCTATTGAAACAGTGATATGTGAAATCTGTAGACTAATATTAAATTGAAAATAATCTAAAGAAAAATATTTATTAGGTATACATAAAAATGATTTTAAAAAAAGTATGTCTAAATTTTGATAACTGATACATAAATTGTTTATACTTCAAAGTATAGTGATAAAAATTGTGACGTTAATTCTAATTTAAATTCTAGTTCAATTATTATTTTTTGAAATAAGTGAATTAAATATTGTGATAAAATCGTGTCATTTCGCACAAAACAATAATTACATTTTAAGTACATATAAATTTCGTACAAAATGTGCAATCTTTGGGTTTCGATATTTAAAAAAAGAAATGTGATTCCAAAGAATTAATTTACATTTTCAATAATTTTATATTTCAATTTAAAGAATTTTTTTTAATATATATATCTACACGAACTGTGATCTGTGTCATGTAAATATATTTATATACATGTTTTTACGTATAAATAAATTTATTATATATATATATAAAAATATGTGAATTATTATTTTAAAAATTAAAACTACAATTTATTTATATTCATATTAGAGCTATAATAACATTAATAAATAATTCATTCTCCTCTGTAGATAACAATATTCTTATCAGTTTCATAAAGTTTTACTTCGTAAAGTAATTCCGGTTTTGGAAGTAATTTTTTCAATTCATCAAAAATATAAATTGCCACATTTTCAGATGTTGATACTATTGATTCAAAGTATGGTACATCTTTATCGAGATTTTTATGATCTAATCTTGTCATTAATACGTCATTCATGTAATGTGATAAATCTGTAATATTCATTACCATTCCAGTAATTGGATCAACTGGTCCCTTAACAGTAACTTCGACTAGAAAACAAATTTTATTATTTATTCTAAATGCTTAAAAAAAATAATTAAATATTAATTTTAATTTATATTTAATTATAATTTAAATACCAGTGTAATTATGTCCATGACCCCAAAAATTATTACATTTTCCATATATTTTTTTATTTTCTTCATCGCTTAATTGAGAACTAAATAAATAGAAAAAAAAATATTAGTTTATGCTACTATTAAAATATAGATATAAATTTTTATACCTATGCAATCTGTGTGATGACGATATGTGTTCCTTTCTTGTCAAATATGCTATTTTCGGAGACATTTTTCAAATAAAAGTATACAATATTGTTATTAATTTTGTATGTTACTTTGTGTCAAATTTGTTTTTATTAAAAGAATTGAATAAGTTTTTAAAATATATTAGAAAACTAAAATTCTATAACTAGTACTAAGAAATAATTTCATTAAACAATTACTAATTATGTATAGATTTTTTTTTTTTCAATAATACAAATATTAAGGTGCTTATATACCTCAAATTTCGATCAGATGAACATTATTTCTGGACCGTGAAAATGCGTGAAAAGTCATTTTCACGGCGGGTATTTTTGAATTGTTTTAAACAAAAAATGTTTTTTTAAGAAATATAATATTAAATAATTGTTTTAATATGTAAGAACACTTTAAAATAGTGATAGAGAGATGATTTGATTAAAAATTTTTGCAAATTTTGCTTTAAAACGTTTTCTGCTACAAGAAAGTGTAAAATGACGATGTTTGTGAAATGGTTTGTACAGTGTACATGTGTACATGTTTCTTTCAGTTATTCGAAACAATTAGTAGAATTTAAATTTATTTGATAAACATTTCAACTTACCGATTTATTTTCAGCACTCATTATTTATTACAAGTTAAAAAGAAACGACATAACATAAACAAAACTCTGAGAAACACTCACAAGGAAGAAGCACTGTACAAACCATTTCACAAACATCGTCATTTTATACTTTCTTGTAGCAGAAAACGTTTTAAAGCAAAATTTGCTAAATTTTTTAATCAAATCATCTCTCTATCACTATTTTAAAGTGTTCTTACATATTAAAACAATTATTTAATATTATATTTCTTAAAAAAACCTTTTTTGTATAAAACAATTCAAAAATACCCGCCGTGAAAATGACTTTTCACGCATTTTCACGGTCCAGAAATAATGTTCATCTGATCGAAATTTGAGGTATATAAGCACCTTAAGCACCTTTATCATAACAAGACATGTGCACATGTTTCTTTCATGCAACCAGGGTTGAGAAGCTTCAATAACAATGTTTGTTTACATGAAAATATCCAGTCCACAATCTATAAAGTATTTATTCATAGATCGTTATACAGCAAAATAAGTAAAAATGGCGGCCGCAGTGGATTCTGTTAGAGAAAAAGCCCTTCAAGATTATAGAAAAAAGTTATTAGAGCACAAAGAAGTTGAGTCTCGTCTCAAGGAGAGTAAGTATTATTTAAATAAATACAAATTTTTCCATTAATTTCATAATTTTTGTGAAAAATGGTTAACCTAACCTAATCTGTCATCTCTCTTGTTTTTTGAGAGAAAAACATTAACAATGAAAAACATAAATAAATATTCATTAAAGAAAATAAAAAAATTATTATTTTTACAAAGATTAAATTAATTTATTTTATTTTATTTTCAGTGCGAGAGCATCTCAAAGATCTTACAAAGCAGTATGACAAATCAGAAAATGATTTAAAAGCCTTACAAAGTGTTGGTCAGGTTTGTAAATTTTATTATTAAATCTTTATTTAAAATTAATTTTGTTTAGTAATATTGAATTATTCTTTTTGATAAAACATTAAAAAAAATGAAATATTTTTAGATTGTTGGAGAAGTTTTAAAACAACTCACGGAAGAAAAATGTAAGTTTTAATTTAATTTAAAGAAAGGTTTAAAATTTGAGTAATAAGATGGAATTTACATACATATTGTTTTTTTTCTTTAGTTATTGTAAAAGCTACAAATGGACCACGTTATGTTGTTGGATGTAGACGTCAATTGGATAAAAATAAACTTAAATCTGGAACTCGAGTTGCTCTTGACATGACGACACTCACAATAATGCGTTATTTACCCCGTGAAGTAAGTGTTATTAATTAAAAATTATTTTCTCGTGATTAAAAAAAATGTTTTAAATCAATTTTTCCTTTTAGGTGGATCCTCTCGTTTATAATATGTCTCACGAAGATCCAGGTGACGTGACATATTCCGCAATTGGCGGTTTAAGCGAGCAAATTCGTGAATTACGCGAGGTAATTGAATTACCACTTTTAAATCCTGAACTTTTCCAAAGAGTAGGAATTACACCACCCAAGGGTTGTTTGCTTTATGGTCCGCCAGGAACGGGAAAAACATTACTCGCCCGAGCTGTGGCAAGTCAATTGGATGCAAATTTTTTAAAAGTCGTTTCCAGTGCAATTGTCGACAAATATATTGGCGAATCGGCCCGATTAATTAGAGAAATGTTCAATTATGCACGTGATCATCAGCCGTGTATTATATTTATGGATGAAATTGACGCGATTGGTAAAAAAAAAATTACTTTTTCTGATTTAAAAAAAAAAAAACTGAAATCTAAATTAATTTATACTCTTTTAAGGTGGACGTAGATTTTCCGAAGGTACAAGTGCCGATCGTGAAATACAACGAACACTCATGGAATTGTTGAATCAAATGGATGGTTTCGATTCTTTGGGACAAGTGAAAATGATAATGGCAACGAATCGACCTGACACTTTGGATCCCGCTCTTCTACGACCTGGAAGACTCGATCGAAAAATAGAAATTCCACTGCCCAATGAACAAGCAAGATTGGAAATTTTGAAAATTCACGCTTGTCCCATAGCTAAACATGGAGATATTGGTGAGAATTTAAATTTATTAATTTTAACATTAATAAATATAATTTAATTAATTAATTTTTTTTTTAGATTATGAGGCTGTAGTAAAACTATCTGACGGTTTTAATGGCGCTGATTTAAGAAACGTATGCACAGAAGCAGGTTTATTTGCAATTCGTCTTGAACGTGAATATGTAGTGCAAGAAGACTTTATGAAAGCGGTGAGAAAAGTATCCGATAATAAGAAACTCGAATCTAAATTGGACTACAAGCCAGTGTGAAATTACTGAAAAAAAAAAATTGTCGTTACATTAAAAATAAAATTAATTTCTCCTGTAACTGCGACAAAACTAACTCTACAATAACTTTTATAAATACAATTGTAAGTAATAACAAAAAGGCTTATACAATTATACACATTTAATTTATAAACAGTCTTTAATCTAACATTTGTTTTTCATTTAAACGACATTTTTTTCTCTCTTGATATTCTTGTACATTGTCAAATTTTCTTTTATACAAAATGGGAAACAAAGTTTTATCACAAGAATCACATCGAAGTTTTTCCCACAATGTATTTAATTTACAAATTTTTTTAATCATTTCTTCATCTTTAAAATAACTATTATCTCTTAATTTATAAACATCAAGTTTCACATTTGTTAATATCCAAAGTTGATTTTCATTTAAAAAACAATCTAATGGCTCTTCGTCAATTTTAATTGCTTGTAGATAATTCATTGTTAAATCCATGTCATTTGTTCCCTTTACATTATAAATAAATACACTTTTACAACAATAAAAACTGACAGAAATTATTGATGTTAAATTGTCAATTTTTATTATTTGCATTTGTTTTACTGGTAAATTAATTATAGATTCATCAATATTACAATCCTCTAAAAGTTTTTCAAATTTCTTTAAATCTCCATCTTGTAAATTTTGTTTAAATGGAAAACGATAAAGTTCTTTTCCAATTTTATAATTCCACAATATAAATTGACCATCGCCACCACAAGAAATTAAAATTTCACGACAATGTGGCACTTCTGCAATATTATTCACAAATTTCTTATGTCCTAAACAATAGGCAGATATATTGTAACTATTTGGATATTTTGAGACACGTATTTTTTCATCTCTGTCCGCTGTGATAATGTATTTTTCATCTGATGTTACCAATATATCCAAAATCATAGAAAGATGCCCTAAAAATATTATATTTAGTTTTAAAAACAAAAAAAAAAAAAATGTTAATTTAATTCGTTAATATTTACCTAGAAGAAGATTTCCATTCTCTAACGGTTTTGTGGTAGCAAATAAATAAGCATCACCAGATTTATCAGCAACAATGATATCATTACTTTTTGTAAAACGAACTTTACTTGCAGCTCGAATTAAACTTCTATTGGAGACAATTTCCAATTCTTTTCGTTTATAAAGACAAAGTTGTTTTCGATTTGTACAAACAGATAAATATTCACCGTCATTTGAAAAATTAACACTCGTTAATGAATGAATTGATTCAATATCTTCTTTATTGTGTGTATTATTCTCATGATGATTATTTAATTTTGGAAGTGTAATGATATTTTCTTCATTTTCTTTAATATTGTAAACGACAATATTTTCACCACTACACAATGCAATATCATTATTAAAAATCGAAAAACTCATTTTGTTTGATAAAATTATTATTTAAAAAAAGAAAAATAAAGTTTCAAGCACGTGGCTTTACACATGTCAAACTGTCAACTCTGCCAACAATGACACACAGTGTTGCCAACTTACGTTGAATTATAAACTATAGTCAAGTACAACATAGAGTGTAAACTCTTGTGTAAAAAAAGTTGTTTAGTTTCGATAAAAATACAATGATATGATGTATAAATGATGAATAAATTATAATTATAATATATAATAACATTAAAATTAATTTGTATTTCATACCGAGAATCGTATTTTTCAGAAATATATGAAAATCTAATTTTGTTTATCGGACAAATTTAATTCACATTTCGGATCTTTCACTTTATTCCTTGTTTTTTTTTCATGTTGGCATTACTTCTATATTTGATCTACAAACTTCATTATTGTTTTTATTTGACGGGCGGTAAACAATTAACAATAAGTTTGTCATTTTTTTCTAAAGAATAAGTTTTAAAAAAAAACCTAACAAATTGTTTTCAATTATGGAACGGCAAAAGTTGAACCAAGTTTTAAAAATGTTAAATGAATCAACAATTGAATCATCTGATGAAAATATAACAATAGATGGTTTAATACCAGTGGAAGATAAAATTAAACATTTAAGAACTGTTTTAAAAGAAATGAATGCCAGAATTTTGTATCTTAAAGCTGTCAATGGTGAAAGTAGGTTTATTTAATTATTTTTATTATATATAAGTTTAAATTGAAAGAAATTTTCTCGTTGTTCATAACCTCAAAAACAATTTTTTTTAAACTTGAAATTGTTCATTTGGCAATTTTTTAGATAAAATTACTGAATTACCTGAAGATGATTTAAGTACAACTTGTGATAAATTGACTGAAGAAATTACAGCACAATGTGTTATTAATGATAAAGGAGTAAATTTATGTCTTGAAAGTCATGCTCTTGAAGAAATATTAAATAACCAGGAGAATCCAGAATTACAAGAGTAAGTTATAAATTAAATGTTTATAAAATATTTTTTTTTTAATTTATTCTCTATTAATACTTCTTTTCTTTTTTTTTTTTTTAATAGAAAAGTTAGACAATTATGTAAATTACTTTATACTAAAACCGATAATGCATTAAGCATTCAAAATGAAATAAAAGAATTGAAGACAAAGTTAATTCATCTTAAAACTAAAGATATACAAGAAGCACATAAATATGGAAGTTTTTTAAAGGAACAAGAAGAACTGAGAATTAATAAGCTCGAGCAATCAAATCCTACAGAAGCAAGGTAAATATAATATTTAATTTAAAAAAAAAAAAAGGATTTGCTAATTTTTCTTTTTTAGGTTCAAAGAAAAAATTGAATTGACAATTGGAAAAATGAATCTAATGAAGAAGCTCATAATTAAACTTATATCAGCCTCACCACAATTATTATTAGATGATGATTATGAATCAGATAGTGTAGAATTATTAAAAAAGCATCGAAAAATTATTAACATAGAAACTATTTCAAATATGTTACAAGATCAAGATAAGAGTTCTGATTAGAAATAACATTGTGAAATTAAATCATATGTCTAGTATAAGTAAAATTCATGTATTTTAATTTTCAAGGAGACAATTTGAATTATTTTTTTTTGTATTGATTTTTAAAAAATTTCCATATTAAAGAATATTATTTTCTAATTATTATATTTATAATTGACATTTTCTACTTTTTCATAATTAAAAATAATTATTTATTTATTTTAAATATAAGGAATTAATTAATAATAATTAAATAATGAAATTAAATAATAGATAATTAAAATAAATATATTTTTGCTAATAAAAATATATATTTTACAAGAAACTTTTGTTTAAGGTCAATGCATTTTATTTTATTCCAACAAAGGAATTCCTTTTGTTGTATTCATTTTATCATTGTTTAGAATATATATCTAGGATCTATTTGCGAGAAAAGTCCATTGTTCAAACGCAAGGGAAATACGTATATATATATGTACATGAAATACACACACACATTTGCATTAGCTGTCAGAAGCGTATAGATGTGATGCAATACACACTGACTGGCAGAAAGTATTTATTAGCGAACAAGTGATGGTGTTATTTTCTTTTTAATCATCTCTTAAGTTTTCTTAATATTTATTTTTCAAATTTAATTCAATAAATAGTTTTACAAAATGTCTGAGGAGGAAATAACATTAAAAGTATTATCTCTCAATTGTTGGTAAGTATATATACATCTTATTTTTAGAGGTTATCTTTTCCATATTTTAAATATGGATATATAAAATTCTTTAATTTTATCGTTTTTTTTTTTTTTCTTTAAAAATTATAATAAATTGTTTATGCCTTTTTACTAATTTTCTTAATTATTTTCAAGATAGTTCCACATAATTCATGAATTTTCGATTTTTGAAATTTAAATATTTAACAAAAATGAATTATTTAGTTAATTTAATTTTCTTATATAGATATTAATAAATAAATAATTTTCCAGGGGCATTCCTTATGTTTCAAAAAATCGTACCGCACGAATGGATGCTATTGCGGATAAATTAATAAATGATGAATTTGATATTGTATGTTTACAAGAAATTTGGTCGATTCTTGATTTTAAAATGTTTAAATCAAGAACTCAAGAGCAACTTCCGTATTCACATTATTTTTATAGGTAATAAATTGGATTTTTTAAAAAAAAACTTATTATGCAAAATAATTATATTTTTAATATATTTAATTTTCAGTGGCGTTGTAGGATCGGGAGTTTGCGTCTTCTCTCGCTATCCAATTTTAGATGTTATGTTTCACAGATGGTCCGTAAATGGTTACGTACATAAAATTCATCACGGTGACTGGTTTGGCGGTAAAGGAGTTGGACTTTGTAAAGTTAGAGTGCAGAATATGGATATTAATGTCTACATTGCTCATGTAATTATCAAAGTGAAGGGCAAATTTCTCTACATTAATAATTGTTATTTCTCAAAATGAAATTATCATTTATTTTATTATTCTTTATAAAGATAAATAATTTTTATTTTTAAATAAGAAAATTTCCAAAAAAAACAATTATCTATTAATGTTGAGTAATTTTGCGAAATTAATTAAATTTTAATTATTATTTTTTTTACAGTTACATGCCGAATACGATAGGGAAAATGACGAGTATACGGCACATAGAGTTTTGCAAGCGTTTGACACTGCACAATTTATTAGAATGACAAAAGGAGGTGCGGATGCAGTTATACTTGGTGGTGATCTCAATACAGAACCACAAGATTTGGCTTATCGTTTAATTTGCGGTATTGCCGGCTTACATGATTCCTGCTCAAATAATTCTACCTTCATTGGAACCAATGAATGTGCCAAGAATAGTTACACATGTTCTAGTTTGGTTAATAAAATGCCAAATGGAAAACGTATCGATTATATTTTATATCTAGGTTCAAATAAATTTACGGTAATTACAAATTTCTTTTTTTTTTTTAAAATAAATATATTTTTAATCAATTTTCTTAAAAGAAATGTTTTTTGAATTTCAAAATTTTGCAGGTACAAGTTGTAGATTTTTATTTACCATTCCCAGAACGTGTTCCACAGAAAAATTATAGTTATTCCGATCATGAGGCTATTATGGCTCATTTAAAAATAAGTAAAGGTAAGTATAATAATAATAATAGTAATAATAATAAAAAATATAATATTATTAATAATTAATCTGCTTTCAAGGAGAGAATTTAACATCTAACATTGACGTGAGAGATTCACTGAAGGAAGCGATTAACATTTGTGGTTTAGCCTTGAAGAGCGTACGACGACAGAGGATATGGTACTTAATATTCAGTTTGCTATTAGCTATTCCTTTGATGTATTCAATGGGACTTGAATATTCATCAACGTCAATTGGACTGAGTATTGGTATCAATATAGGAAGACTTCTTGGTACCGCGGTTCTATGCTATTCCTTATTTATGAGTTCCATATGGAATAGTGTTGAGAAAAATGCTCTAAAAGCCGGTCATTCGGCAATGGAAATTCATCTCAATCAATTAATCAACAATTATGAAAGAAAGTAAATAATAATTGATATAATTTTTTAAAAATATTTCATTTAAAATTATATATTTTCATTTTTTTACCCTTTTTAATAATTAAAATTGAATTTTTTTTATTTTCTAGAATCGAAATTAGAACTTTAATAAAAAAATTAAAAATAGAATCAATGAAGATCGAATAAGTGATGTTCTCAAAAACTTTTTTTTTGGCAAATGCTCAATCGTCCGTCCGTGAAATTTGAAAAATTTTGTATTTTTGGCATAATGAATGATTATTTAAATTATCTAATTTTTTCAAATGAAATCGTAAATTTAATTAATATTGTCTATCAAAAAAAATTATATTTTTTTAATTATATCAAAATTTTTTAGAACTTCTTTTTATAATCTTTTAAAATTCTAATAATCAAGTAAAGAAAATATTTTATGAGAAATCCATTTTAATGCTCCAATATAGAATCGAGGTTAAAACTATATTTTAAAGACTTTTTATGATGCATTTATCAATAATATTGTAATTTAAAATTATTATATATATATATATATATTTATCAGTATTTTATTAATTTATCGAAATAAAATACTGAAATTTAAAATGAAGCATATGCCTTCCAAATATCTCGCTAATACTAATACATAGATATGAATAATATAAAATAATAATCTTCATTGTATATTTAATATTATTATTAGTTTTCTTACAAACAAAAATTATAGAAATTAATTTTTTGTTAAATAATATTTCATAGTTGATATTTTGTTCAATTAATTAAGATTTAATTTAAAATTCCAATTTACGAAATTAAAATATTTAAAACATTTTTATCGAAAATATTTGCAATTTAGTGAATAATATTTTGTTTAATTAACAAATATTATAATGAAAAGGCCTAATACAAAAAGCAAATATTTTGTTTATTATTATTGTTACTGTAAAAGACTTTAAAAAAAAAAAAAAATATTAAAATTATCAATTGTCAAGTGATTAATGCATTCTCTTGAAATATTGTAACTATATCAAAAATATCAAATATTTTTTATATATTATTCGATACAATTAAGTAGTTTTTAATTAAATAAAAAACTGTTTAAAATTTAAGCTATTTAAATAGTAAATAAACAGTATTACAATTTTTCTATTATTTTTAGAACACTGAAAAAAAAGTTCTGGTTAAAGTTACTAGATGCGTTTGGTTAAAAAATTTCTAGTTATTTTAACAAGAAAATATAGTTAAAAAGACTAAACAGTTCTAGTTAAATAAGTATGGTTAAATTATTCTGGTTAAAATAATTCTGGTTAAAAACGCGCGTTCGCGGACACTGCATAGCGTCTGTTATTCTTTTTCGAATAGTTTATCGTGCGGATCGCAAGAATGGATGAAAAAGTTAACCAAGCTCTGGAAAATTGGGGTTTGGGAGAATTAAAAGATCTGTTTAAAGGTTGGTTAATTAATTTTATAATATAAGTGAAAAAATTGTTGACGAACGGCAAACCCGTTCGTGTGGAAAATAGTTTGAAGGTTATGTTGAAAACGTGCTCGACACGTTTTATCAGAATTTTAGTTCTGAATAATCATATTTAAATAAACATTATTAAGAGAATTGCAGTGTAAAGGTGTTATTGTTTGATTGCATTTATATGTACATAATACAAATTTTTTTAATTCATATTTTATAATATTTTATAATATAATATAATAATAATAAATTTAATTAATTCTCTGATTAACTAGAATTTATGGTAAGATCAACCAGAAATTTTTTTACCAAAAATTTTTAACTAGAAAAATTCTAGTAAGATTAACTTGAAATTCTGGTAAAATTAACCAGAATTTTTTAACCAAATTTTCTAGTACTTTTAACCAGAAAAAGTAGTAAGGGTATATATAACTTTTTATTCTGGTTAGATTAACCAGAATTCTGGTTATTTTAACCAGACTTTTTTTTCAGTGAAGGAATATCGTGAAAATGATTAAACGCAAAGAAATTTAGTTTTGTCGAATGTATTTTTTCTATATAAGTAGATAGTAATAGTTTTTATCTACCATAATCTAAAAGTAGTTCCATTGTTCACAGTACAAGAAAACATATGTTCATCATTTTTTAAGTCATTCGAAAAAACAATTCTGTATTTCTTAAATACTAGTTTATAGTCTTTTTTATATAATAAATTTATAACAATGCATATTTTGCCTTTTAATTTAATGTAGAACATAATGAATATATATTTTGATTTTTTTTTCATTTAGAAAATTAATTAAATTATTAGTAAATGGATAATTCTTTTTTTTAAGGCGTTATTAATATTGCAAAGGAAAATAATATTGTAATTAAAATTCTTTTAAATTAGAAAAAAAAGGTTTGTAAATCTTCATTTTTAAATTAGATAAAATTTTTAATTTAAAAAATCAATTTATTGAGTTAAAATAGAAATTAAATTTTATAAAAACCTTTTTTGTTATTAAATAGTCTTAACTTTAATTATTAAGTTTGTGCACACACTTAAATTTTACTATATATATATATATAAATTAATAATATAATAAATAATTTTAGAATCACTTCAGCCTCATTTTTTGGCATAAAACTATACATTGATTTTTCTTATTATTTTCTATAGAATAATAAATAATTATTTATTTCAATTTTCCCTATTTTAATAGCGAAATAATAATTATAATTCTACATATTTGGCATTATTATCTTACATTTTACAGTCAATTTTTAATGTTAATATTTATATAATATAGAGAAGAACTTAAAGATTTTATACGAGAATTGTAGAAAAATTTTGTAAAATATCTTATTTAAAAAGTCTTTAAAAAAATTCTCGTGTCATTAAAAAAAACTTTTTAATATGTTTTATATATTGGTCAGTGTTTTTTTTTCCTTTAATTTGAATCAGTTCACTGGTTTTTTTTTTTTAAATATTTATCATTGTAAATTATTAATACTAAAATATAAAAATTTAACTTGTATTTTATTTTTAAATAAATTTGTTGAAAATTTTCTCTTATTTTCTTATAATTAAATTAAGAAAAAGAAATAATTTTTTTTACCCATTTGATAATGTAAAACAGAATTTTAGATTTTATAGAGGAAGCATATAGGAACTATCACATCTCATACGTGTAGAATAATAATAAATTAAAATTGACAATCATTAAATGAATGTCAAAAGAAAAAAAAATTTAATTTAAGATCATACTTGACCATCCTGAGGAATACTTGGAGGACTAGGAAGTCCAGAACCAAGAGTAATTGTAATATTAATAACAGGATCCCCATTGCTTGATAGATGATCACTTTCCTCTCGAATTCTTGCTTTTAATTCCATTTTATTTTCATTTTCTATTCTTTTTATTATTGAATTATATATCAATGGTAGTTCTTCATGGCAGTTTGATTGGGCGTTTGTGTAATCGCAATTATCCAGTGGGGATGCGGGTCTGAATAAAAAAAACAACTAGTTATTAAATTTAAAACTATAAAATAGAATACGAGACAAATTATGTAATTAATTTTTTAGAATAATAATAATTAAAAAAAATTACTTTACCCCTTGTGTAGACGATCGAGAAGCGATTGAGCATTCAATTCATTCCACTCGGAAAGACTTAAATGTGATCGACTAATTTGTTCTAATCGTTCGTTACGATCTAAATTTTCATTGATTGTATTATCAACAACAAGACTTAAATTTCTATTTGTTCGATAATGAATTTTATCGATTGATTCTTCAAATTTTGTGTCATACAAATTTTCACTTGATTTACTTATCCTTTGATTACATTTGCAAATTTCATTTCGCGATATTAATGGACAATCTTGATAAGAATTGCATATTCCCATAAGAAGTTCTTTACTTGTTTGAACAGATAATGTTCGTTTTTGCACACTATTTCTGTGATTTGAACCTAAAAAAAAAAAGAAATCTAAATTAATTATTTTCATTTTTCAAGTGTGCGTATAAGAAATTAAATTTTCTTGACATTAAAAATATTTTGATTCTTCCTATAAAATATATTACGATGAAAATACACTTATAAACTAAGTCGTAAAATTCCTTTAATTGGATTGTTAAAATGTCCTCGTAATTTTAATGGCTTTCTTCATAGTCATTTACAAGATGCTTCGTGAAAATAATGAAAGATTTAAGATTTATCATTCAATTTTTTATTATTTTCAGAGAAGAAAGAAAAGATCCTTAAATATTTTTTAAATATTATATATTCGTATATTAATATTGTATACTAAATTTTTTTTTATAAAAATATCGAATTAAAATTGATTTATATTTGTAAATATGATTTCTTACCTTGAAATCTTAAATCATCAGAATCAGAAAGTCGATAAATTGCTTGCTTTGCTGGTGGCTCAGCTATAGCGGCAGCAACTCGAGCTCCTATGTGACATCTGATTGATTTACTAGTCGTGAATAACGCACGATTATTGCGTTCCGGTCTTAACACGATAATATATAATTTCGGCAGAAACAGGAATATCAAGGTCACTGATGCACTTAAGGTGACGCACATACACATTGTTATCACCTTGAATCAACAATTTATCCTAATTAGTTTCTCTAATTTTAACCATCAATACATAAATAATTTAAATTGAATTATGTAATGTTAATATTTAATAATTTTTTCAATTGTAGTTTTTAAGGGAATTAAAATTCCTCATAAAAAAAAAATTACCTTCGATTGACTGCCAAAATAAATTGGTACAAAAGCCACCCAAATAACGCAAGTGGTATACATTGCAAAGCCAATGAATTTTGCCTCATTAAAATTTTCAGGAACATTACGAGTTTTTACAGCATAAAGAGTGCAAAGACCAAGTAGTAGTGCGTCAAAGGCAAAAGGAGATAAAACAGCTCTGTAGGTCGTTGCACAGGTGAGAACAGCTCGATGAGTTGATGGAAATTCTAAAAGTGCCATTGGAGGATCTATGAAGAGCATCATTGATACCACTCCAACTTCGATCATTATTAAAATACAAGTTATTACTATCTGTAATCAGATTTTTATTTCCCATGAATATATATAAAAAAAAGAAACATTATTCTGTATATAATTTAAATTGTATTTTTCAATTAGCTAAATAATTAATTATTTTTCGCTTATAGCAAAATATGTTTAATATACAAAAATCTTACTTGAGCCGTGGCAGACATGAAAAGCATTTTTCGTTTAGGAAAACGTTTCTTTGATCCTGCTAATATTCTCGCTATTCTATTAGTTTTAGTAAATAAACTAGCGTATATCATTGCAAAACTAATTCCAGGCATCAGTCTACTTAGTGTACACGATATAAGTGCAGGTTTTGCTAAAATTGGAAAAACCTGTAAAAGAAGTTAAAAAAAAAAAAATACAAATAAAATTACATGAAAAAAATATTCAAATAAAATAAATAAAAGAGAGCGACAATTTTATCATCTCGTTTGAAGTGTTCACACATGAAAGCATTCATATTTATATAATTATCAAGTGGTACCTATATACATATATATATTAAATTGAAACTTACAGCAATATGAGCGAGACTCATTCCAGCCAAGATGAGATATGATAATTCACGAGTGCTGGCTTTCACTATTGGAGTATTATTATGTCGAATAAATATGTGACAAGTAACAAAAGTTGCCATCAAACCAACGGCACTCGATGTCATTGCCACCACAGCTTCGGCATCACCCCATGAAATATATTCCTCCGGTATTTTCAGGCAACCTGAGGTAATAAAAAGAATCAATTTTTTTTTTTTACTAGATGACATATATTAACGTTATAAATTTTTTTTTATTTTTCACTCACCAGTTTTATTTTCATTTGGCAAATATCCTTTTGGACAAGGACGACATTCCGATTGATCTTCAATTGTATAGGCATTTTCTTTACAAAGTACACAGGCCCAACAACATTTTTTCTCCTGACCACCTGTTTTATATTCCTGTAAAATTGTAAATTTATATCTTGATATTAATTCATTATTGAAATACTTCGAATACTAATTTTAATTTTTAAAAAAGCAAAATTCGTTTCTATTTATTCTCTAATTATACGAATAATGAAATATTCACTGAATTAGGACAACTGGGTCGAAATTGAAGATGGAATTGACAGCAAATCGTATGAATAGGATCCGAGTGGTATCTATACTATACATATTCTAGTGCTTCAAGAGGATATATATATATATAAATATTGGGTACATATCCCAATAAATATAGTAAAATTAATTGAATCTTTATAGAAAAAAAGGTATTTTTAATTTTCAGATTTCTTTCATTCTATAGATTAATATTTTATTACTTTATGAAATCCTGGAAGACATTCCGGTGAACAGACACTTGTTACGATTTTTTGAAGTTCACCAATCCAAGTAAGTGTCCCATCGTTCCAATCTCCAATTTGCACATAGGCATACGATCCATTTGATAATAATTGATAATTTAAAATGTCATATCTGAAAAAAAATAACACAATTCAAAAAATATTTACAATTTTGTAATTTTTTTTTTTTTTTTTTTTTTAATACACTTTTTATATATTTTTGTCAATTATATGAGAATAATCAATTAATATTTAAATAATAATAATAAATTAATTTTTTAAATTGAAAATTCTTTTGAAAATTGAAAAATTTGAAATAAATATGAAAATAACAAACTATTAATGGATATCAAAATTAAATTTTTTTTTTTTAATCATTTTAATTGAAACTTTCGTGTAATAGACATACGCACCGACCTGCCCGGAGGATCCCCTTTACTATCGAATTCGACGACATCATCATCCCAAGTGAAGGAAACATTCAATAAGTGTTTCTAAATAAATAAAAAAAAGCAAAATTATTTTCATTAAAATAATATATTTTCTTTAAAAAAAAAAAAAAATGACAAAATTATCTAATTTTACAATAATTTCTATTGAATATATACCATGAAGAGAGTTCCATTAAAGGGGAACATTTCTCGACAAGTTTCATTATATTTGAAACCACAAACGTCTTTCAACATATTATCAAGACCATAAGCCATTGTCCAAAATGATTTAATAACAAAACTCATTTTTGGATCTTGTCGATATCGTTCGTATAATTTTTCATTTCCTAAAACAATAATATTGAAATTTACAATCAAAATTTCTAAAAAGTACTTAGTATATTATTTAATATTTATAATTTATTCATTAAATTTATAATTTATAATTAATTTTATTTTCTACTCAAATGGTTCATAGAAATATTACTGAAAAAAAAATACAAAAAATTTATCTTGATATGAAAATAATTTAAACGTTGCGATAATTACAAAGAATTGTAATTTTTTTTTTAATTAAAGTCTCTTTTAGAATGTAAGTAAATTTTCGAGAGTAAAAATCTGATAAAGAAGACCATTTTTCGTGATACAAGTTATTCATCGTGAAACTTGGCTGAAATTGAGCAAAAATATAGACGACAGCCTGAGGGTCTAAATATTTTCTAAAGGTTTTCCCTCCACAAAAAAAAAATCGTCTCAACTTTAAATATTTTTCTTTTCACTTTTTGTTTTTTTTTTCATCTAAAAAAAAAACCCCCCAAATTCCTACCTTTTGAATTTATAAAATACGTCACCCATTTTATACACATACACACAAGTCATAATTTTTTGAAAGAAGAAAAAATAAAATAAATACTTAAAAAGAGGATTTATGAGCCTAATAAAAAATTAATGAATATATGAAAAAAATTGCAAAAGATATATAAAAAAAAATGAGATTAAATATTAACAAAAAGAAAAAAAGAGAGAGAGAGTTTTGAATGCGCATTGGGAGAAAAAATATATATATATATATTAACGGTTTTGTTCAAGTCATATTCATGTATGTACATATTCAATGAACCACCAAAGAAACTGTGTGACAATCATTTTCATATAAGAGATGAGTTATATTATCTAACAGGAACTATGAAAAAAAATTTTTTTTTTTTTTTTTTCTTAAAAAGACAAAAACGTGTTTGCAATTACTCTCACTTTATTTCGCATTGAAACATGCGGTTTAATTCAGTTTCTATGTTAGCAATAGATATATTGGAGTATATATCCTGTGTATGTCTTTCTTGTTAACTTGGAGAATGTATAGGAGGAAAATGGAAATGAGATGAGACGAGTGACAAACGTGTGTATTTTAATCAGGATATCTCAGTTTACATTTTCCAATATACACGCAATATATATCCAACTTGTCACTATATTATGATATCAGACAAAAGGTGTAATCTGATATATTTTCACAATACAAAAAATTAATATAAAAAAACTCTTTTAATTTCAACAAAAAATTATTACTAAAATAAATTATTATTAAATTATTATTTTTAATTTACTTTTAGTTTGTAAAAAAAGGTTTACAGAAATAGAACTCAAACTTACTTATCCAGTTTTAATATTATATTAAAGAAATAGTTTTATTGTCTGTCGAAAATCCACAGAAAAAAGTTTTAAGAACTCTTAACTTTTAAAATGTATTTAATTTATTTCTCGCATAATAATCTACGAAAAAAAATTTGATTTATTTAAAATAATATATAAAACTTTTTTCAATTAAAATTTTTCATTTCAATTTTTTTTTTTAGCTGTAAATTTGAAATTTAATTATGAAAAAAAAAAAGAAATTTAATTCGTTTTGTAATTTAATTATATGCGCTCATATTAAACTGATTATTACACGTGGTTTTTCATTAAATACGACTATTATACTGGCAAATGTTTAATCATGCATAATTGAAAGCTTATTGTTCGGGATACTCAAAATGTCTAATTAACAATTACCAAATAGGGGAGGAAGGGAGAGTGGGGAGGTTTCAATCAAAGATGTCTATCCCCCGCATTTATACTCATCAAGTAGAACTGATACAAAGGTTATACAAGGATTGATTGATCGCTTTTGAGCTTTCTCTGTAATGAATCCTTAACACACATCTATATACTATATTGGAAATTATTTTTTTCGCCATTGACATGAAAAAGTGTCTTTTTTGTGCCTGTTTTGGGCAGATAAAGTAGCACTTTTTAAGGCAGTTTGGGCCAACTGCCTAAAAAAGACTTTTTTAGGCAGCAAACTGCCGTATAAAGTCTTTTTTAGGCAGTAAACTGCCCTATAAAGTCTTTTTTAGGCAGTTGTTAATTTTTGCATAATTTTTTTTTTTGCTTTTATTTTATTTATCAATTTTTATTATTTTTTTTCTTTAAAATTGTTTCACTTTTTCATAACAATGGCGAAAAAAATAGCGTATGTGGCTCGCACGTAGTAATTTTTAGGTTCGGATGATTTCAATACTCGCTGTCTGTGCGACTTCGGTTCGACTCGGCTCGCTTTCGGCTCGACTCGACTCGCCTTCGGCTCGTCTTCATCTCACCTACAGCTCGCCTTCGTCTCACCTACGTCGCACTAACGACAGCTCGTACTGAAAATTACATCCTCACCTAAAAAGTACTACTTTACGTGCTTGCCACATAATATACTATTCCTTTTCACTTTATAGGCGACTATATTAATTATATATACCATTAGAGAAAACAAAAAATTAATTTTAGAAAGAAAATAAAAATTAAATCATTTAAATAATAAAACCAAAAAAAAAGAAATTTCTCCAATTCTAGTTATTTAATTTTATTAATAAATGTTTATTTGATAATTAATATTTTATTAATTTTGTTGGTATTTTTTCCATATATAATAAAATAGAATTTTAAATTTATGTTCGCTGTAAAATTTCATTATTTGATAATAATGACATTAAGTATTTTAAATTTTCTTTCTCGCGTCTTTATACTTATTTAATAAGAACTCACTAGCTATAAATTTTACTTGGCAACCCTTGATTTTCACGGATTTTATTTATGGTGATGGTAAATTGTACTTGACACAGTATTTTTTTTTACAACAAAAGATTTTTTTTCTAAAATATTATAAATTATTTACTTTAATCAATTTTGTTTTTCATTTGGAAAATTTATAATTTAATTTTACTATTATTTAGTTTTTAATTAAAAAAAAAAAAAATTAATGAAACCCTTTTTTTTGTCTCTCTAGTTTGTTATATTATTAATTTTACCTGTACAAGGTTTCTTCATCTTATTCAAAGGAAATTCTGTGGTGACGGTGGTCCAGCTCTTATCATCAGTGGTGAAATTCAGAAGTTCACAATTGAACTTATGCTGCCAGAACTCAGCGAACCAAGGATTACGAGTGTTGTTAAATGGACTCAGGGAGAAATAGTGGTCGTCGAACTCGCGATTGTATGGCGAGTGAATTCGAATGGAAATACTGCCCTGAGCTTCCTCTTCCACGTCCTTTACCACCTCATCACGATCTGCCCATCCGTCACTTTTAAAAAAATTTGCAAAAAATTAAAATTTGATTTGAAAATCAGAAACATAAAAAACAAATTTGAAACTAAAATATTTTAAATAAAATTGTTTTTTACAATAAAAGAAAATTTTTTTTTAAACATTTTATTTTTTTCGAAACTAGCTGGTTCGAAATTATTTTTGGAATGACCCTCTTTTTTTCCTTTTCTTTTTTTTTTTTGAAGAAGGTCGAGAGTCGACGAGAAGATACTAAAGTTAAGAACGAACGGAAATTAGTTACAGAACGGAAGCTTGGTAAGTAGCACACCGAGTAGAAAGGTGACTCTCGTTGACTCCCTTTCCGCGACTTGAGGCTCAATTCATCCATAGTTCCCAATTTCCTATGTGAGAGAACACAGAAAACTTGCCTCCAATATCAGTTTCATTCTTTCCTCTCAAATCAATTTCTCATTTTCTCTCGTGTATCTTATTTTTTTTTTTTCAAATAAAAAATGAATTTAATGCAACGAAAATAATTGCAAGAAAAAAATTGATGACTTTTTTTTGTAGTATTAAAAAAAGAGGAAATATATTCTTATGCGATGATAATAATTCGTAATACCTTCCAATGTACATGAAGCGTCCTGTCATATTCAAACGTTTCGAAGCTTTCAAGAGTCCATTCATAGTCATTCCTTCACAAAAGCAAACCACAATATTCGCATTGCTGTCTTGATTAAGATTTCGAAGGACTCCATCAAAAACTGAATCCTCAGCGGTTGACAACGCTGAATCCTCACGTGCTACGCAAACTCCACTCTTCTCTGCTAATTCACGAAATGCCTGAATTCCACTTTGACCATAATTTTCTTTAAAAACAAAAACATAAAAGTTAAATACAAATTTTTTTTTTTTTACTAATAGCTAAAATTTTTGTCGAAAAGGGAAAAATTCGATAAAATGAAAATTTTGTTTAAAAAAAGTCGTTTAAACGGAAATTAAAATTTGATTAATTAAAAATACGATTAAATTGTCAATTTAAATTTTTTGAAATTTGGAGAATAATTGGAAAAAAAATGAAAAATAAAGTATTTTTGATCTAAAGAATTTTTTATTTTAGCTTTTAATAATATTCCTATAATATTTAAATATAAAAAAGGATTTTATAGGAGTTTTAAAAATTTTATCCTTAAATATGATTTAGGAATTTTTTTATTAATATATATATTGCAGAAAAAACGAATCTCTCAGAACAATAGATGTTGCCTTTTATATTTTATCGACTAGATGCAAAATTATCCGACTTATATCCTGTAAAAGCTTTCGCTTTACCGCAACATCCGTTTCCTGAAGAAAATACGATTAAGCGAACCGCGCGATGATTTTATCAGTTCTTATTTACCCGCCAACTTCGTAGAGCTTCATAGATTTTCACAGTTGTTGAGAAACTCAATCTAAGAGGGGGAGGGAGGGAGGCGAAAATTTATTATTTCCCTTTGGTATTTCAATTAACAAGCAATGTCCGATTATTTAAGATCGAATTTATAAGTGTCAATGTATTTCAAAAAACTTGTGCTATACTTAAATGCGTTATTTAAAGACTAATTATTTATAATTTTTTGTAAATTTAAATAAAGAAAATTATTTATTAAAAATTAAATGAAAGAGAAATTGAGAAATTTAAAATAATAATTTTACCATTTTTTTTTTTAATTTAAAATAAATTTTTTTTTAATAAATAAGTAAAATAAATTTTAATGATCATTAAATGTTCGCGCACTCTTGCGTCTAATTCATTGTTGGAGGAATTAGATTTGTTACTCTCGTACAATTACCAGATCAATTGTCGTCGAGATTGCAGGGTTTTGTTTCGGTCACAAGAGCTAATGGAATTACTCCAGCTAAATTTATCCACTTTCCCCTCAACAAGCATATTTAGAGAGCCGTGATATCGATTGACTAACATTTCATTTAGCTAATTATTTCGTCAACTTTCGTAATATTATATTTAAAATCATATTAATAAAATACATTCATTTATAATAATTTTCAAATTAAAATGTGATCAATATTTAAAAAAAAAAAAACATTTTTCAAAAATTTTAATCCATCATTCAATTTTTAATATTATTAATTATAATAAGTTATTGTAATTTAATAAAAAAAAAAAACATTTTTCAAAAATTTTAATCTATCATTCAATTTTTAATATTATTAATTATAATAAGTTATTGTAATTTAATAAAAAAAAAAATTGATATTTCGTCAACTTTAAAATGCACAATGCTAGAGAAGTTAATATCAGGAAAAGTATTTTATCACAAAAAAAGAAAGAGAGAGAGAGAGAGAGAGAAAAAGAAGTCTATTGTGAGAAAAAATTACCTTCCGTATGGACAATCGATACATAGGTCCAATTGAAGTAGCGCAAGATATCCATGAGAAGTTGTGCCTGGTACTGATCGGATGGAACAACACGAAAAAAAGTCGAGTATCTACTCTTGATACTGAGATCTCGAGATGTAGCCGAATAGCCTATCTAAGAAATGAAAAAAAAAAGAATCCATGAATTGAATTTAAACTTTGAAATCAACAATATAAATTAAAAAGTTTCTCCATTATACGTATACAAATCGAGAGTATTTAATATTCATTTTAAAATAAAATCATAAAAAAAAAAAAATTATTTACCTGTGGAATGGAAAATAATTGAAGGAGATTTTGTACTTGAAGTGTAACGGAACTCGAACCAGGTCCAACAACTCCAATCATTGGAGCTTTAAAGTTCGTCTCCGTCTGAAAAATAAAACATTATATACATAATTAAAGAGAATTTTTTTTTTATCTTGATTTAATTCTAATTAATAAAAATTTTTCTCAATATTAATTTAATTATTAAATAATTAATATTGCAATTTTTAATATGAAAATTAAATATCTTCACCTGATTGGTGTCAATTTTACATATTGTTGATTCATCATTCGTGAATATTTGATTTTTTGAAGAAATTGGCGATATTGCATCACGCACAAGTTCAATGCTTTGTTGTAATGCAACAGGAGATGACCAACAAGAATCTCGTACTTCCAAGCCTAACTGAACACCTAAAAAAATATAATTTTAATTTGTATTATTTAATTAAAAAAAAAAAATTGTTTTTTTTAAATGTAAATTAAATATACATACCGTTTAAAATTGAATCATCATTGTTGATTTTATCAAGAGTTATTAAAGCAGTTTCAACTCGTTGTATACCATAAGTTTCTCTAATTGGCCCACATACTAATGTTCCTTTACTACCTCTTGGTGTTTCATGAACACTGAATAAAGCGCCAAGTATAAAATCGCCTTTGACTCTTGCGGAAAATTCACCATTGATCATGTTGTTGCACATTAGGCAAATAATTAGATCAAGTAAAAGCATTTCGTTTTATGACAAATCAAAATTTCTCTTATGTCATCTGTTATTCATTATATTAAAAATTTTTTTTTCAATAATTTTTCTCCCAAAAAATTTAAGTCTTTTGAAATTCTCGTTGAATTTCCCAGCATTGCTGTGATTTAAAATTTTTTGATTTTCCTTTCATTATAATAGCAGTAGTATAGACTTTCTCAACTTGTTCAAATCAGTTGAGAACGATTCTCTCGGGAGAAAGAGAGAGAGAGACTCCTCTTCAACAATTCCAAAGAGCGTGCGCCTGTAACTTATATTAAAGTTTCCGATTTCTGGATAAGACTTGCCAAGTAGTTTAAAAGATACGATATTAGCGAACAATTTCAAATAATACATTCAAAAAAACATAAATTTTAATTATGATAAATAACATTTTCAAATTAATGAAAAAAAAAAAAATTATTTTATTAATTATTGGTAAATTTTTTCATTCCAATGAAAATATAATTAAAATTTAATTTTCAAAAACAAAAAATTTTGAATGCAATGTCCTTTGAAGCAAGGAATTTGTTTTAAAAGTCAAAAAATATTTCCTCTCTTTCTCTTTCAACGATGCTTCTTCTTTTCTTTGACCGCGTAATAATATATCAATATTAGAATTTCTGTTATTTAAAGGAATTTTCTTTGTCACAAAAGAAAATTGTTCTCTCTATACCAGAGGAGCAAAAATATTTCTTATATTTCAAAAAAAAAAAAAGTAATGAAAATTAAATTAAATTAAAAAAAAAATTCTTAAAATTACTCTCTATATAAAGTATTCTATTTTAAGAGACAATAGTTTCAAGTTTAATGACGCAAAGTTAGTGTGTATAATCGATAATAATTGTATTTCTCAAAAGTTAAAAATAAAAGAAATAAAAGCTCGAGAGAAAAGAAAAAAAATTAATTTTTCACATGCGACTGATGCCTTAATTTCAATTCAAGTGAGTGAGAGAAAAAGAGAAATGAATAAATTCTCTCGTATAGTTTTGCAATACTTGAAGGGAAGTGAACGTTTGACGCTTCTGTCTGGGACTAGATAAACGAAAACCCATGAGTAATTAAATTTTATCGACCCTATCCTTACAAAAGGTAACTGCAGTTTGAAAACTTGCCTGGTTCATAATAAACGAGTCAGTAAAAAGTTTTCCAACATTTCTCAAAATTGTTATAAATTTTTCAAGTATCTCTTATTCAATGCTAACTGTCTTTTATTGTTATATATACTGTACACGTTTCATAAGTTTAAAAATACGATTTTCAACAAAAATAAAATAATTTTTTATATGAAAAAAAAAAAAAAAAAAAAACTAAATTGATGATAATAAAATTTTAATGTATAAAAAGAAAAAAAAAATGAGAGAGATAAATATAATAATGAGTGGTGGCCTATAAAAATGAAAAGAGAGTCTTATTAAAAGTTTTGTGGAAGTGTTACCTACCTCATAAAGCATCAAAAACAAACAGGTGGAAGGTTAATTAATGAGAGGCGCGGTAATTAACATTTTTCAAGTGTTCTGATGAAAACCTTACAAATGAATAGAACTATACACGTGGTACTGTATCTTCCTTTTTTATTCCTCCAATTCTCATTCATATTCCTGTACAGAAAAAAAAAAGAAAATTAATGTAGACACATGGAAAAAAAAGGATTCATACAATTTGTGAGGAAGGGTTCACGAAATATATATATATTGCCAGCAACTTAACATTTCTAGTGGATTTCACAAAAAAAAGGAAAAAAAAATTCTAAATTTATTATTCTTGATATGATCAAGAAATAAATTCCTCCAATAATGAATTTAATAACTAAATTTATATTTTAATAATTTTTATATTAAAATTAAAATTTTTCTTATATTTTTTATTCTAAATTAAAGAAAGTATACACAGATGTGGTCCAAAGTGACCTAAAGTGAACCCGTATGTGGGAGAATACTATAGTAGAGGTATAGAGACGTGTTCGTTTCTCAGAAATTATATTATTGAGGCAACAGTCCCTGCTGGACCGTTTTCATACTCTCGGAAGAGCTCTCATTAATTTTAATGATCGTTTGAACTACAATCAACGTCCCCCTCCCTTCCAAACATTTAAAGTTTAAACATTCGAAAAAAAGGAACAATTACAAATGTAATTTTGAAGAAATTAATAGTATTAAAAAAAAAGGGTATTTCCATGTCGAAAGCTTTATCCCTTTTTTTTTCTCGTTTTGTCTATATCGGAAAAGCATACGTGATACGCATAGGGCAAAGTTATCAGGCGTGAATTTCCGCGGAATCGAGGGAAAAAAAAAAATGAAATGGAGCGAGTGAAAACCGTAGGGATTTGTGGTGAAATGTTCGATTGAATGCTAATGGTTTATAGACTTTTGCATAGAAAATGCCTCCGCATAGTCCACTGAAGTGAAAGCGATAGACGAATAAAATACAAGCAGACTTATATAAATTTTCAGATTTTTACATACATAAATATATGCTAGATAGGAAAATCACTTTTTACGTATGTAGAAAATGATCAGAACTAGGAAAAATAGAAGGAAAAAAAAAAAAAAAAACGCCCTTCATCACTATCGAATACCGATTAACCATCTCCATGACCTTTTTCACAAAAATATCCTGGAAATTGAGGTCTTAAGCTTAATTAACCAGAAGATCTCATCCATTTCCATGCCATTCGCCACACAGGTAGTTACACGAATTGATGAAAAAAAAAATCCACTGTTCGTTATTACGTTCTCTCCAAAAAGAAATTAAATTGATATATATAATCTTGAAAATACTCCATCCAAAGCAAATTTTCCTAAAAGAAATCATTACATTATTTAAATGATTAAAAAGAAATATTTTTTTTTTTTTTTTTAAATTTTCCTCCAACGAAATAATTGATAACATAAATAGTATATGAGAATATTTTATTTAACAAGAAAACAATTTTCCTTTAACGAAAACAATTTCCTGTTTTTCAATGTGAATAAAGAAAATATTTTTAAATAAAACCAACTTCCTAGGAAATATTTCACTATATAAAGGGAGTTTCAACTTTTTAAAAATTTACAAATTCTTTAGGTTTCACACACGTAAAGTCGAAATAAACCATGTTTCAATTTGAACACACAAAATTTTCAACTACTACTGACCATTGTCCTATTTCCTGTTGCATTTTCATTCCCTTTGTTTCACGAATATTTTGTGAAAAAAAAAAAAATTTAAACAAAAACATTTTATGATTTTTAGAATATGTTTTAATTTCAAATTTTCACTAATGGTAATTTTCTATATTATTGTGAATTTTTTAAATTATTGAATTAAAAAAAAAATTAATAAAAATTTCGATAATTTTTCCAATTCTTTTATAAAAGAAAAATATGTAAATTAATTTAATTATTATTTGCCAAAAAATAATATAAATTTTATATTTATAAATTGAATTTATAAATAGACAAAAAGATTGAGAAATCTAGTTAAAAGTCAGCGAATTACACGCCTGTCTTGACAATTCGTTGCAATGCATCCAATTCTCTATTTATATTCACCGGAAAAAGGAAAAGACGATAGTGTTACACGATTTTCTTATTCACGAATATATATATAGTCATATAGCTTTATCGTCGTTTCGCGTCAAACCGTCCAAGTTAATTACTTGTCAGGCAGATTGAAACATCTGGTTTCAGAAGGAGGATTATGGTGCACCACTTCATGATGGGATATATACAAAGGTGTACTTGTAATCTTACTTCCTTTACGGATTACATACTTCGGACCTTCAACCCTCCTTATCTCTTATATAGAATATATATTATGGTCGATGTGAGAAAATTGAATAAATCATTTTCATTGAATAAATCAAAGAATACTGATACTAAAAAACAATTTTTTTTTACGAATTCAAATTTTTCCTAATTCCTTTCAATTCCAAAATTTTTTTTTTTTTCCTGTAAGAAGAAATAAATTTAGATTATTACATTTTCTTTTTTAATTATTTATCGAAAAAATATAATCTTTTTTAAAAATTGGTCCATTGATAAAAGTTTAGAAATTTTTTTTTTCTTCTGAAAGGGATCTAATCAATCACATCCTAAAAGAGGAAATAAGATATTATAGTGAACACAAACGAAAAGTAAAATGGCCTGAATATTCAACAAGCGTCTCTTGTCTGACTCGATCTGCCTTGTACTACTTGTCAGTGAAGTAACAGTGAAGTAATAATGAATAGAATAAATCAATAATTACAATTGTTAATAAAAAAAAAAGAAAATAAAAAAAATTACTTTTTTTTATTATTTATTTTTAAATAAATATTTTTCAAATAAATATATATTTAAAAAGAAAAGTTGTATTATTTTTCGGTTATATTTACAATAATTTATTATTTATATATTGGAGCAATAGAAAAGACCATAAAACATTTGTAAAGTGCACAAACGAGTTCAACGCCATTTGTCAACTTTTTGGGATTCTAGTACGAAATACTCTCTCTAGAGAAAACTTGCCAGAACCAACGAAACTTGTGTTTTAACCACAAAGCTAAAAAGTCGGGATTTCTGTTCCAACTACAATAATTATATATACATATATAAAAAAAAACCCAAATGAATTCTTTTTTTTTTTCATTTTTATAAATTCATAGTTTAAATATTTCAAATTTAATTAAAAATTCCTGAAATTAAAAGGATAATTTTAAAAATACTAATTTAAAAATTGTTTTCAGAATATAATTAATAATTAATAAGAATTATTAACATTTTAATTTAATGTATGTATAGGAAGAAAATAAATTTTATTTATAATTATTTAATTTAAAAACAATTTTTTAAAAAACATTAAAGAAAGCTTAAAGAAAAATTTTTCAGTCTTCAACCGCTATACAATGACGAGATTATAATTTTCTTATCTAAATGTAAACCAATTTTACAATTTCTTGATAAGAACAAAAAAAATGCTAGGTACTCGTTTTGATAAAGTCGTGCTTTTTTTGAAAATTACAAAAAGTTTACGTTCATATATAATAAAGATACGAGTTTGTTGATAATTTTTTCATATTTAATAACATAATGAGAATATAAAATTTATTAATAAATTTAAAATGCCAATTAATTAAGAGAGAGAGAGAAAAAAATGTGTCCCTCTCATAATTTAATGAATGAACCACTCCCTTTATATTATTATTATCTAGTATCTAATTATATATTGTATAAAAATTGGACACTGAAAATATTTTGTAAATTAAAAAATTATCTTAACCAAAAAATGATTAAAAAAAAAAAAAGTTTTTAATACTTGAAATAAAAAGATGAATTTTCTTTTTTCTCAATTTTAAAGAAATTTTTGATTGCCATCGAAAGTTTGCTTTATATAATATTAGAAAATTTATTGAATATGTGTAGCTGACATGTATCATGCAAGTATAACTTGTTCTCTATTAGATTCATATTTAAGCGCGCGGTTTTGAACTCTCTCTTGCCAAGCATCAAAAGCTGCTGACAATGTTTACAAAAGAGAGGTGCAAGCATGTGTTAAAAGTAATATTCAAGATATTCCGCAGGTGAATATGCATAACAAATTGTATAAGCTTTTGAAATTGCGCTCTTTGGAGAAACGAAATTTAATTTTTAAATTCAACTCATATAGTTTCATTTTTAATAAAGAAATCTCAGTTATTATTCATTAACACACCATATAGTTTCAAAACCATTTTCTCATAATATAAGTGCCAAGAAGATATCTAAGGAAATTCAAATTTCTATTATTTCTCCCTCTTTGAACAAGTCTTGAGTATATAAAATTTTATATGTCAATTTCAGGAAATGGAAATTTACAATTTAAAAAAAAAAAAAAAAAAAAAAAAAAAAATTTCAGAAAATGCGAAATTTCATATAACATAAAAAAAAGAAAGAAAGAAAAAAGAACATTGAAAATAAAAAATTGAATTTTAAAAAAAATTATAAATTAAATAGAAAATATACAAATAAAAAAAAAATAATAAATTCATGCGAATATATTAGTTTTTGATATATCGAAAGATGAAAGTTTGTTTAAATATCTTGTCTGTTTATAATCTAGTGGAAAATAGAAAAAAAAATTTAGTATGACGTTCATTGAAGTTTACTCGATGTTTTTATTTTTCTTTCTTTCTTTTTTTGCGGCTTTCCTTAAGTTTAGGCCAGATATTTTGTTAGGTCACAACCTAGATCGTTGATGGATCGATTGTCGTCGTACGCTTGACATAAAAGGAAATTTAAACGTCTGAGAAATGTCTCTAAAGAAATTTTCTGATATTACAATTAATAAATTAATTTCTTTTTTTTTTAGTTTAATTAATTCACACTTGTTTCAAAACAATTTTTTTTACGAGAATAATCTAACAAAAAAAAATCTGATATTGTTAAATAAAAAAAAAAATTACAATTTTTATGAAAATTTATTTGTATACATAACTCGAAGTTATTTCGTAAGGAATCTCTCTTCTTTATGAAAAATATAGAGTGGAATTATTTTGAATCAGAAAAACGTACGCGACTACATAAATGTTGCGCGCACATAACTCTAGGTAAGCTTTTTAATTTATTGTGTAGACTTACAGAAACGAATAAAAGTGGGCAGTGCATCTTATAGTTTATTGCAGTAAAACAAAGAAAAAAAGAAAAAAAAAAAAAAAAAAAAGAAATTTCGAATTATATTACAAAGATTAAACTTTTAAATCTCTCTCATTAATTTTACTTATTTCAAAATGACAAATCTTAACAAGCAAACAAAAAATTACTATTTTTAAACGAACTTGCATAAAAAATAAAACGCAATTCATTTTTACCTTGTGTTTCTTTTTTAAATCGAATCAAATTCTATAAATAGACTGAATCTTTTAATATTCGTAAAAAAAAACTAAATAAATAATTATAAAAAATAAGTAATATTTAATGTGAATAAAATGTAAAATAAAATATAAATAAAAAACAAAGAATATAAAAAGAAAATTACTTGAGTATTTTATTATCGCAACAAAAAAAAATCATACCTGCAATTTATCAATGCTTTATTTTCAAAAAATTTTATTCCTTGTAACCATTTTTTTTTTTATACTATTATTGTTAATTTTACTATTATTATTCTTACTAATATATATATATTTAAAAGATAACTTTGCCAAGATTAAATATTACTGATAAAATGTATCATAATTTATTTCAAAAATTTAAAAAGACAGTTGTTAATTTTGATGATTGACTTGAAAAATGATCATTGGGAAATATTCTTCAAAGGCATCTATTATTGAAAATAGTTTATACTAGCATCGCCAACACTTCAGCAAATTCAGTGAAGTGAATACTTCCCTATCTCTAATTTATAATTTCCACATTACTATATTTATAAACTCAAATAAATTTCAGTGTTGCGCAACATTCGTGAATTCTTCCACAATTTATAAAAAAAAATTTTTCAAAAGTTTCAAAAAAAAAAAAAGACTTTGAATTGTTCTTAAAAAAGGGATAATTTTCATTATTTTTCCTTTAGTACTCAAAGAATTAATTATATAAAATAAATTTTTATCAAACGATAAAAATTAATCAATTTAATAATTTAATGATTTAAATATAAATTTTATAATTTATAATTAATTTAATGATATAATTTTTATTCAGATATTTTGCAATTCGACATATTATTTGAATTGAATTTTAGTATTTAATATATTAAATTTGCTGATATTTATTAAAGAAAACACAAGTTGCGGTACAGATGAAAGCAAAGTTTCTTTAAGTCATCATTGATCGACTGATCCTCAAAGAGAATAAACTTATATAAAGGGGTTAAAAAAAAAATCGCTTTGTTCTTACGACGAAAACTCTTAAAGTCTTTGAACTTTTTCAAGTGTACTCGTGAGTAATAAAAGTAAAAAAAAAAAAAAGATACAAAAATTCTTGAAACCATTTTCCTCACCGACCTTCTCTCTCTCTCTCTCTCTCTCTCTCTCTCTCTCTCTCTCTCTCTCTCTCTCTCTCTCTCTCTCTCTCTCTCTCTCTCTCTCTCTCTCTCTCTCTCTCTCTCTCTCTCTCTCTCTCTCTCTCTCTCTCTCTCTCTTTCTTTAATATATATAAAACCGAAGATATTCATCTTTTATATATTCTATATGTTTATGAAAACTGGAAAACTTTTAAAGCGAATAAAAAATCAATTTCTCACAAAACACTCAAATAAAGTTTATACATCATTTCAAAATAGAATAGTTCATGAAATTCTAAAATGAAATATTTATCAAATTGAAAATAAAAAAATTAGAATAGAATAAAAATTTTAAGGGCGTGAATTAAGGGATTTATATAAAATTTACCAAAAAGGTAATAATAAAATAAATTTTTAAAAATCATAAGACTAGTAAAATTTTGTGAATTTTTGGGGGAAAATTTTTTTTTTTAATCACCTATTTATTGACGAAGCAGATCACAGATTTCATTATTCTATTGATCATTGTGTAAAACACAAAACTGATAAATTAATTCACGTCGCGATTTCGATTTGTGAACAGTTCGATGGGTGTCGCGTAACAGAATCGTCTGAAGCCTCGGGGTTGTTAGAGACGTTTGTGGATAAGTAAAATTCCGCGCCACGCGCTTTTGGAGCACATGCGCTTCAAAACTCCCTCTCTTATACGCAATTAAATTGTGATAATAGTTTTTTGAATAAATAAAATAATCAAAAAATATTAAAATAAATAAAAAATTAAAAGCATAAAAAAGGGAAATTAACAAAAGAGAAAAAAAAACAACAATAATAAAAGAAAATAAAAATAATGTAACTAAAAGAAAAATAAAAACAAAAAATTGAAAAAACTCACATTTTGTCTTCTCTCTCACGAGAAAATGCAAAATATTTTCAAATTATTATTTCCAGATCCAACTGTAAGTAGCGCTGTTAAGCAAGAAAGTATCTCTCCTCCCCCAAGTGAATTGTATATATGTGAGACCATGGATCCTTTCATGGATCATGTGAGACCAAAAAGTGGTACGCTTTTGCTTTCGCTTTCCCCGTATCGTCATTCAGTCTTCTTACATTACTCCGTGCGGTAAATTTACAATTTCTCATCGGATTCAGTATCATCTTCAATTTAGTACTGTCTCCACAATGAAACTAGTTAAATTACAATAAAAATATTTTTAAAAAAATCTCACGGTTAAAATTTGAAAAAAAAAAAATTCTCTTTTCTTACTCTGTGAAAAATATTAGTGTCGAACATCATCTTTTTCTATTCGCTGATCCTTGATTTATTTTTTTTTTTTAAATCTAAAAACAGAACAAGTAACAATGTTAAATTTTGTGTCATTTCCAATAACTTTATTTCTTTTTTCCGGTGAGTTGAATAATCGAAAACTTCATTTCTATTTTAACACAAATTTCCTAGATATACTAAAAGTGTAATAATTATTTTAATAATCTCCTTTTTTTTTGTTTAAATAAATTTCCTTCAAATAATCAAAATTAAATATTGATAGTTGTTAAAAATTTTTCAAATAACTGAATTTAATTTTGAAATTAACACTAAAATTTATTATTGATGATAAAATAATTGTTAAACAAAAATATTAACGAAGAATTCAAATGTCGGAATTTAAACTTTTAAACAAATCATTCAAGTTTTTCTTATAACCTTTCAATGGTATTTAATTTTTAAACATACTCTCAACTCGAGGCGATTAATTGTCAATTAAAGATTCATAAATGTGAGAAGAGATTAATTTTTGAGAAACAAAATAGCGAAAAATTATTAAAATTCAAAAATTATTAATATATTTTTAAAGGTGATTTAAAATTTAAAAAAAAAATAATTAGTAAATTATTAAATTAGATTAATAAATAAACTTTAATATTAATTAAATAAAATAAATAAAAAAAAGTTTGCAAAAAAATAAATGCAATAAAAAAAAAATGCCATTAAATTTTTCATTATAACGTTTCATTGAAAATACTTTGAATATTTGAAAATTCAAAAAAATATTCTATTATCTTGGCCTACTCTCGGCAAGTTAGAGGTCAATGCCTCGGACGTAGAAAGTTTTATGATGAATTTAAACGTATCATGCATAATATATGTTTTTCCTTGAGAAATGAAATTTTTATATTAATTTCAATATATCTTTTTTTTCTCTAATGTAAATCTAGTTTAAATTTTAAGCAATAAAATAAAAGAGAATATAATTCTACCTTTAAAATGACCGGAAATTTCACTTCCTTTTTGTTCACGCGAAGAGAAACGTCTAAGTCAATTGATTGTATGCAACGCTCTTTAAAAACACTTGCATTTATTTTCTTCATGTTCTACTGTAAATTATCAACACCATCATTAACTAATCCCCGATATTCACATACATTCGAGAAAGTGTGAGTCAATTAAAAATTTTTTTAAATTGAAACCTAATTTTTAACTGAAAATAAAAAATAGACTAATTAGAATGAATTAAAAATATTTTAATTATAATTAAAATTTAATCATAAAAACATTTTTTCTCAATTTTAAAAACTAAAATTAATCTGATATAAATTTATAATAAACTTCAAATATAGTTTAAATTTTCTCAAGATTTTAATTTGCACTTCTTGATAGTTATATTTAATATTTTCTTAAACAAATACAAAAAAAAAATTGTTACATAATTTCAGTTATAAAATCCATTGTTAATAATTCATTGTGAGAAAAGAATGTTATTCATATCAGTAACGATTCCATAATGGTCTTCCGCTTTCTCACGAACCAAAAGAAAATAATTGAAGAATTCTTTAAATTAAAGGAGAGTTTTAAATTCTACTTTATGTACCATTGAGTAATCGATGAAATATTATTAAAATGCAATAAACAAAATTACAAAAAAAGAACAAATACTAATTAAGGAAAATATAAAAATTATTATAGAAAAATAAAATTATTTTTTTTTCTAATTTTAGTAACAAGCGTTTTATCACAAGAACAAGAGCACAATGCACCCTGTGTTGATGATAGTAAATTCTACAGAAATCCAAATACACCAACTCACAATGTATGGACACCATCAGAATGTGGAAAATATTATCTTTGTTTGGGTAAAATAACTAAAAAATTTTTTTAATATAAATAATTCAAATTATTTGAAGAGAAAAAAATGTAATGATACTTTCGGATTAAGAAAAATAGAATTTCTGAAAAATTTTAATTCTCATGAAGTTGAAAAACGCTAATTGAGAAATAATAATTATAATTATTATTACGATTATTATAATTATTATTGTGGTGATTTATTTCTTTTCAAAGGCGAATAAATATTCGAAAAAGGAATTCCATTTTACGATCTCAGTGCCTAATTTAGCAAGATTATACAAGCGATCTCATACTTATTACAAAGAAAAAAATTCTGTCAATTACAAATACATTTTCAATGAAAATATTGTGTGCACACTGTTCAGCTGATCTTTTGATCTTTTGCAAACTTCAATATATATTATAACTCTAAATAACGCAGTATTCATATAATCTGCCGGATGAATGATTCATAAATTTGTTCCGAGAAAAAGAAAGTTGTACCATTAAGTGAAAACATTGTAAAATATTTTCTACACATGTGAATTTTATGTACACGATTTGATCAATTTTTCTTTCATTTTAGTAATAATACTATTTTTTTACTATATTTAAAAAAAAAAAAAAATTATTTATTAATTTAAAAGTAATTAAATTTATTTTTCTAATAATATAGATAATGAAGTTTTTGAATTCAAATGCTCGGAGGGATTACTCTTTGACATTTCAAGGCAAATGTGCGATTACAAATCGAATGTTGACAATTGCGATGTGCCAATAGGTAAGCGAAACTTAATTTTCTTTTCTTTAAAAATAATAAATAAAAATGAAATTTTTTTTTAAAAAGTAAAGAAAAGACTAGTATATACTCTTAAATTAATTCATTTTAATTTTTTTTTCTTAAATTAAATTTTTTGCAAAATATGTATTTACATTATATAAACAAAAATTAATATTACACTTTTTGTTTATTGATTTTAATAAAATATTTGATAGAAAAAAAAAGAAAATAAAAAGGACTATGAAAATTGCTTTTACATACCTTCATTGAGTTTATGAAAATGATTTTTCACTTTGATGATGTCAAAATTTGAAGATTGAAAAGTTTCTTGTAGAAGAGCAGCCTCCTAAGCCCCTGCTTCGTGATGGGGATTGCGAAGAAAAAGAATTAGCCTGCGGTGATGGCACTTGTCTTCCATCTCATTATTTCTGCGATGGCAGTGTTGATTGTCCCGATGGTTCAGATGAAGGATGGTGCGGTAAGAATTCTATTCACAACGAATATTAGTTTAATTTTTCAAAATTAATTTAAATAACTTAATTATTACTGTTAAAAATATTTTAAGTAACTTACCATTCTTCTTGTTGTTTTTTTTTTTTTATTTATAAAATTACAACTTGTTTCAGATACAAAAAACGATCCAAACTCGGCAACAAATTGTAATCCGCGTAAATGTTTATTACCTGATTGTTGGTGTTCCAAAGATGGAACACAAATACCGGGGAATTTCTCAGCCTCGTCAGTTCCACAAATGATAATAGTCACTTTCGACGATGCAGTCAATTCCGAAAATTTTGATCTTTATACAAGTAAGAATTTAAAATTGATAATCAAAAAAATAATTTTTAATGACAAAATAAATTAAAAAATTTCAAATTTAAAAAAAGAAAATTTTTAAACTGTACCTATATATATAGTAATAATTTTAATGCTTGTTGAACAATAGAAATTTTTACGGATGAGAGAAAAAATCCAAATGGTTGTCCTGTGAGGGCAACATTTTATATCAGTCATCAATACACGAATTATAGAGATGTCCAATATCTCTGGAATGCTGGACATGAAATTGCCACCCATTCTGTCACGTAAGTATTTTCCAAACAATTCTAAAAATAAAAATTGTCACTTTAACAGTTTTCTTGTAATGAAGAAGATTTTTTTTTTCAAATAACAATTTTGTACATAATTTATAATAAAATTAAATATTAATATATGGAAAATTATTAATGAATTAAAAAAAAAAATTATATTAGACATCGAGGACCCGAGGATTGGTGGTCACGAAATGCAACATTAGAAGACTGGTTTGATGAAATGGTTGGAGTTGCAAATATTATAAATAAATATTCAGCAGTTCGAATCAGAGATATTAAGGGTATTAAATTTACATTTAAATTTTTCAATTAATAATAAATAATTATCTAATTATTCAGGAAATTTTTAATTAAATTTTAAAAAAATTTACCCATTCAGGTACAAGAACACCATTTTTACGATTAGGTTGGAATCGACAATTTCTCATGATGTCTGAATTTGGTTTTGAATATGATTCCTCGATAATTGCACCATTTTCCGATCCACCAATATGGCCCTATACTTTGGATTATAAAATATCACATCGTTGCGTTGGTCCCAGTCAAGTTTGTCCAACTCGATCTTATCCAGGAATTTGGGAAATTCCTCTCAATCAATTGATCCTCGGTGTAAGTTCTTTCTTTTTCGAAATAATAAAAAAAAAAGTTTCGTAAAAAAAACAAAGGGAAATTAATTTCAGGATTATACGTGTCCAACTGTCGAGACATGTCCAGCGAATCTCTCTGGCGAAGATGTATACAAAATATTAATGTTAAATTTTAAACGACATTATTTGAGTAATCGAGCACCACTTGGTCTTCATTTACATTCAGCGTGGCTTCAAAATTCCGCTTACAATTACGCCTTCACGGTGAGAAATAAATAATTTTTTTCTAAATAGACAAATAATAAAAATACAAAAGTAAATTAATTAAAAATTTCATCTTTTTAAAATTAATTATTTTTAAACAGAAATTTATGGACGAGGTACTTCGATTATCGGACGTTTATTTTGTAACCAGTCATCAAGCACTCGAATGGATACGTTATCCAACACCTGTTAATAATTTACAAACATTTGAATCCTGGCAATGTAACAAACAATTCGAACCATATGAAATTGCTTGTGATTTGCCAACTGCATGTAAATTACCAAGTAGAGTTTTAAAATCCTATCGTTATCTTCACACTTGCTTCGAATGTCCCAAACAATATCCATGGCTGAGAAATGAATTTGGTTTAGATTAAAAAGAATGTAATTTTGAAATACAATTTGTGTTTCATTATAACAAAAACAGAAAACCTAATTCCGAACACAAAATATTTTTAGAAATAAGATAACTCTGAAAATTATTCTATAAAAGTAATATAAAAAATAATTTTTAAACTATTATTATAAAAAAAAAAAAAAAAAAAAAAACCACAAGTCATATTTATTAATAATAAATGTACAAATAGTTATGAATGATTTATGTTGAAATTTATTTACTTGTATTAATATTTTCTTTATATAGTTGACACTTAAATGTGTATGAAAAAAATACGGAGACGAAATTAAATTTTCTTCATATTTCAAAATAAATTGAAACAAAAAAATTAAATAACTCTTATAATCTAAAAAAAAAAAAAGATTGTCAGAAAAAAAAAGTTATAATTAATTCTAGATCACTAATTTATCCTTCTTGTTGAATGAAAGGATTTTGAATAGATTCCATTCCATCGACGGGACAAATCAAGACAACTGATGTGCCTCTACATACAACCAAACCAAGTGGTCTTGTATCCTGATTTAATTTGTACGGGTCATCATGATCTACGAGAATATTATTTTTTTTTATCTTTCCAAAAAAAAAGAACAACTAATTTAAATTTTTTTCTCCGTATTAAAAACTTATTTTTCAGAATCAAAAATTATTATTTCCTATTTTTTATATTTAAAAACTCAATTATATTCTATTAATGAACATTAATAATTTATAATTTAATATCTTATTTATAAATTGAAATAAAACTTTCGATTAAAGCCTCTAGTATGTATTAGATGAAATATTGAAACCAAAGTTCCAATTATCAAGTTGTTTATATACTATTATTAATAACAACTATTATAACTTATTTATAAATAATTATGCAAAAAAAATTTACCTCTTAAATATTCTATTGTGTTGTCAAGTACTAAATTCAACAGTGGATCGTAACCTTTAAGAATTCCTGCCGCTTCCCTTCCGCCGGCAAATTTCACTCTGATATTTTTTTCAAGATATTTCGAAAGATCTAAAATACTTTCTTTCCTCTTTTTTTCTTTATGATCCCCATGGGCATTCAATTGCTAAATTAGAAGAATTTTACTTTTAAAAAATGGGTAAAAAAAATTGACGAAAAATGAAAAAAATTTTCTAAGTAATATTTTTAGGTTAGAAAACCATTTGACATTTACCTGTTTCGGTGTCTGTAAACAAACAAATGAAATTCAATTAGAATATTTTATATTACTAATAAGATGATAATAATTTTTATATACTTACAGACATTGTAAGAATATTAAGATATATTTGTGTATAAATTTTATAAATATGAACACAAAACACACACGCTTGTCACTCAAAGAGAAACGATTGTTAGGAATGACTACTGAAATCAAAATCAAAACCAAACGAATGTTTATTATACTAAATAAATAAATTATTATAAATAAAAACTATATATAAAAAATAAAAGGAAAAATATTAAAGTATAAATATAAAATAAATCAATGTTTTAATAATTTCCAACTATTTAATTTTAAAAGGGAAAAATTCGTTATGAAAACGCGCGAATTTCAAAATTTCCTTTGATTTAATTCAAATTTTTTTTTTCCCTCTAATAATAAAACAATTTACCATAAATTATCTATTTCTTACAGTTCTTTCAAGGATAAATAAAATAATCTTTTTTATCGAAATAAATTCAATGTATTTTTATTAACATTAAAATTGATTTTATTTTTTCTACAAAATTTATTTCAAGATTAATATTACTCTCATAATAAACCGATATTGAACTGAAACTTTTGGAAATTGTTTACAAAAAAATTTTTTTTTTTTGTATCAACTTTACAGTTTTTACACGTCTTACATTTTCTATTAAGTGACTCGTAAAATTTAAAAAAAAAACAAAATTAAACTACTATTGTTAATTGTACGAGGCACTTAATTAATATAAAAATAAATACTGTTCATTGAAATATATTATTCAGCTAAATAATCAGTCTTACAGGATTTCTTTTGATGGCGTAGTGATAAAATATTTTTTATTCTTCCTTAGAAACGAACGACTGAAAAGAAAAAAAAAATATAATTTTATATTTTATGCAAAAAAAATAAATAAATAAAAAATACGAAAATTTTTCCAAACCTTGAGCCTAATGGAGTATGAAAAAATCCCCTGGAAGTTGAATTTTTTAAAAGAGATTCAGTGGAAGGTGTATGTCTCAATTCTCCAGTTAGTGGTGTTCCAATTTCATGAGCATTGTCCGAATTAACAAAATTAGCCCAATAATCAGAGGGAATCATTAACAAGCTCTCAACGATCTATATAAAAGAGAAAATTAAAAACAAATTTTATTTACATTTTAGAAAAATTATGAAAAATTTATTTACCGCAGCCTGATTTTTCGTTTCGCTAAGCATTGACATAACGGATGGTTCCTGACAACTGTAACCAACTAATGTTGGTCCAAAAACTTTGGCAAGATTACTAATTGGCATTTTACATTCTGGACTACTTGATACACGTTGTAAATGTAAAATTAAAAATGCAAGTGTATCTCGATTTGGTTGCGGTAACTCGGAAATTGCTTGATATAATGCAGCATCCGAATCTTGTTTATCAGATAAAGCCACAGCTCGCACAAAATCAGCCCACAATCCAACGGTAATTAGTGGTTCTTTCAATGATCTTAAAAATAATAATTTTTTTAAATCCCTTGAAATTATAAATTATTTTAATTATTATTTAATAATTAATCAAAAATTTACCGAAGAAAGTCTTTGAGTGTTGAGCAAATTGTCGCAATATCAACTTTCGATAAATTTGGCGCACCTTTGCCTTTAAGAAATCTTTCTTTTAACAATTTTACTTCCGATGAACCGCCACTAACTCTATATAATCCTTGATCGCTCATTCCTCTAAGTTCCACTTCGTTTATGCAATGAATCACTAATGAAGGTACCATTGGAGAAACCATAGGTGTGTAATCCGCGATTGTTCCCTTAAATAAAATTAATTTAATACATGAATTAAATATTAATTCATATTTTTATATTCACTGAAAATAGTTTTAGTAAGTAATTCTTACCGAAGCACCTCGTAATGTTGGCGTATTTCCTGCTGGTACACAAGGAAGTGGAACAAATTCTTTACATTCCACATGAGTTGTAGCTCGACAATCTTTACATTTTAATGCTACTTTTCCAAAACGTATTCTAGAAGATTAAACCATAAATTAGTTTTTTTTTTTTTTAAAGCATAAATTTGAAAAAGCATCTTTTTTTTCATACCTTTTACCGCAATGTGTACAAATTTCCGGTTTTATGACAGTTTTCACATTAAAATTGTGTCCTCTTGCAATTCTTGGACTAAGTGTATAACCACCAATATTAGGACTTGGTTTAAAAACACTATCACAATCAGAATCTGATGAAATTTCACTTGCTGACTCTGAAGGCTAGGGAAAAAATACAAGAGATAATAAATAAGAGAAAACGAAAATAAAATGTTTTTTAAATTTAGAGAATTTTATTACCTTAAGTATATCATTATCTTTTTTATTTGGAGTTGTTTTCATTCTATTTTCATTACTTTTTTGTCTATTACGCAAATTATGTAAAGGAGTTTGAGGATCATTATTTTCATTGACTGGAATAGTTTCAATAACTGAAGAAGCTGTTATTGGTCCATTTCTTGTCATTGAAACAATAGTTTTAGCAATTAAACGATCAGAATTATTACGATCTGCTATTTTTTGAACAGAACTTCGTCTCTTTTTTGGACCATAATCACAATTTGGCCTATGTTCTTTCCATTCTCGTTTTTTATGTCTTTGTTGAAGAATAAAACTCGTATCTAAATCGTCCTCTGATTTAGAATAACAACTCAAATCACTTAAAATTGATGCAGTGGAGTCCAGCTCCGTTATCGTATTTAATCTATAAATAAATACAATTAATTAAAAAAATTTCAGTAATAAATAAATTTTTATATTTTTTTTTTATACCTCTCAGTGCAATAATCCCTTCCGTATGCATTATTCTGAAAACCATTAATTGACGTACTATTTAAAAATTGAAGTTTTTCCCTAGTTTCATCATTAATACTTCTTCCACCATCATTAAATAGAAGATCTCTTGCTAATTTTATTTGTCTTTCCTGTAAAATAAACATTTTGTTAAATAATAATTAGTTAACAAATATTTTTAAATAGATTTTTTTAAAAAATTATTTATGATAATTTACAAGTGAATTTCTTTCATCCTCGGCGTGTCTTCGTTTCATTTTTTCTTCATCTAATAATCTCCTTGCGTGGCTTAACATTTTATCAAGAGTTGAAGCTTCTTGATGTGATTTTTCTAAAGCTGCATGTAATCGTTGACATTCTTGTACAGACAACAACCATTTTTGACGTATTTCCTCTTGATTTATTGCAAATTGAAGAAATTCTACACAAATAATACGATTTTTAATATAGTAGAAATGCTATTAACTTTGGCATTTATGCATAACCTCAAAATAATCATAAATATAATAAATTTAAATGATTTAAATATTTCAAAGATAAAACTGATCATAAAATAAATCTTCTGATTTGACAAGTTAAAGTTTTTAATTTTAAAATTGTTTTTCTATCCATATTATAATAAATAAAAGGAATTATATAGTGTCAAATATTTTGAGTTGACATTTCAATTTTTTTTTATTTTTTATAAAACTTTACAACTCACAGTGCAAAATTTGAATGTTACGTGAGATATTAATGAATAAATTGAAATTTTTACAATAAATATATAAAATAACGTTAAAAATAAAAAAATACCGGTGAAAACTAACCTCCTTCACATGATCCGTTGACCAAAGTATTTGTACATCGTATCAATTCATCGTAACTAGCTAATACTGATAATGTAGACATTGTGACTTTTGATTAAAGCTTATTAAAATAAGCTTTAATCTTTAAAAAAAAAATATTTTAAAACAAATATTTGGCGTCTACTTTCGTTTTCATTTGAACTTAAATGAATTAGGTTATAGACAAGTGAGTGTCTAAAGGTACGTTTACATAATTTATGCAAAATAAACAGCCTTAAAAGTGTCACATTTTAGATATTCTACCTTACTTTTATATTTCCATGGTCTATATGCGTGCGCATCTTGTTTAGCTAAATAAAACTGTGTCAGCAGGTGAACCTGGGATTATTTCAATTGTAATGTTGATAGTTGATGTATCTTTATTTTACTACGTAAATGTTTATAAAAAATACATTTAATTGAACAAAATGCATATGTATTAGAGATGTGATTCCATTAACCGCGAATTATGTTATACGTCACTTTGAAGAAAACAATTTAATTGTAACTTATCTACAGGTTTCCACCAAAACTAAGACAGGTATTAATTATTTTATTGATTTTAGTTTATTACTTCTTTAAAAAATTACAATTTCTAGAAAATATTCATAATTTCATAAAGCTTATAAACTATAATATTTTGTATATAAATGTAATCACTATAAATTTTCTCAATAGCGTATTACTTATAAGTTGCAAAATATAGTTCTAAAAATAAACAATGCTAAAATACACAGAGAAAAATAGAAATAACATTTTTAAAATAATTTTATTTAAGCAAATTTCTTTAAGTAGTGAGATTTAAATATAGATAAATTTTACTGATTAAATAAAATTTTGTGCAATGCTTATTTTTGAATATTCTTCAAAAACATAAATTATCAATTTTTCTTGAAATTAGATTAAGCTAATAAACTTAAATCACTGATATAAAAATTAATTCTCATCACTTTTTAAAAAATTTAAGATACATATTTAGATGTTTATAAATGACGTCACGCAATTTCCCCAGTTTTTTTTTACCTCTCTCCTCTACCTCTTTTATATGTTTAACAGTGACTAATAACTGATTATACTTTTGGTAATGACCTTGATTTCACTTCCTAAATGACTGTTTTTGAAGTAATTTTGAATGTTTTTTTTCCTCCTCTTTACAATTGTCAGAGGAATTATTGAATTAAATAATAAAACAAATTATATATAATATAAATATAATATCTAAGAAATTAACAAATTATTGTTTTATTCCTTTTTTTGTAGAAGACAAAATTATACATCAATCATGGCATCAAAGTGGCGATTGTTTACACTTCTTATGTGGAAAAATTTTACTGTTCGTAAAAGACATTGGAAAAATTGTTTATTTGGTGAAATTTTAATTCCAGTGTTTCTATTTATATTAATTCAAGCCGTTCGAGATTTTGGAGATTTCAGCGCATCACCTGATATTGAATTGGAAGTGAATGATATCATTTTTCCAGTTCAATCAAAAGGAGATTTATTAACAATTGTTAAACAATTGGATCCTAGTATTTATTATATTCCAAAAAATAATTACACACAAAATTTAATGGAAAAAACTCGAAATTGTCTTGGATTGCATCATGATAGTACGTGAATATAATTTTAAAATAAATATTTAAAAGTAAAGAAATAATAAATTAATTTATATTTTAGGTGTCATTGGATTTTATTCAGAGGATGAATTAATGAAAAAATATACTTCTAAAAAATTGGATGATTTGTCATCAAAGGTTGTGGCAATTGTTTTTAAAAATTCTGAACAGCTTAATTTTCAGTCAAAACATTTAGAATATATAATTAGACCCTATAGTTCATCTATAAAAGGAATTAATAATTTTCTTCTTGATAATCCATTTGTTCAAACACAAATGTGTTTGGATGAATCATTTCTTAAGATAACGAAGCCGCATTCCTTTCTGAAAAGTAATGTGAGTATAAAGAAAGAGGGAGATAGAGATATTCAAAAATATTCTATTTTTTTTTTTATTTGAATTTTTATTTTCAGATTACAATGCAACGAATGCCTTCTCCATCACAAATTTTAAAAATGAAACCAATGCAAAATATAATTGGTACTATGTATGCAATTGTAATGGTTTATGCATTTTTAATTCCCCTTACAATTGAAACAACTTTTACTGCAAATGAAAAGGATATAGGAGTGAATGTATATAATTTTTTGAATTTTTCAATTTTAAGCATTTTTGTTTTTACACAAAATAAATTTATTTAATTTCAGGTTCTTATGTCAATGAATGGCGTTAAAACATACCAAAATTTACGAAGTTGGTTAATAAGTGGAATATTGTTTAGTATTTTTTATGTAGTACCACGTTTAATTTTGTTTAAAATATCATTCTCGTCTAAAACTTTACCATACTTGTATCATGGAAATATTTTATTGGTAGGAATAATGTTTTTTGCCCACGTTGCTCATCTTTTGGCATTTGGAATCCACATTACATCCTATTTCTCAAAATGTAAAAAAAAATCATAAAATTTTAATTTCAATTTTCGATTAATAATTTATTAATATTAATTGATTGTGATATTTTTTAGCTATATTTAGATCATTGGTGATTCCAATTATATATATTGGATCATATAATTTGCAAAAATTTTTGATCTGGCATCAGAATTATACTATTATTCCATATATGGGAATTTTTTTTCCCAATATGCTATTATACCGCTTGTGTGAGGAAATAGATTATTATGAAGGCAAATGTAAGTATTTTAAATTCTCCATTAATTGAAAGTAAAATTCATTTAATTCATAAAATTAATTAATTTTTTTTTTACAGTAATTGGAGTTGGATGGAAGAATTTCTTTGTAGTTGGCGATAAAAATTATACTGATGCAGGATGTTTAGGGAATATTTTAATATTTTCAATTCTCGGCCTTATAATACATTTTTCTTTGGCTTTGTATGCTTCTGCTTTATTTCCAGGAAAATATGGGGTTCCAAAACATCCTCTATATTTTTTAAAGGTACGTTTATGTCACTAATATGAAATTGAATAAATATTAATCACTTCGAATTTATAAATTCTTTTTTTTTTTTTTTTTTAATATTAGTTTTTCAAGTCAAAAAAAGTTTCATCTGAGGAAGAATCGTATGAATGCAATTTTAATAATTTGGAAGGAAAACCATTTGAGTCAGTGCCTCAAAATGTTTACACACCTGGGATTCAAATTCGCAATTTGAAAAAATCATACATTACAAATTGGTTTAGTGGAACAGTAAGTAAAAAATTAAATTAGCAATAATTAAAATTATTTTTTTATTATAATTTTCTTTTTATTTAAATAGAAACATGATGCGCTTCAAGGAATTTCAATAGATTTTTATAAAGGACAAATAACAACATTACTTGGTCATAATGGAGCTGGTAAAACAACAATGATGTCAATTTTAACAGGTATATTGAGTCCATCAGAGGGAACAGTTTTTATAAATGGAAAAAATATCAGCGAGGAATTGGAAGAAATTATAACCGATGTGGGACTTTGTCCACAAGAAGATATACTATTCCCTGATTTTACTGTGTTTGAACAAATTCAATTCTTTGGTTTGGTAAGTTTATTAAAATTAGAATTGCAAAAAAAAAAAAAAAAGAAAATTTGAATTATCATTGTTTTTTACAGTTAAAACATAAAAATAGAACAAGATCTCAAGTATCAAATGACGTTTATGATTTACTATTAAAATTAAAATTATCCGACAAATGGAATCAAATACCAGCAAAACTTTCCGGTGGTCAAAAAAGAAGAGTTTGTCTTGGCATGGCAATAATTGGCAACGCCTCAGTAAGGAAATAATAATTAAATAATAATATTTAAATAATTATTCTTTAAATTAATTTCCATTTTTTTGTAGACTCTAATATTAGACGAACCTACTTCTGGAATGGATCCTGAAACAAGAAGAGAATCATGGGATATTTTATTGGTATGTAAAAAAAAAAATTTTTAATTTGTTAAATAATTTATTAAAAATTTTATTTTTTATAGAAAATGAGAGGAGAGAAGACAATTTTGATTAGTACACATAATATGGAAGAGGCAGATGTTCTTGGTGATAGAACTGCAATAATTGAATTGGGAAAATTAAAAAGTTATGGAACACCATTGTTTTTAAAGAAATTTTACGGTACTGTATTGAGAATTTTTTCCCCTTTTAATTCGTCTAATTTATTTATGTTAAAAAAATTACTTTTTCTAATTAGGTGAAGGTAATATGGAAGTAACATTATCAACAGAAGATGGATGTGACATTGAGGAAATAAAAAAACAATTTTCAGTGGAAAGTCAATTAATAAGTTTTGATGGTGGAAAAATTGTCTTTAGCATTCCATTTAATGATCGTTTACCAAATGATTTGGATAAAATTGAAGATGAAAAAACAAAACTTGGTGTAACTGGTATAAGTGTTTCGTTAATAACATTGGAACAAGTTTTCCTTCGGTATTATATATTTTACCTTATATTGTTATAATATTATAAATGTTATTTTTCTAAATAAAATTTTCTTTAATTTTTTGTAGAGCAACCAAAGAAGATAATAGTGATCCAAATGACAACGATATTGTTTTAGAAGAAATTAAAAAAGTGGAAGGTTATCACCTTATTTTACAATCACTATTTGCTCTGTTTAAAAAAAAATTTTCTTACTTACGGAAGAATATATTAACTCATGTTTTAATGGTACAAAAAAATTATTATTCTCTTTGATCAAGATTAACAAAAAACTGTTTAATCATTATTAATTTAATTTTAGATACTTTTACCATCAGTAGGAATTATGTTAATGGCTGCAGGTTTTAAGAAAATTAGTTATACCGATGAGAAACAAATAAGATTCGATAATTATCCAAATCCTATTGCTTTCTATTATTCCAATAACACAAATTATGAACAAATGTATAAAAGTATTATAGAAAGTTTTAATGGAAAAATAATGACCTCTATGGAAAATAACATTTCTTCAGGTAAATTTTCTTTTTCTATTTATAATTTTATTAAAAATAAAATTCTGTTAAATTTAAAATTAATTATTTCTTTCAGCATTACTTAATTTCAGTAGAAATGATCTTTCTGTGTATCAAAATAATTTACTTGCTGCTGCCACTTTTGAAAGTATAAAATCTCAAAAAATTCAAATTAATGCATTATACTCGGATAGTGTATTTCAAAGTGTTCCAATTTCTTTTAATTTGATAACCAATACTATAATAAAAATTATCGCTGGACAGGATTATCAAATTGATATTTCGATTCAAAATCTGCCAAAAATTTTAAATTTTCATGAATCTATTATGTCAAAAGAAGAAGAAGATATTACAAAAGTTGTTATATTTATTGTAACATTATTGCCTGCTCTTGCTTTATATGTTATTCATCCACTAAAAGAATTATCAACTGGAATTAAAGATCTACAAAGAATGACTGGAGTCACAAGCTATTTATATTGGGGATCATTTTTTCTTTTTGATTTTCTATTATTTTTAGTAACAATAATTATCATATTAATATCATTTTATTTTCTGGATATAATAATGGATTTGCGAATATTCTATGGAACTGAAATTGGTAAGATATTTAAAATTTTTTTTTATTTATTTCTTTATATTTGTCATATAATTAATTATTTTTATCTTAATTTTAAGGTATTATGTTCCTGTCATTAATATTATTGGCAATGAGTTCGTTTCCGTTTATCTATATATTCAGCTTTCTGAAGAAAAAAGTGAATACTGTTGTAAATATTCTTATCTATGTATTTACATTATCAGGTATGTAATTAAATTAAAAATATTTGATAAAAATGTCAAATTATAAAATATCTAATAATTTGTTTCTTTTCAGTTGTAATTGAATCGATTCTAGAAATGGTAATTCAAGTTTCATTGGGTTTTAATGAAAAATTAATGAATATTCTTTCTGCCATTAACACAAGAACTTTCATGTTAATACCATCAGTCAGCTTTTTCTATGGTCAAGTAAATTTTTTTCAAATTGCCAGCAAAAATGCATTTTGCCGAAAGCTGCCCAAGTATTTAGAAAACTTTAATTGCGACAATGGAAACGAATGCTGCGGTAAGAATAATATTTTTCTTTTTGTAATTATAAATCAAAACGGTAATATTTAAAATAAAATTTATTTATTTTTCAGATTTAAAATGCTCTGATGGTGTTTGTGAAAAGTCATTTGAATATTTTGGTGATTTCAGTAAAGCAGGAAGTCTTGGAGAATGTTTAATCTATTTGGCCCTCACATCTATTTTATATTTCATTATTCTTGAATTATTCGAACGTAATATAATATCTTTGATAATTTTGAAATTAAAGAAAAAAGAACCTTTAAATATTCAACAAATTGATGATCAAGTAGCAAATGAAAAATCTCTAGTTTCATCCGAAATTAATCGAATTGAAAACAAAGGTATATTATATAGAAAATAATTTTGTTTTTTTTTTTTTGAATTTTAACTCTATTAGAGTTTTAATATTTCAGTTAAAAATCCAGACATTAATGGAGAATATTCTATTATTAATACAATTTCTGAAAGTGAATCCATTTATTTAGTTCATGAATTAAGTAAATATTATGGAGATCTTGCTGCAGTGAAAGAAATTAGTTTCAGTGTAAAGAAAAAAGAATGTTTTGGATTACTTGGTGTTAATGGTGCTGGAAAAAGTACAACATTTCGAATGCTCACAGGATTAGAATTTCCAAATAGTGGAACAATGTATTTAAATGAAAAAGAAATTTCTCTCCACAGAACAGAGGTACGTGTCAAAAATTATTAATCACGAGAATTTTACAAAAAAAAAAATTGGGAATAAAAATACAAATTTTTGATTACAGTATTTACGACAAATGGGATATTGTCCTCAAAATCATGCTTTAATAGAATCACTGAATTCTAGAGAACATCTTGAATTGTTTGCATCACTTCGAGGAGTACCATTATCTCAAATATCCTCTGAAGTAGAAAATTGGATAAAGAAATTAAGTAAATAATTTGAATAAATAAAATTATGAATTTTTCATAGAATTTTATAAAAAAAAAATTTTAATAATTTTTTTTTTGCTTACATTTTTCAGAATTGAATCTTTGTGCAAATCAACAAAGCGGTAATTACAGTGGAGGAAATAAACGTCGATTAAATATTGCAATAGCTCTAATTGGAAATCCTAATTTGGTACTTTTGGATGAACCAACAACAGGAGTTGATCCCGCTGCTCGAAGATCCTTGTGGCGTGTGATTAAAACCTGTCAATTAGCTGGACAATCAATTATTCTCACTTCACACAGGTGATTATTTTAAAAATCAATTATTTTTTTTTAACTGTTATAAATATTATTTTAGTAATTAAAAAAATTTATTTTTTTTTCTATAAATATTATTGATTATAAATTTTAGCATGGAGGAATGTGAAGCTCTTTGCAATCGTTTGGTAATTATGGTAAAAGGACAATTTGTTTGCATTGGTCCAAGTGAACAATTAAAACAACGTTTTGGAGCTGGTTTCGATATAAGTATTAAACTTAATCCAAGTAGAAGTGCGAAAGATGTTTTAAATGTTAAAGAAGAAATGTTAGAAGCTTTAGAGTGTGAACTTCGTGATGAACATGTGGTGAGTTTAATTTATTATTAATTTAAATTTTCTAAATAAATTACAAATTTTAATAAAATAATTTCTTTATAGGGATATTTAACGTATCACGTTACTAATTCAACAACAAAATGGGAAACAATGTATGGCGTTATGAAATCGCTGAAAGATAAGTACAATTTTATTGAAGATTATTCAATTTTGTCAGCAACATTAGAGCAATTATTCTTACAATTTGCAAGGGCTGACAATGAAAGTAGTTATCTTTAAATAATTTTCTTTATTAATTTAAAAATAATATACGTACATAAAATTTTGCAAAATATTCAAATTTGCAAAACACTATTTTTGATGAAAATATTTTAAATAAGTTTCATTTTTGATGCAATTTTCTTTTGCATACAATGTGATAATGCTTATATACTTATGCATAAGAGTCTGAAATGTATTTTTAACTTCTGACAAGAAAAACAATCTCAATGTTGCTTACTATATATATATATATATATACTATAAAATACTAGCTCAATTACTATTGCCGTTTTAATATTTTTAATTTGAAATAAGACTTTAATAGAGAGGCTCTTATTTTTTTATAATTTAACAATATAGATAGACATATAATTATTAGAACTACTCCATTTAAAATGAATGCCTAAAATTAGTTATATTACAGTATTTATAGTCTATAATTATTAAATGCCTAATTGTGCCTATTTCAATAATTAAATATGGTGCAAAATTTTTGTTTGCGAACAGCAAAAATTTGATCGTATGTATTTCAATTTTTCTAAAAAAAATTATCTTTTTAATTATATAAATACTTATTTTTTATATTAAACTTTTTGAATATTAATTTACAAATATTTTTACACACAATGAAAAAAATGATTAAGAAAAAAAAAAAATTAATCACTTTAACGAAAAAAAAAAATGTAACGATATTTTTGCTACAAATAGAATTTTATGAGGGAATAATTATTGTCAATTTTGACATAAATTCAATATTTGTATTTTATTATTAATTATAATAATATTAATTGTACTTTTTTTTTATTAATTATAATAATGTAAGTTTATTATAAACAGCTGTGATTGAAATCAAGGTATTATTGTTATCTAAAAGCTAATAATTGTATTTCCAATTACAATAGATACGTTATATAAGAAGATAACTTATAACAATATATAATAAGCACAATTACACAATTTAAATGTTTATATCTTCTTCTATCATTAAAAAATTGAGTAGCAATTTTTCAATTAGAAAAATTTCATTTAATTCTTTGAAAATAATTTTTTTTTTATATGATTCTGTTAGAAATAATTAAAAAAAAAATTCATAAAATTTTATGTATAAACGAAGACATCGATATTGTGTATTATATTTAGTTGATAACTGATGCAACTATCAATGACAAACAAAAATTTAATTAAACCAAATTGAAATTCAATCTATCTGTAATAATTAATTAATTTCTCAAATAATAAATTATAATTTATATATATAAAAATTAGTGGCAAAAAAATGTATTTTTCGTTTTATATTTAAATAAAATGTTATACAAATAAAAAAATATTTTTAAAATTAAAACTCGATTATTATTAGACATTATTGTTTGTGTCATAGAGAGAGAGAGAGAGAGAGAGAGAGAGAGAGAGAGAGAGAGAGAGAGAGAGAGAGAGAGAGAGAGAGAGAGAGAGAGAGAAATGTATATCACTGTGTAGTGTAGACAGAATATATATAGTGATATATGTATATAAAATTTCAGAATTTACTACTGTGTTGGTTATTTGTGATCCAGCAAATCAATGCCAACCAGAAGCTCGAAACGTAAATTACATTTCAAAGGGATGTGGAATCTAATTCGGTTTATCCCTGTATTGAACTCCTCTCAGCTCTTCATCCTGAACATTTTGCTCGGTGGTCAGACAAAGTTTCAAATTTACGCACTAACGACTTTCTAACAGTGGAAACTGAATATTTCAAGTGATATGCTCTAAATATTCTATAAATTGTCACTACCGCAAAACCTGACGTTAATATAATTATAAATTGTTCATTAATTATTATTGTCAAAAAAAAAGAAATCACACTCTTTAAAACATATATATGACACAAATAAATAATTTTTAAATAAATAATAATATTTTAAATAAAATTTAAAAATTTATAAATAATAGAATTTGAATTTTGAAATTAGAGTAAATTGTAATAATGTGATATTTGATATTTGCTATTAATATAGTTGAGAAGATAATGTCAGTAAATATGATTAGAATTTATTACAGTTAATATTTATTAATATTAATTAGTTAATTAATTATTAATTATAAAATTAGTTACAATATTATTTATTTAAAAAAATAAATTATAAAATATAATTAGTTTTAATTTTTTTTATTTTTATTTTTACATCTATATTCATGTAATATAGAAAATATGTGTTGAAAAAAAAAAGTTAATTAACATTTGAGTAGAATATGTGTACACATTACATGAAATCTTGTTAACGAACCAGGTAACAAGAGTAGTCGGTTCATTGGGCACTCAACAGCCAAATAATTAGTGAGCTTGTGCAATTTGTCGCCAATGATCAAAGTTCTAATCGTTCATGAAATATCAATTTAAACAAAACTCAGAGGCCTTTTTTTCTATGTTGACCATTAAAAGAAAAAAGAAAAAAAAATTTTCAAATAAAAATTAACTCCAAAAAAGTGAATAAAATAATCCTCGGTGTTTTACTCCAAAAAAATTGAAAAATTAGAATAAAATATTTTAATTTAACATTTGAGAGATTTATTTACTTAAATAATTTTATTTTTATAATTGTAAAATGATATTATGTGCTCTCAGTTTGTCATGACGTATATATCAAGTAGAAGAAAGCTATTTTGGTCAGACGCAGCGTGATATAAATGCTTCAACACTACCTCATAATTAAAATCGTAATATTAATTTATATTTCTAATTCTATTCATAATTACCGGAAAAAAATATTACAGTAAAAAATAATACACAATTCATATATGATTCAATATTCAAATAATACGATTTTAAATTTGAATGATTTGTCCTCCAATCACCACCAAGGTCAAAGAAAAAGAAAAAAAAAACAGAGGACAAAAATATTAACCATTTTTTTAAAAGAAATTTTCTGTCTTAAAACCTGTATTTTTTAAATAAAATTTGTAAAATAAAATAATATATATTATTATATATAGTTTTTTAGAATTTTTAATCTCAGTTGTCCTCAGTGACCGTTAAAAGAAGGGGAGGGAGGAGAAGCTTGGTAGCCATGATCATTAAGGCCCCGCACGTGCTTTTTTAGTGTTCTGCTTTTTTTTTCGGAGATCATTCAACAATGCGCTTGAAAAATCCGTAAGTTTATTTTTTTTTGTTTAAATCATATAAATATTTTTTTTTTTATCAAGTTCACGAAAAAAAATGTAGTGCTTCGTTTTTTTTCTGTGTTTAGCAATAAGAAAAGTAAAAGTTCTTCTAAAAGTGTACAAAAGTTTTGCGTCGAGAAATATATCTTGTGTGTGTGTGTGTGTATGTTGAACTTTTTATGAGAAAAATTCTAAAAGTTAAAAAAATATATATAGAAACTACTAAATTTAATTATTTCTTCCCAGTATATCAACAAAATAGTGTAAATAAAATAAAAATAAAGGGTATTAATCAATTTTACTGCTCCGTCAACGAACGTAAAAGGTATATATATATATATATAGTTAAACCTAACTCCGAATTTCATATCATACTTTGTTATTTTACTTTTAAATTTAAATTCATTAAGTTAACTTGACGTTTACATCTTCTTTTTCAATTCTAATGTAAAATAAACAGAATTTAAATTACTCGTTTTCGGAGCAAATTTTTAAATTGAATAATATTTTACGCTACTATATATTTACTTGACACATTAAAGAAATAAGAAAATATATATTTTGCACATAAAAAAAAAATCTAATTACTTAATAAGAATATTTTTGCAGGATAAAAAAATGTGAACATTGCGGTTATAAAAGTACAAGGGCTTTTAATGTTTTTCGTCACAACAAAAGAATTCACGGAGAAGCAAAAAAAATACTTGAATGTTGTGGTAAGAATATATATATTTATTTAATTGACTCTTTTTTTTTCGTTTTTAATTATATTATATAAAACTATTGTCATTATTTACAGGATTATTGCATTATAGTAAGGGCGATTATTATTGTCATGTTGAGGAAGTGCATCCTCACACGAGAAATGGAACAATTTCGAAAAAAAAATATAAAATTAATAGAAATATGTTAAGAAAAATGAAAAAAAAGGCAATGAAAAAGAAGAAGAAAAAAAAGGAAGAAATCATTTTTTTATGGGACAAGAATATTTCTTGGCCAACGGGGAAACAAATAGCAGAATATTTACGCAATATAAAATTTCATAAATTTTATGATTAATTTACAGTAATTGTTTGAAAAATTCTATCACATATTATGCATTGTTTTTTTTTTTTTTTACAAATTTTTAATATTTTCAGTTTAAATTTTAATTAAATTTATAATATTTTACAGCAAATTTTTATCGAACCAAATTTAATCAATAAATCTATTTTAAGCATTGTGAGTAAATTTAAAATTATAGAATACATTAAAACTTTAAAGATAATTTTAAGTTCTACATTATATATTTTTAATGTGATATCAAGTGCCAAATTACAATTAAATAGTAATTAATATCGTGTAAAAAAGAAAATATGTACAAATAAATTAATATATTTTGTATTTTATAAAAAAAAAAAACATTTTTCAAATTGTATTTTTATTATTTATTAAAAATATAATAATTAATTGGGCTATTTTTTTATTATTAATTGATTTTTCAATAATTAAAAAAAATAAATTTACACGAATTTAATTTTTACTTACATGTATATTACACATGTCTGACTAAACTGGTTTCATTTCACTTGGAAAAATAACTCAACGAGTGTTATGATTAAAATTATTTTTAAGTAAATTAATAATTAAACGAAAAAATTATAATCTATTTATATTTTTTAATTAAATAAAAATTTTGAATTATTTTCAAATAAGGTTAAATATTTATTTTGTTATTTTAAATAGTCTTGTTACTAACAAACTTTTTTGTGTTTATTGTAGCAAGTATGTTCAATAAAAAAAAACACAACTCAATGATTAACTGATTAAAATAATCCAGATTTTTTTATTATGCACTATTGGATTTTATAAAATAATATTTATCAAGAGGGCAACTCACAGCATATTACTGATTTCCCTCGAGTATTTTTGTTGTGCAGAAGCATTTTTTTTTAAAAAACAATAAAACAATATGGAAAATATTTTTCAATAAATTCTAAAATCATTTTTTTATAAGAATATTTATAGGTTAGAATCAAGAAAACGATTCATTATTAAAATTCTACTATGATATACTTTCTTTTTAAAATATATGAAATTTTTTTTTTGCACTTTCACGAGATTATAAAGAGATCTTTCCTTGCAATAGTGTTAGTAACGATATGTATATATATATATATATGATTTAAATTTGCAAGATCGTCTGCGCGGTAGGAAAAGAATTATTATGCGAAAAGTTCATACATACCTTCCCTGATGGACGATTAAAACTTCACATCGAATTTACAAATTCCTTCGGGGTTTACCTGAAGGGTACATTAGTTCTCACTGCTTCTACAAAATCACCTTATACCAATCTTTTTCATATATATGATTAAAAAAAAAATTCATGTTATGATGAAACATGTCAATTGTAAGAACACAATATCATTCGATACTTGAGTTATAATTTTACTTTCCGAGTAAAAATAAAAATATTAAAAAAAAATTTATAATTATTTAGAAAGATTAAAATTTTAATTGAATTTATATAATATTCCTGCTGCTTTCTTGAAAAAATAATGTATTTAATATTTGTTAATTTTTAAAAAAATTTGAAAATTCGCGCTTAAATTTCATCAACTTCTTCACTTCCGTTGAATAATGGAGGTTCTTCAATTTAAAAGGATTCCATTTTTCTTTTGTCCTTGAATTATCCTCTTCTACTGCAAAAAATGTTGACTGTATTAAAAACTCCTTTTTTCTTACGTCCTTGAATTATCCTCTTCAATTGCAAAAAAGTGTCGGAAAACAATGTTGTCTGCATTAAAAATTATTTAAAAAAATTTTATTAAGCGACACAGAAGTTGCCTTGAAGAAGTCCCAAATTGGAACTGAGCGTGCGCTGAGGAGAAATTTTATTTTATATCACAAGCTCTGTCTATGCCGTGCGCTGATTGGACCGGGTACTCACTGCGGTAGCGCTGATTGGCTGGCGCTTTTGATGCCAACCAACGTCTATAAATATGGGTCATTTTTCTCCTACCACTTCAATGAGCAGTTGACTCTTTCAGAGGCAACATCTACGCAGCTTAAAAAAATATTTTTAGCTTTTATTCACTGAGCTTTTTTTATATTATTTAAATAAGTGTCTCTATTACAGTGTTAGATTATTATTAAAATTTTTATGCAAAGTGAATATAATAATATGGTGAATAATTCGATCGACGGGGAATATTGATAAATAATAAAAGACAATTATATTATAAATAGAAGAAAGTGCGGTTATAAATATTGAAGAATTATGCATATATTTGTTTTTTTCGCGATCTCATAACATTGTATATTATATACAATGAATATTCATAGAGTGATTTTATACTAAGCAAAACTTTTCTTTTAAAATTCGTTACTACATTCTTACTCTCGTGTATCATTTTCTTTTTCTAAAGCAAAAGCTTCATTATGCTTATTTTACGCTTATCTTCTCACTTGCGATGTAAAATCACTCTATGTATACATATAGTCCGCGTGTTGTTGTGAACATTGTCCAGAAGATGGAGCACCGTTCGCTACACCAGCATAGCGTAGCCATAATCGTGTAGTTTAGTCTTTGCCGGGATTTGTTCGGTAAAGTGTCGTCTTTTTATAAACAATTGCTATAACTATAGTCTGTCAACAGTTCAACGTTTTAATTGCGAATTTATATTATTGTTTCGTGTTTTTTCAATTGCAATATAAAAACGTGTGTCAGTTGACTGCCTTTCACGGATGTGTTCATTTATTTTGAAGCAGAAGGAAAAATTTACCTGCAGGGATCACAATTTTTGGAATTCAGATAAGGTAAGAGAATTTTTTATTCATTTTATGCTAATCTTTTATTATTTTTTTTTGATGTTTATATTTTGATTTTGCATTTATTTATTTATTCCAAGTTTAAAATTAAATAATATAGTTAATTTGATTAACTATGTAATTAATTTATAAAAAAAATAGAGAATTTTTCATATTTCCTACTTTTTAAAAAGTATCGTAGACATATTTAAAAAATATTCATCTAAATCGTGTTTTATTTTATATTACTGGTAATTAATTACAAGATTATTTGTAATTTTTTGCTTCTGTCGTTTAATTTATTTAAATATTGGAATCTATTAATGTAGTTTAATGTTGTCTAAATGGAGATTTTTTAAACAATTTTTTTCATATTTTACCAGATTTTTACTACAGTTCTATTAATATTAATCTGTTATTATTTTAAATATTGTAATTACAATGGAGGTTATGTTTTACAATGTAGCATTTTGCGCGCGTTGTCAATTGGTATCTCAGAAACAATTAAATTTTTATATTTCATTTTTCGTTGACAATTTTATGGAAATATATTTTTGTTACGAAGTAATAAAAAAAAAATTTTTCTACCTGATAGTTTATCAGGGAAAATTTTGCATTTTCTAATAAAAAAAAAAGAAGGTTTTCAGTTAAAAATAAAAAGTTTTTAGTGCATTATCGTGATATTATTCTAAGGTGAAAAATATTATCTTTAGGTGTTCTTAATCACAGTCGTATTTTTTATTCCTTGGCAGATTGATTACAATGTAATTTTAGTGTCGTTGTATACCCTGCTTAAAAAGTATTAGAGTTACATACATGAAATATAGCGATCACGATGGAACTAAAAGTTAAGAAACTGTAGAAGGAGGCAAAAGCTTTTGGTCTTTACACGACAAGCAATTTCAAAGGAGAGTACGTAAATTAAATTAAATGCCGACGCTTTAATTGCCGAGTGCGGATTAAATGTCAGGACATAATACAAGAAGACGAGTATGTAGTATTAGAACAGTAAATGAGATCTCATTTGAATTGAATATATTTTGTCCTTTTCTCAATATTTCAATGCTATTTATATATAATTTGATTTAAAGCAGAAATTCTGAATATTTCCTCTTAGCTTCGCAGATTAATATTTCCAAGATTGAAGATTAATTTTAGGAAATTTCTTGGTAGAAATCAGCCATTTTGACCTAGTGTTCAGTGAAATTTGATATAGGTGTATATAGGAAAAAATATATCGTATAACTTCAAATTAATTACTTAGCTAAGAATTTAAAAAAAAGGTGTCTTATTTATTCCCATGTTTGAACTTATGTAAGATATTAATTTTCTTACATATTTATTGAAATTTTATTTATTTAGCTCTTATCAAAAGATAAGGAAAATTTTTTAATCATATTCATATGACAGAAATGCAGTGAAGAGAATTTAATTCTTATTGTTTCTTATGCTAATTATAAAACCTCGCATCTCAAATAACGGTTGTTCTATATAAAAATTCCGTATGTGAAACTCATTAGAGGATTAATTTTGACAAAGGAATTGATAATATTTAAAAAATAGAAATTTTTAATAAGATTTTATTTCTAAATGCAAAAAAATATATATCTTAAGTGAGATGTAAACTTTTAACTTTAATCGATTTTGTTCAAGTTTTCTAGGTTATGTCAATATTAATTGAATCGCTGGAGAGGGGGGGGGGGAAATATAGATAGTTTTGCTAGGAGTTGGAGGATAGGGTTAACAGAGAGAAAGAAAAAGTTTAATTAACATCGCGAAGCTAAGCATCGTATATATATATGTACTAAAACTAAAGTATTACGGGACGACCACAACGTGCTCGCTGCAATCAAACATTCTACCACCAACGAGCTTCCATTCAACTTTAGAAATGAAACGCAATGCATCTTTAATTAAATCTCTCTCCTATAGGGTTGGGGCACAGGTTATGCACGAGGACCAGTCCTGAAAATTTATTCCGTGCATTTCAATTTCTATTTGGCTTTCATTCTTGTTTCTCTAGATTTTCTCTATCTCTCTCTCTCTCTCTCGTTTCGTTTTCCAAAACCCGTCTTCTTCATCCATCATTCTTTAGCCAATTATATGACAGTATTTTCTTTCGTTTTATATTCTTATCTCTATACAGGGCATTTACATATTCTGTCATAGTTGAACTTTTATATTTAGTTTATTTATCTTCAAGAGAAAAACCTTTTGGGAGTTGAAATTTAAAAAAAATTCTTATTTATTATTTTTTTTTGAAATTAAAATATTGTGTCCCAATTTAAAAGCGCATGGATGAAATATTATCAGCGTTTATATATCAATTTTTCCTCCCATTCGATCCAATTTCATTTACATAGATTATAAAAATATTTTATTTTCATTTATGTCAATTTTTAGGAGCGATTTTTTTTTTCATTTTATTTTCTTTATAAAAATTATGACAATACAAGTGTTTTTAACACCCACAATATTTTATATAGAATTTATAAATTTATACACGAAGGCCGTCACTGCACAAACATACGTATATAAAAATATGTTTTCCTTATTAGTGTTCTTTTATGAAATATTATTAAAGTAGTTTTATTCAGTTACTTTTTTCCACGTACGTAACATACCAATACTGTTACATATTTCTTTTTTTTTAGATTTATTAATTAATTTTTATTGTTTTTTTCCAAAATCAATTTTCCAATAAAATAGACAATTTTTTAAAATAGTTTTCCATTTTTTTTTTGGTTTTTCTGAAAATAATAATTCTTTATAATTTATGTAAATTTATCAGTATTTGAAAATGGGTCATAAAAAGTGCGCTTTTTAAAAGCCCATATCAATTATTTATATTTCCGACTATTATTTATTATATTTCTCGTATTAATTTTTCACGTATGTGTTTTCTTTTTTTTTTTTTTTTTTTTTATTCGTCAAGTTTCTGGTCGCACACTCGATGGGCAGCCATTTAAATTTTAAATGGCCCCGACCTACCGTTGACTTCACACACATATATAATACGACTGTTCACTGTTGTATATATATATAAAAAAAAATATATATATATACGCATACTCGGTCGGATAGCTGTAATTCCCTGTTTCCCTCTTGTGTTTTTTTTTTCTCTCTCTCTCTCTCTCTTCTCGATGCCATCCACCATCATTTTCGCAACGAATAACGATCGATTTGACCCTTCTTTCTCCTCGTTACATATAGTCATTGCTCTCGTTGAACCTTCACAGTTGTTATACGAATGGCGATGCAACTATAGACCATTTATCGGTTACCGGAAGTTTGCGAATGTAATTGGTTTTCCTAACTTGATCCGAGATTCGATGCTGTTATTGGCTTTCAACGTTTCTCGGAAACTTGGACACAGAGAGAAAGAGAGAGAGAGGGGGAGTAAGAAATGTCGACTTGTGACAAAGTAATAGTTCTTCCTTATGCTTGAGTTTTCCATTGTTTTGTTATTCAATACTGTATTCTATATATAAATTCAATCAAAGTTTCGTATAAGAAGAAATTAGTTTTCATTCTACTTCCATAACTTTTTGAGAAACTATTTCTTATAATAATTATAATATTTTCAAAAGTAAATTATTTTTTCGATTTAAAAAAATTTTTAAATGAAATAAAGTGGTGAATTAGAAGGAATATTCTTCTTACATATAGAGGAACTCATTAGAAAATTTTTCACGCTGAAATAGCTATAGAAATTGTAGAAGATTGTAACTTCTCTGAGATTGAAGATTAGAAATTGTTATTCATGTAATTCCCATTACAGTTACTGTGAGGAAAATTAAAGATGCAATTTGATTTTCTGCATTTGGTATATAGATTCATATAATTTTATATAAAATCCTTAAAAAGACAGTACTGCTATTTTTTGATATAATCGTGAGAGTTTTATTTGTTATAATTGCAAAAAAAAAAAAATTTTTTTTTAATGATTTTTATAAAGTTGCGTGAAATAACCTAAAAAAACTAGTTGTTATATATTATTGATCAAACATTCTCCGTGGAATAGAATTTCACAGCTAATATCATAAAGGTGTTAAAAATCAATGAAGGTCGACGTAATATATATATATACAGACACAAATTCTTAACACTTTCGCTAGTAGAAATATTTTATTGATTTGTTGTACAATTATTATTCTTTTAATCTACTTTTCTCATTTTCTTGCGTGATTTTTAAACATAAAGTCTCTTATACTTTGATAATATATATTATACAGCTTTTTGTGATAAAAAATCTTTATTAGGATGTAATTTAAGAGTGATTTTATAAATTCGTGTTGTTAGATTATAATGAAGCATAAAAAAAAAACCTGTTATTGAATGTGAAATATTAAAAAAAAATCAATCTCTTATAAAAGTTAGGATACTTCAGTAAGATTAAAAAAACTCGATTTAGCCTAAATTGAGGTATAAATTTTAAAATAGAATTTTATTTTGAAAAATAAATCCGGTATAATTATGGAACGGACAAAACAAATGTTTATACATATATATATATAGTATTTACCAATGAAGTCTATACTTTACTTCTCGAGTTAAAAAGTTCTATGTACATACATAAAAGTTTTATGTAAATTTGATAACAAGGTTTATCTGTCAGTGTGACTGAAGTTTTCTCTATATGCATGTGCGTTCATTGTAAACTTGTATGTTTCAACGTGTCCCAGATTTATACCACCAAACTACTGGAGATTCCACGTTTTACATGTTTTACACGTATTTGACAAGGCTAATGCGTATGTATACTGAATACTACACTGCACAAAAACGGAAATAAATATCGAGCTTACGTGTTACTTTTTTGTCTTTCGAGTTTTGAATATCCTGCTTTTGCAGTATAGAAGCTTTATACTTGTTAAACTCGAATATTTTACAAATGAAAATTTTTTTTTTGAAAAATTTTATATAAATAATTTTTTATAATTATTAAATAATTTTTTACTTTCTAAATCCAAATTAGTCACTGTTTTCTAGCCGAGTTTATTAAATAA